AGTTGCTCGCTCAAACCCTCATCTACTCCAACTCCACCAACCCTGACCTTAGAAAATCAACCCTGCTCAACTTCCCTGTCTGCTCTAACAACTAGCTACTTCAGCAACAAAAGCAAAGCATTTTTAGCAGCTCCCCAAGCTTCAGTTTCAAGACTTCCACTATGGCTGTTGCCTTGACCAGTTCATACATGTGCGAAGACTTTACCTCAGAGCCCGTGAGTTTTCGTCAATCGTCATACCCCGACTTTATCGACAGCTGCTCAGCAGCAGCTTCTGCCGAGCCTCTGTCACCGCCTTCACAATCTTCCATTTCACACTCCGACTTCCACAACCATCACCAACAACATCAACCATCATCGACCTCAAAACTCCACCTTTCCCGACAATCGTCCGGCCGCCAACAACAAAGCCACAGCAACCATGGTCAATCTTTCCGTTCGCTCCCTTGCATCCGGTCCGGAGTCTCAGTCCATCCCGTCAGGAAGAACGGCCACGTAACCCTGATGGAGATCCGAACTATTTCCCCTGTCGCCATCCGCTGCGTCCGGCAAAACGGCCGTCTCATGATGGAAAAGACCCATCGCGGACCTTCTATGTCACCATCGGGACGCCTCACGCCCAGCGGTTCGATTCGGTCTCCAACTTCGGAGTTAAGCCCTCCATCGTCGGCTTCGAGCTCTCGCCGCTTCTCTGGATCGTACGCGTCACTGGATGCATCGGTTAACGGCAGCGCGTGTTCGAGTCCATCCAGGTATCCGTTCGAGCCGTCGCTGAGGAAGGCGGTGAGTGGAAGCAGCTCTGTTCCTGCCGTGACGCTGACGACTGCACCGCGTAACCTGTCTCGGTCGCAGACTCTCCCGAGAGATTTCGATCAGGTCACTGTCGCTCGTTGATACAGCATGGCAGTGTGAAGGAATCTGGTTACCGCACGCGCAATAATTTGCGGATGATAAGGAACAGACAGCGAGCAGCTCGTGCGTCGTCCACCGCGGCTTCGCGAGAGTGTTGTATCGTCACCACATCCGCGCGTGGAATTTTCTGCTATGCTGTGCGAATCTGACGCCGTTTTCGCCTTTAGCAGACACCTGATTGGTGACTGTTGACGTGTACAGGGCCTGCTTTAGGCTTTATGATGAGTAGTATGACTGCAGACACCTGTGCCTTGGTGCATAGGGCGCTGCGATTTTTTTGGGCCATCCCCTAGCGCAGGGTGCTGCCATGGTTGATGTGCCTCCTAACTAGTTGAGTAGATGTGCTGTTGGTGTCACGATGTGGAGTTTTAATTGGAATATATGTTGAGCATTTTTCACCATATATGTAGCGTACTGACAACTCAGTGTAATGGTGTAGGTTCAGCCCTGATCACTCAGGATAGTATCGAATCTCGCACTGAAGCGAGATGCAATGCGGGAAAAAAATTCAGACCAAATGTACCCAATCGAGGACATCAGCTTCGCAAACACGTGCAACTGCGGCAGGAAGCGAGCGAGAATCGATATGGCGACCACTAGCATGCTAGGCCGACGCCTTAGACACTGCACCACTTTCTAATGCCATATTACGTACCCTGAGTATTCAGTAAATCTTCTACTACAGCACTGACAGATCAGGGTACCTCAATCTGTGTAGCCCTGACGAATCAGGACAAAAGGTGCTTTTCTACTAAACAGCCCTGATGCATCAGTGTAGCCTAGAATGAATCTGAGGGCCTGATTTTCACCTAAATCACTGGTGCCAGGTAAATAGTTACAATATTCAAATATTTACAATAAATAACAATTTTTGGGTTGCGTAGCAACCCCTTTACATTTGGTAGCACTTTTTTCGGTCAACTCGAATGAACAGTGCACAATTTCGTCATTTTCCCAACGTATGAAGCACTCGCTTTAACGTTTTGAGAACGTGTGCTTCAAATGTGTGGAGATGACAGCACTGGTACACAAGAGTCTCCAAAAAAAGTGAAACCAAATGAGACCAATTATTCCATAATCGTCGATAAATACGGCGAATGGAAACAATTGGTACCCTCGCCATATTTTACGGTACATCACACACAATTGACGAGACAACAAAGTCGGCGTGGATGCAAATTACGGTATTTGCATCTACCGTATCGAACATGTGCAAAACGACAACACTTAACAGCAGCAAATGTCATGAAGTGAATGGCAAAATGCATCAGTGCTACAATAGCGATGGATCCGGTATGCTAAGGCGAGCAACGCTGCCCCAACAACGATCCCCACCTCAATTGCAGACCTGACACACTTTAACATGACACCTTACAACAAACACAAACGAGCACATGCGACATTGTACTGGTACAACAACGACAACGCATAACAATGAGTGTCTTGGGGAGAATGCTAAAATGCATCGATGATGCAACAAGGTTGGTCTGGCACGCTAAGGCTATTGCCCCACCGGCGATCACAACCTGAGTTGCATACACGAGGCACTTCAGCACACGCCTTGAGACAGACACAAACGATACAAACAACACGACTGCACATACATATCTCACACAGGCTCACACACACACATACTCACTGACACGCACGCAAACAAGCACAGATACATACGGATAGTCAGCACACAACCATCATGAAATTCAGCTATTAATAAATCATCACTAGCCAATCACCCCTTACCCTCCCTACACCCCTCCCTCCATCCCTCCCTCCCTCCCTCCCTCCCTCCCTCCCTCCCTCCCTCCCTCCCTCCCTCCCTCCCTCCCTCCCTCCCTCCCTCCCTCCCTCCCTCCCTCCCTCCCTCCCTCCCTCCCTCCCTCCCTCCCTCCCTCCCTCTCTCCCTCCCTCCCTCCCTCCCTCATCTCCCTTCTCCGCCAAAGCAGCTCACGCGCCCTGCACAAAGTAAAAACAGAGAACGCAACACGCCCTGCACAAGAAGCAAAAACAGAGGATGCAACTCATGTGCTCTGCGAGGAGACCAAGCAGGAAACAACAAAAACAAAGAGAGTACACCTCATAGCACTGCACAAGAAGACAAAGGCAGAGAATGCAGCTCACACACTAGAGACAAAATTAGCACAACAGAAAAACATGAGCTATCATATTGACAGCTCACAGAGGTAAATTGGTATTAGTCGTGGCACCACAGAGACTACACCAGCATGATGCCATACACTGAAGCCACCCTCGAGTTCAACTTCACACTCACGTTCGTACTCACTCTTGTACTCAATCCTGCACCCACTCACACACGACAAAAACTCTCAAATTTTTCTTAGACACACTCACAGATACCTACACGTTCACTCTGGCACTTACCCTCGCACTCATGTTTGTTCTCATTCCAATCATACTAACACAAATACTTCCACGTGCACGCAAGGACATTCACACGCACCCTTGCACATGCACTCACACTCGCACTTGCTCTCGCATTCACCCTAAGACACACACTTGCACGCAGTCTCGCCTTGCACTCACACGCACACCCACTCATCCTCGCACTCACCCTTGAACTACTCTCACACTCGAGCTCACACTCACCCCAAACCCTACACCATCATATTTACACTCACATTCACTCTCGCACTTGCTCTAACTCTTGCTCTCGTTCTCACCCTCGCACTCACCTAAACACGCACCCTTGAACTTCCTCTCATATCACCCGCATACATGCACTTGCACGCACCCTCGCACTTACCCTGAAGTACATGCGCATACTCACACTTGCAGTCACACCCGCTTTCGCACCCGAATATCGCCCTCTCACCCTCACACACTCTTGCAACCACTCACGAACGCACAATTACTTTCAATCGTTCTTAGACACACCCTCAGAAACACAAACACACACCCTTGCACTCACCCTCGAACACTTTCGCACTGGCTGGCGCGCAGAGTCGCCGGCACGGTGGCACCCTTGAATTCAACTCACACCCACACCCACACTCACGCTCACACTCGCCCTCGCACTCACCCTCGCACTCACTCTTCTACTTGCCCTCACACACCATCTCACACACCCTCGCACTCACACCCGCGCTCACGCTTGCACTCAACATCGCCGCCACCATCGAACTCACCATCGCACTCACTCTTCACTCAAACCCATGTAATGTACTCTCAACTCTTCTTCGCCAATCACAGAAACACACACACAAACTCTTGCACTCACCCTAGCACACACTCAAACGGACCCTCGCACTCCCCCTTGCACTCACACACACACTCACACTCGTACTCACCCTCAAACTCGCCCGGGCACTCAATCTCACAATTGCTCTCGCACTCACACTCGCGCTTACGCTCGCACCTGCTCTGTCGTTCACACTCGCACTTGCCCTTGCCTGAACAACCGCACTCACCCGCAAGTGCACGCGCACATCCAAGTCTCGCCCTCACGTCGCCCGTACCCAAGGCGCGGCACCCTAAGTGCAAGCGCCCACGGCGCCCGCGCCCACTGCACCAGCGCCTTAGGCGCCAGCACCCACGGCGCTCGCGCCCAAGGCGCCAGCGCCCCCGGCGCAAGCGCCCACAGCGCCAGCGCCTCATGGGGCAGCACCCACGGCGCTCGCGCCCTAAGCGCAAGCGCGTTAGCTGCTAGCACCCACGGAGCCCGCGCCAACGGCGCCAGCGCCCACGGCGCCAGCGCCCACGGCGCCAGCGCCCTAAGCGCAAGCACCTTATGCGCCAGCGCCCATGGCGCAAGTGCCTTAGGCGCAAGCGGCCACGGCGTCTGCGCCATAAGCGCAAGCGCCTTAGGCGCCAGCAACCACGGCGCTTGCGCCCACGGCCCCAGCGCCCTAAGCGCAAGCGGCTAAGGCACAAGCGCCATTGGCGCCCGCGCCGACGGCGCAAGCGCGCACGGTGCTCTCTCTCGCGCCTCTCCCTCTAGTGCTTCCTTAGCTCTCACACGCGTACTCTCCTGCGCTCTCGCTCCCTCGCGCTCCCTCTTCCCCCTCTTCAAATGGTAGTGCAACGCAAGCGACAAATCAACACACAGAAACTACAAATAAGATAGGAAGATACCTACACGTTCATTCTGACCAAAATCGGAAATATAGGAACTTTCAGTAGGGGGAAAGGAGGAAAAAAGGACCGGGAAGGGTAAACGCACCTGCAATTCACGGTGCAGAGACAAACCCGCGCTCGCGCACCAGCTTGCTCGTGACCTGTCGACAGAGTCGGCGGCGGGATGGGAGGGTGAGGCGACGGCGGGATGGGAGGGAGAGGCGACGGCGGGAGGAGGGAGCGGCGACGGCGAATGGGAGGGAGCGGCGACGGCGGATGGGAGGGCGAGGCGACGGCGAGGAGGAGGGAGAGGCGACGGCGGGGAGGAGGAGAGGCGACGGCGGGGAAGAGGGGCGGGGAGGAGGAGAGGCGACGGCGGGGAGGAGGAGAGGCGACGGCGGGGAGGAGGAGAGGCGACGGCAGGGAGGAGGAGAGGCGACGGCGGGGAGGAGGAGAGGCGACGGCGGGGAGGAGGAGAGGCGACGGCGGGGAGAAGGAGAGGCGACGGCGGGGAGGAGGAGAGGCGACGGCGGGGAGGAGGAGAGGCGACGGCGGGGAGGAGGAGAGGCGACGGCGGGGAGGAGGAGAGGCGACGGCGGGGAGGAGGAGGGGCGACGGCGGGGAGGAGGGAGAGGCGACGGCGGGAGGGAGGGAGAGTCGACGGCGGGAGGAACGGAGAGGCGACGGCTGGAGGGAGGGAGAGGCGACGGCGCAGTGGGAGGGAGAGGGGATGGTGGGGTGGAATGGAGAGTGGATGGCGGGGTGGGAGGGAGCAACGATGGAAAGGTGGGTGAGAGGGAGAGGCGATGACGAGGTGGGAGGGTGAGGCAACAGCTGGTGGGGGAGGAGAAGCGATGACGGGGTGGGAGGGAGTGGCAAACAAGAAACTACAGTAACCGAACTGGGAGAAGGGAGGAGGCATGAAACACAACACGAAAAAGAAGATGGAGCAAAACAAAATGAAGCGATGAACAGAATTTGCGCACCTCCCAGAAAAAGACGACGCATGAAACAATTTGTATATAGAAACCCGAAAACGATGGGGCAATTTGAAAGCCAGCACAGAACTTGGGCACTTGGAAATTTAAAACAAAAACCAAACGCTGGTGCCACGTGAGAACACACGGATAATCAAGTGAAATTTGTGTTAGGTGGAAAACAACTCATTTTGAACCACACTTTTGCTAGAGCAAGAACCTGGCAGTTCAGTGTTACAGAATATCATATTGGTTAACTAGATTTTATAACTAATTCATTAAACAACAATAAATTGTTCGATAGATTCGCCCAGAGTTTAGCAATTAAATCATACACCAACTCTTTATTCCATTATCAATAACTAACTAGCTTGTTATATTCATCAACACATGAAAATTAAACTCAGTGCTATATAAATACATCAAATTGTTTGTCCTCGAGTTTTTTAAAATATGAATGTGACATCTACGCAACCCTTCCGACGTTAACGTCGAATCTTGTTTCACCATTTCTCAGCGCAACAGTGACTACTAGCCTATAGTCAGACTCGGTTGTACGGTAAAGGAAACCTAGTATGATGTTCTAAAGAATGTTGGACAGTATGCGGAATCCTCATGGATTCAGTATTTTGACTGCTACAAAACACCTGCAGAAATAAGTTGGCCAAACATATATTTTAACTGGCTAAACGTCAAGAAAAGTGAATCTACACAATGATTTGAAGTCTCAGAACTCAAGGTCATCCTCTTCTACAATTTCAGGCAACGGGCCATCGGAGTCAGAATCAAATCCAGTCAATGCAGCAACTGAAGCTGCAGCACCTCCAGATGCATCCCTCCCTCTCCCACCACCAGCAGCACCAGCAGCAGCACCACCAGCAGCTGCAGCAGCAACAGCACCACCAGAACCAGCAGCAGCAGCAGCAGCAGCATTACCAGCTGCAGAACCAGCTTGCCCTTCTTGTCCCGACCCTACAACCCCACCAGAACCCATACCCAAACCTGCAGTCCCCGGACCTCCAGAACCCGAACCTGGAGTTCCCGAGCCTCCAGTCCCCAGGTAGCCAGACTCCTGTAGCATGCGAGCCATGGCAGCAGCCTTGGTTCGGGACTCCCTCGCCCTCCTCGCAGCCTCCAGCCCAGCAGCATCTGCCTCCTCCACCGTGGTTACCACCTTCCTTGCCCCGTAACCATGCGAACCTGCGGATGCCGAACCTGCTAGCGCCGAACCTCCTCCGGTCCGAGCCTGCTCTTTGGCCTGCCTCCCTGTTCCGGATCCGCCTGTCGACCCACCAGCACCAGCAGCACCAGAAGCACTGGCAGCCCCAGCACCAGCACCAGCAGCAGCGGCAGCAGTGCCTTGGTCATTCTTAGAAGCGCCTCTCCTGCTCTTACCAGCAGAACCACTGCTGGCAGCAGGTGCAGCAGACGCGGAGGGGGAAGCACCAGCAGAGGCAGAGGGGGAGGAGGGGTCATTGGCACTAAGGAACCTGGCCACAGCCGGTGCCAGCGTCTTGATGAAAATCTCCTTTCCCACATCTCTACGCTTCCCTCCCTTCTCCGCTCCTCCCGCTCCTCCGCCTGCTCCTCCTGCTCCTGCTCCCCCTCCTGCTCCTGCTGCTGCCCCTTTTCCTCGCTGGTTCGCCCCTCCTCTCCCTCGCCCCCCACCTCCTTTGTCGCTCTGTGATGAAACCGCAGGTGCTGCAGCCGCTCCTGCTGCTGCTTCTTGTTGTGATGGCGCTGCTGCAGCAGCAGCAGCAGGAGCAGGAGGAGGAGCAGGAGCAGGAGCAGGAGGAGGGGCCATGGGCATGGCAGGACCAGCAACAGGAACGGCAGTGCCGTCAGTATCCATAGGCATGGCTGCTGCTTGCCCCTCCATGGACTCTAATCCACCCGATGATCCCAAGGCTGCTCCGGTCGCCGCCTGTCCTAGATCAGCGACCGTGTTACCTCCCCCTACGGTAACACCTGCCCCGGGCCCACCAGTACCACCTGCACCAGGTGCGCCTCCCCCAATCTCCATCAGGTCGTGCCCGAATGTGCCATACCCGTCTACTTCCGTCCACAGGTCCGCTAACGGCCAAACATCGCCGCCCAGCGCTCCAAGCCCCGTGGCACCACCACCCATTCCGCCTCCCATGCCGCCATCCATCCCCCCTCCCATCCCCCCTCCCATCCCCCCGCCCATCCCTCCGCCCATCCCGCCTCCCATCCCCCCACCCATTCCCCCACCCATCCCCCCTGCAAACCCTCCACCCCCGCCCCCAGCTGATCCAGCACCCACTCCTCCAAGCATCCCCCCATACGCCCCCACTCCACCTCCTCCCCCTGCTCCTCCCCCTATCCCTCCGCCATCCCCCATCCCCCCAGCACCCCCTCCCACGGCAGCAGAGAGATTCATGGCCATAGAGCCAGGGACAGGCAGCGGGGCGGCAGCAGGGGCGGCGAGAGTCGTCTGGGCGGCGGGCGGCAGCAGGCTGCCGGAACTGGCCGGCAAAGTGGATGGCCGGCTGGCAGAAGGGGCCGGCGAGCCGCTCAGATTCTGCTGCTGCTGCTGCTGCTGCTGCAAATTCTCCTGTTGCAACTGTTCCTGCTGCTGCAACTGCTGCTGCTGCATATGCTGCTGCTGCTGCTGGTGCTGGTTCGGTGGGGGCTGAGAGGGAACAAGCAGCGACGAGAGCGGGTGGATGGAGGAGGAATGCGGAAGACACCTGGGATGCAACACCGGCTCGAGGGCTAGCAGAGCAAAGGAGCAGAACGCAGCTACCTCCGTCCCTAGCTGTTGCCTCCCCTGCCGGAATATCCTAAGCGCTTGACCGAGGTACGGTGGGCGGTATTTGCACGGGGCTAGGAGGGAGGCTAGGAGCGCACGAGATGCTGCCAGCTGGAGCGATCTGATTGCACGATCGGACCCGGGCGTCCAGGGCATGTGCGCGTGGGTGGTGGAGGAGTTGTAACCGGAGTTGTAACCGGGGGTGGAGTTGAAACCGGAGTCATAACCGCCGGTGCCGAGGGCGATGGCAGCGGTGCAGGTGAGAGCTGCGTCTACCTCCATTCTCCAGTGCTCCAGTAAGAGAGGGCCGCCCTGGGAAGGGAGTGGAGGGAGGCAGGCAGACGGGAGGAGAGGAAAGGAGAGCAGAGAAGAGGAGAGGAGAAAAGGAAAAAGTGGGTCGCACTGGAGGGGAGACATGAAGTGGGGACCAAGGGGATTCAAAGCCAATGAAGTGGTGATGAATGAAAGGGAATTTAGACAGCCGCCCATACACACGTTGAACGCAACACTCTCTATCCCCCTCTAACTCACATATACTCTGCCCCTGCCTGCTTCCCCCCTTCTGTCCACAACCTCTCCCATTCTCGGACTCTCCCTCCACACTCTCCCTGTTCCACGCTCGCCCCCTCACACTCTCCCCGCTCACACAAAGCCACTGCTACACTCTCCCCTCACACACTCACCGCCACCAGGAGCGCCTCTAGAGCTTCCAGAATCGCGATCTGCAGATCCACGGTCTGCAGGCACCGACTGCCCGAGATAACACCTGCCCCAGTTGCACCTCCCCCCACCCCTCCCCCTCCCCCTCCGCTGCCCGCTCCCCCCAGCTTCCCGCTGCCTGCTGCAGCGCCGGGAGCGGCGTCGAATGCCATGCTGCCACCTGGCGAGCGCTGATTGGTCGGGGAGAAGAGCGCCGGCACGGCCTGTTTGAGGTCGGTGATTCCGCGCCCCACGACTATTGGGGCGATCTGCGTCATCATGCCTGGAGAGACGGGGGGAAGGGGCACGTAGGTGGGAGGGAGGGGATAGAGGGGAGAGGGAAGGGGAAGGGGGAAGGCGGGGGAGTGGGCACTTCGAGGCACGGCCTGCTTGAGGTCTGTGATGCCCCGACCCACCACTATGGGGGCGATCTGTGACACCATGCCTGTAAGAATGGGGAGAGGGGGAGGGGGGAAAGGGTGAGGGGGCGGGGGGGAGAGGGGAAGGAAACGGATATGGGGACTGGTAACACAGGCACATCAACTCACCCCTGCCAACTTCCAAGTGCATATAAATACTGGTCTTCTGACATAATTCTCAGCGAGCAGTATAAATACACGTGAAACGAGGGTGTTTTTGAGACGTCTCAAAAACACCCTCATTCCACCTCAACTCACCCCTGCCAACTTCCAAGTATAATGAACCGCGCAGGGTATACAATCCTCGACTGTGTGGCCGTGCGCGGTAGAGCAGCGCCCTGAAGGGCAGTGAAGGGGAGTAAGGGGCGCGTGATGGGACAGGCATGCACCTCAACCCACCCGCGCCCAGGGAAAGGAGGTACTGTGTGGCAGCACTGACACACCCAGACGACTCACCAGCGCCCAGCGCATAGAGGTATTGAGTGGCCGTGCGGTAGAGCAGCGCCTTGAAGGGCAGTAAAGGGCAGTATGGGGTGTGATGGAACAGGCACCTCTACTCACCCGCGCCCAGCGCATAAAGGTACTGTGTGGCCGTGCGGTAGAGCAGCGCCTTGAAGGGCAGAGCTGTGGCGTCATCCCCCGCTGCTGCTGCCCGGCGAAAGGCTGAGACGAGTGTGTGTGATATGGTGGCTGCATGGGGCAGAATGTGGCTGCGAGGGGGGGAGAGGGAGGGTGGGAAGAGAGAGCAGAGAGGGATGGAACTGAGAAAGGCCGACACGAGCGTGTGTGAGATGGTGGCTGCATGCGGGAGGATGTGGCTGCGAGGGGGTGACGAGGGAGAGAAGTGGGGAAAGGGGGAAGTGAGAGGGTGTGTGGCGAAAGGCTGATACGAGCGTGTGTGAGATGGTGGCTGCATGCGGGAGGATTGAAAAAAAGGCAAAGAGGGGAGAGGAGGAGGTGGGAGGGGAAGGAGGGGAAGGAAGTGGAGGAAGGGGAAGCAGGGGAGGATGGAAGTGAGAAGGTGTATGGTACACGTCCGAAGATTCACGATTTTTTCAGAATTCTCAAAAAACAGAGGAGGGATGCGAGAAGGTGTATGGTACACGTCCGAAGATTCACGATTTTTTCAGAAGTCTCAAAAAACAGAGGAGGGATGCGAGAAGGTGCATGGTACACGTCCGAAGATTCACTATTTTTTCTCACTTCCTTAGCGCACCATTTGATCACTTCATCAGCACTCAATTTTCAACTCCCTCCAACACACCACACCCACTTTCTCACTCCCTCCCATCCAACCCTTCACACTCATTTCCTCACTCTCTCCACCCCTTCACACTCACTTCCTCACGCCCTGCAGCGCGGCCAGCATCATCCTCAGCCCCCCGCCCCGCACACTGCACTGCTTCTCGCTCTTCCTCACCACACCATTTCCAACCACACTCACTCCCTCTCTCATTCCATCACCCACTCACTTTCTCACTCCCTGCAGCGCGGCCAGCATCATCCGCAGCCCCGCACACTGCAGCACCAGCACCTATGTTAACATTGTTTTTGAGAATTCCCAAAAGCAACCACACCACACTCACTTCCTCACGCCCTGCAGCGCCGCCAGCATCATCCTCAACCCAGCACACTGCAGCGCCGGCAGCTCCACACACAGCGCCAGCTGGCGGGCGGCAGAAAACGCCGAGCCCATGCCGTCCATCCCTCCGCCCGCATCAAAAGCATCCCCTCCCCCCCCTCCCCCTCCTCCTCCTCTCCCTCCTCTCCCTCCAGAAGCGAGGAGAGAGAGGGGGATGACCATCCCGGTGCCCTCCACTTGGGTGAGTCGAATGACGGCATCGGCTGATACAAGGCGGTGGGAAACGGCGAGCAGGGCGGAGAGGGGCGCTGGGACCTGGGAGGAGGGGGGGAAACAGTGGGAGGGGGGAAGTTGCAGTCAACACGTGAGGTGAAGGGGAGTGGAGGCAGGTGAGAGAGCAGGGCGGAGCGGGGCGTTGGGATCTTGGAGGGACAAGGAGCAACGAAGGGAGGAGACGAGCAGAGAGAGATGAATCGAAGAGGATCGATTGACTGAAAAGACCGATCCCATGGCCTGCAGATGAAACAGCCTCGTTGTGGTGGTGTTGCTGAGACAAGGCGGAGTGCGAGAGCAAGCAGAACCGAGAGGGGTCTATTGAGAGGGGTCTATACGTAACAGCACCAGCACCATCCATGCATGCATGCACCACGTTGGACAGCTAACCCCTCTCCGTGGGTGCAGGGATCCCCTGAGTGGTCTCCAGCTGGCAGTTCAGGATCATTGAGAGGTGCCTGAAAACACCAATTCAGCCATATCGATGCTTTTCCCCCCAATTAAGCAACCCACCGGTGCAGGGAAAACGCAAACCCACCGGAGCAGAGAAGCCCTGAGTGATGGTCAGCTGGCACGTGAGCAGCAGCGCGTGCAGCCGTGGCACCACCCGCCGAAACACCGCCTCGGGATCTCCGCCACCACCGCCGCCGCTGCTGCTGCTGCCGCCACCACCACTGGTGCTACTGCTCCGAGGGTTGCCGTTTGCGTTTCGATTTGAGGCCTGCCCTCCCCGCTGCCCCTGCCCGCCTGATTCCTGCTGCTGCTCGTCCTCTTTGGTGCAGTTAGAGGCGATCCAGTGTGCATGCTCGGGGACCAGAGGCACTGGCAGGGCTGCACTCTTGGAGTGCAGGAGCGTTACCAGGGCCTTGGACCGCACAGATTCTGTCGTGTGAAGACAGAGACAAAAGGCGGGAGGGGTGATGAAGAGATAATATTTGGAATTTCTCAAGAACCACTGGCACCGGCAGCAGGGCCGCTGCGCTGCTGGAATGAAAGGAGCTTTGCGAGGGCCTCACGCCTTAACCAGCACACATACCAACACCAGCACACATGACAGCACCCACAAGCACCAGCTCACACACCTTCGCCAGCTCACACCTTCGCGGCTCGGAGCTACCAGAGCGAGGGCTCAAGCTTTCACCTGCACTCACAACTGAAAGCACCACTTGCAGCACCAGTGACAGCACTCACGCCCCTTACCATCCTCGAAGCCAGAGAGCAGAGTGTCAAGGTCCGCGTGTGTGGAGAGCAGCAGGCGGCGCATGAAAGCCGACCAGAGTGAGGGGTCATTGGAGGCACGGGGTAGTAGCACCAGCAGGCTGCAGCAGGACTGGTGTGGGAGTGGGTGGGGGAAGAGGGAATGTTCCTTCAAATGAGTTGGATATCGGATATCACAAGTTGGGAAATGATGAGCCGACTCTACAGTCTACTACTACAAGTCATTTTGGGATACCCGCAACACGTGAACGATGGATGCAGGTGCATGCACTAGGAGATGACAGCTTGGCCACACACACACACACACGCACGCACGCACGCACGCACGCACGCACGCACGCACGCACGCACGCACGCACGCACACGCACGCGCACACCCAAACACACACACACGCGCACACGCACGCACGCACATGCACGCACGCACGCATACGCACGCGCACACGCACACACGCACACACACACGCACGCACGCACGCACGCACGCACACACGCACGCACGCACGCACGCATGCACACGCACACGCACACTCACACGCACACGCACGCGCACGCGCACATGCGCATCACCCATACCCACAAGAATCAGAGGATTGGGAATAATGAGTCGACTCTACAAGTCATCGTGGATCCCCGCAACAACCCCCCACACTCACATGGACTATGGATGCGGGTGCATTGGGAGATGAGAGCTTGGCCACCAGCAGAGCCTCCATCTGCAGTTAGTGGGGGGATGGTGTGAAGGAGGGATTGAAAAAAAAAATCCGAGTCGACCCAAGGTGCATTGAGTGACTCAATCCACACCAGGGTGTGGCGTGGAGGTAAGGACGGAGAGCGGAGCGGAGGGAGGATGGAATCCACAATCCACAAAGAAAGCGCAATAAGAATCGTGATGCAATAACAGCATTGTAGTGAAAAGTGAATCACGCGCCATGCGCACATACTGCGGCAGTAGTAGTAACAATAACAGTAACAAAAAAAACATGAACAATTGATTACATACCGCTGGAACGTGATGCTTGAAGCTGGAGGGGAAGGAGCGGAGCAGCAGAGAGAGCAGCGAGAGGCACACGCTCTGGCAGACGGGCAAGGGCGCGTGAGACGAGCAGAGGGGGTGGGAGGGAGGGTGAGAGGGGGATACCGTTTGGGAGGGAGGTAGGGAGAGAGGGAGGGAGGGAGGGAGGGAGAGAGGCGCCTCAAAAACCACCGGCAGAATAGATTTTGAATGCATCTGAATAAACCCCGAGTGATTTCCAACAAGTAGAGACACAATTTCAAACGCCAGTGTGCCACCCACCCATGCCTGCGTGCTCTCAGTGCCGCCCATCATCTCCGCCAGAAACGGCCAAAGCTTGCCGGCCAGAGTGCCAGCCTCCTTACGCACGCTCTGCACATGAGACAAAGTTGCCAGCCTGGCATGAGGAGAGAGGGAGAGAGGGAGGCACATGCATTAGCATGGTAAGCACGTACGAATGTGGGTGTGTGTGTGTGCATGTGCGTGAGCATGTGACTGTGTGTGCATGCGCACATGTGTTCATGGGTAACCTAGTTCGATGGTCTACACAACACCATACCACACCGCACCGCACCGCACCTTGAGGAAAGGTCAGCGAGGGCAGCAGCAGCAGCCACACGCACAAACATCGTATCCTGTACTATGGTCTCTTTGCCCTTCCCACCCCCCCTCTCCTTCTCCTTCCCCCTTCCATTCCCCCTCCCCTCCTTCCCCTCCTTCCCCTCCTCCCCCTCCTCTCCCTCCGCCTCTTCCCCCTCCTCTTCCCCCTCCTCCTCCTTCCCCTCTTGCTGCTGTTGCGCGCCCTTCTCGCCCCCCCCACCCGCTCCTTTTGTCTTATTCGCCTTCAGCAGGGCGGCTAGCCGCCCCCACCACTTGGCGTACGTGTCAACCACGCGCTGAGCTGTGCTCTCTGCACACGTGGCACCTGCCAGCACACATGCCGCCCACCGATTGGCCGGCTGGGGGAGGAGTAGAAGAGGAGGAGCGTCGGATTATAAAGTGGGAGAGGGGAGGGGAGAACTGGTTGGGTAAAATTCAATGAAAGGAGAGACAAGGAGAAGTAAAGAGAGGTAAAGAAAGGTAAGGACAAGTACGGAGAGGTACAGAGAGGTAAGGACTCAATCTCTCTCACACAAATCACTTCCTTCCAGCACCTTACGCTACCAGCAACAATCAGAAACCAGAACCCAACCCACCAGCGGGGATGCCAATAACGCGAACACCCTGCTGCACCAAGCGTCAACAGCCCGCCTCCTGGGATCGTTACCGCTCCCCACGGCCGCCCAGTCCGGTTCCACGGCTAGAACGTGTTGCTCCCGCAGCACCCCCACCGCCGCCTGCACCCTGGCCATGTCGATGGGGTCTTTAGGGGAAGCTGGCAGGAAGGAGGTGAGGAGGGACTGTAGGAGACGCAGGCGCAACCGGGGGTCCTGTGAGGGGAAGAGGGGAGCAAGACCATGGGGAATCCGGGACGGAGAATGGGGGATGAAGGAGATTACGGCAGGGTGGGATCATTGCTGCTCCCCACGGCCGCCCAGTCCGGTTCCACGCCCAGCACGTGTTGCTCCCGCAGCACCCCCACCGCGGCGCGCACCCTGGCCATGTCGATGGGGTCCTTGGGCGAGGCGGGCAGGAAGGAGGTGAGGAGAGATTGTAGCAGGCGTAGACGCAGACGGGGGTCCTGTGGGGTGCAAGGAAAAATGGGGGCATGGGGAACCCGGGATGGAGAACGGGGGATGAAGGAGATTGTTGTGTTAGGGTGGGTGGGCGCAGAGCAGCACCCCCACGGCCGCGCGCACCCTGCCCATGTCGATGGGTTCCTTGGGCGAGGCGGGCAGGAAGGAGGTGAGCAGGGATTGTAGGAGACGCAGACGCAGACGGGGGTCCTGTGCGGTGCGAATGGGGAGTAGGGGGACGGGAAATAAAATGTAATGGGGCAGAGTGAGTCCAGCGCCTCAACCCTACCGCCGCCCAGTGGGGTTCCGTTCCAGCGTCTTTGAGAGGTCCCAGTCCGGTTCCACCGCCAGCACGTGTTGCACCACGCGTCCACAGCGCGCCTCCTGGGGTCATTTCCGCTCCCCACGGCCGCCCAGTCCGGTTCCACGGCCAGCACGTGTTGCTCCCGCAGCGCCCCCACAGCCGCGCGCACCCTGCGAGGTGGGGAGGAAAGAGGCGAGCAGGAATTGTAGCAGGCGCCGGCGCATGCGGGGGTCCTGTGCGGTGCAAAAGGGAAGTTGGGGGGTGGGGGATGAGATAGAATGCGGCAGGGTGGACGCAGGAAGGAGGACAGGAGGGACTGCAGCAGGCGCAGACGGGGGTCCTGTAGTGGGGGGGGAGTGGGGGAATGGTGCATGGAGCAGGAACATCATGCTTTTCGCGTGAGATGAGGCAACTTTTGAGGCGCCTCAAAAGAGGGAGTGGAGGGATGGTGCATGGAGAGCGGTGAGAGGTGGGGGGTGGGGAGGGGAGGGAGAGTGGGGGGCTAGAATGAACGAATTTGCTGGGAAGGTCGACGGGTTTCGGGTTTCCAAGAAAAGAGGCCCTTTTTTCACGCCGCCAGGCTATATCCACGCGATGTGGCAGCAGTTAGGGTTTCCGGACCTGAGGTTCGGAGCGCAGCGCCTGACTGTTGAACGCACCTGCGCGCCGGTGAGCACGTCGTTGCCCATCAGGAGCGATTTGCCCGCCATCCCCGCCGTCGGGTGCGGCTGCTGCGATCGCAACGACTGCATCCTTCCTAAACCTCCTAAGTCAAATCCGCGATTCGATCCAAATTTCCCGTGATTCGCGGCAGTGTCTGCTCCAGCCTTGCGGTGTAGGCTCGCGACGACCGCCGAGCGCCTCGCCAACGTCAAAGCGGCGGCGCACGCGAAGGTCACGGTAGCAGCAAATCTACACAGATTACCTCTAGAGATGTCGTGAAAGTGGAGCTTAACCAAGAAAGACCCCTAGGGCGGATAATTTGAGCAAGTTACTGGAGGTTTTAACTCTAGGTAGTAACTTCAGGGGCGGGCCGGACTTGTGCGAATGCTACGGAGGCGAGGACGGGGGAGTGTCGCTAGAAGACTTGGAAGAAAATTCCCCAACATTGAGTTTAGGGAACCTTAGGCTGGAGGAGCTTGGAGGCATGGTTGGGGGTTAGGGCACAAGGACAAGAGGTGATTGATTGTCTATGCGTGATTGGATAGCGGAACATGAGGAAATTCCAAACCCCGCAACTCGCCTGTCTGTTTCGCAGGAAGGCGCGGCTATGGCCTCACTTGCCTCCATGGAAGAAGAGATGGGGAAAACAGTTGACGTCGCGAACAATCTTCGCATACTGGACCGCGCGTCGTTGTAGTCGCGAACGAGCTGCGACAGCAAATGTATCGACACGACACGAATCTCGACAACCGTTTTCATCGCAGCGCTTCGCGAAAGAAGAGCACGAGTGTACAGTGTACACCTGAAGTCTTGCGGCGCCGCGTCAGAAATGAAGCAGCTTGCCGGCAACTGGTCGAACATGGAACTGCACTTCATCAGTGTTAGCGAATCACGAACTGCAGTCAGTAAAGCGAATGTTCTCGTTACCTCGCTCGAATGGAACTCGCGAAACTGGCATTGCAGACCTAGTGCCACTTTTGTTTGAGCGAAACACGGTTACTCGAACACATTCTTGTCGTAAGCCGCAGAAATACGGTTGCCCAACCAACAATGCAGCACACCACCGCCATTTTTTGTTGACATCTGTTCCCCTGGAAACCATGGGTGCTGTGCCTATTCTGTCCGTATGCACGGACTGAGATAAGTTCAGTTTCCATTCATCATGCAGAACATTTCCCAAAGTAAACCCTGAAACTCCTGAGTCATGCCCAACCAACCCTGGGGATTGCAAAGATAAAAGGGTTGCGTGCAGTGCGCTACGGGAGTTGGGGGATGATTGAAGTGACAACAAAACATATTGATGCCAGGAAGAGCAGTGAGGGGGTGAGGGGGGTACGGAAAATGGTAAGAAATTGAGGAACCAATGTTTATGTACGGTACGTATGCAAGTATCATCCGTTATTCCACCACAACCTTAGCAAGAAGACCTTTGCAAGACGACCTTTGCAAGACGGGCAGAAACCAAAAGCCAGAGGCAAAAGCGCAGCACAAACAAATGACACGCCTTATAGGCAAACATATCCCTATGACTTTCCCCGACTGAGAACATTATTGCTGTGTTATTTACCATGTGTTCCAAAAACATAGAGTGAAAACAGATCCAGCCTGCTCCGGCGTCCCTCGTTGCGTTTCCTCTTCTGCTGTATCGGCTGCTGCAGTGGCTGCCTCTGTGACTGCTGGGGGTGACTGTGTGGCTGTTTCAGTGGCTGTTTCAGTGGCTGCTGAAGGTGTATGTAGCAGCTACTGCCTCTCTTTTCTGATGTAGCGGCTGCTGTGGAAACTGCTGTGGGTGTCCTGTAGAGAGGCTGCAGTAGCTGCTACTGTTGGCGAGTCTGGGAAAGATATGAGGTGATCGCTTGATTCAGACAATGGCTTGCGAGGATCTTGGGCTGGTGCAGAGTGGTGATGAGAGGTCGGAGGGGGTACATTGGCGTAAGACGATGGGGATGGCAGGAAGCTGAAATTTTGTGAAACACAACGAAAGGCGATAGCAAGAGGTCGACACGAGGGTGACAATAGGGTGGCAAGGGGGTGGCAAGGGGGTGACAAGAGGTGACGATCGGGTGACACGAGATGGCATGCGGGCGGCAAAAGTTGTCCAGTGTGGTGAAAACTGAGTGTTGGGGAGACAAGCACGTGGACATGGCAGCAAGGTGGGCAACACAAGGAAGCAGCTTCAGGACCTGCAGTGTTGATCAGAGGTAGGGAGGACGGCACCAAGGCACCGCATCACATCACCGTGAACGGCAATCTAAATATGGAAAATCAAGCGGCAACTTGTGTAGGTAGCAACTTACGAGGCAAGAGGCAACCTAAGTGGTAAGTGTCCAACCCCGTTCTCCCGCTGTCACTTACCTAAGTGTCAATACTTTGGTCGCTTCATGGGCCCGCCAGACCCAGACCCCATTGGCCTCTTCCCCATAGGCGGAGGGGGACCCCTCCCGCTCCCCCCTTTCCCCATTGGCCTCCCCCCACTCCCTCCCCCTCCCCCTCCTCCCCCCGGTCTCCCCCCGCTGCCTCCCCCCATCGGCCTCCCCCCTCCCCCTCCGGATTTCCCCATAGGCCCCTTCCCCATCGGCCTCCCCTCTGGACGCCCACTCCACCCCCCCTTCCCCCCGCTCCCTCCCCCTCCCCCTCCCCCTCCCCCTCCTCTCGCATCCCCAGGCCTTCCCCCACCACCACTCCCCCCTCCTCCCCCCCCACCCCCTCCCCCTCCCTTCCTCCTCCTCCTCCTCTCCCCCTCACTATCATACTCCTCCCCCTTCTCCCGATCCTCCCTTAAAGCCTTCGCTTCAAGCTCATCCCACGTCGGACCCTCCTCCTCCTCCTCTTCCTCCTCCTCCCCCTCCTCCTCCTCACTATCCACCACACTCTCGTCATCCTCGCTCTCGTCATCGTCATCGTCGGATGCAGCCTCCTCCAGATCCGACGGCTCGTACGCCTGCGATTCCTCCGACTCCTCCCCCTCGCTATCCGACGCTTCCAAATTCAGAAACTCCCACCCGCCGTCCGCTAGAAACGCCTCGGGGTCACTCATTATATTCTGCAGGATAGCCTTCCAGCTGAGATTCAGCCGCGACTCATAGTACTTGATGTTCATCGAATTCAGCCATTCTTTCACCGAGTCGAGCGACGTGCTCGGAATCGCATCAATCCGCAGCACGTCCCGCTTGAAATCCTTGAAAACAATCGCCATGTCGAAAGTTTTCTGCCCGAGACCCACGCGCTCCAGATTCACAATCTCGACCTCGTTCAGAGTGACCACCAGGAAGGGCACCTCGATAAGCTCCACGAGGCAGTTCACCGTCGGTACGATGAATGCGGACGACTTGTGCGGCACGCCGTGAAACCCTAATTCCCGGAACGGCACGTCGAATTCGAGGTCGAGACGAGCAAGCTCGCGGTCCTTCTCCCAGAGAGAATGCACCGCGCTGACAAAGGATTTGAACTCCCGGTTGATCTTGCTCCGCCGCTCCCGCTCCCTCTGCTCCTCCTCGATTTCGTCCGGGTCGTAAGCCGAGCGGCGCGAGCCGCCCACTGTTTGGACGACCTCCATGACCTCGGCGAAAAACTGCATGTCTTTCGTCTTTTTCTTGCCGACCATGATGGGGTTGTGCAGGTGGAAGTGCAGCAGGGTGATCATCTCGTTCTCGGCGGGCTGAAAGAAGGCGTGCTTGATGTTGCCATACATCACCTCCACCCTCTCGTCCGGCTGGTAGGGGGGGAGGAGTGTTGAAACAGGGGAGGGGGGGTAAAGGAAGGCGCGAGCAGGAACAGCGGGAAAGAGAGGCAGAAGGGGCTTTAGTTCCCCACAGATGGCAACTGCAAATCCCCCGGACGGGTCAGGCGGGTGAGGCGGGTTGTGCAGGTGGAAGTGCAGCAGGGTGATCATCTCGTTCTCTGCGGGCTGGAAGAAGGCGTGCTTGATGTTGCCATACATCACCTCCACCCTCTCGTCCGGCTGTAAGGTGGTGGGGGGGATGGGGGGGGAGCAGTGACCAGGGAGGGAAAGGAAGACGAAACAAGAGAGGAAAAGGGTGCGGTTCAGGCTTGATGTTGCCACACATCACCTCCACCCTCTTGTCCGGCTAGTGGGGGAAGGGGAGGGACGAGAGGGCCAAGATCATCTCATCACACAACTGACCTTCGCACTGGAATACCAAAGCCCTTTCTCATCTGCTTCTGCACACCACATCACGCACGACACATCAGCAACATACACCATGCACCACACCACAACAAGCTACCGCATGCCACCGCACACCGCTGCACAACCCACCTTGGCAGTGGAATACCGGAACCCGTTCAGATGAGCCTCCAGTGATCCTGTGAGTTTGCGCCCCTTCCCGCCGAACGATGGGCGGATCCAGAGGTCCGGCAGGCGCGGAGGGCGGCCCTTGCTGAGCTGGAGCTTCTCCTGCGTGACAAGTGTCGCTCTCTCAGCACGCTCCGACTCCCGCTGCCGCACATGCTTGCTCATCGTCTTGATCAGTTGCACCACCTGGTGGAAGACGGGGATAAAGAGACGAGGATTGGGGGGTTAGAGAAAGGGGGCGGCGGGAACAAGGGAGAAGAGAATGGTTCAGTTGGTTTGGTGGTGTGTTGACTCCCGCTGCCGCACGTGCTTGCTCATCGTCTTGATCAGCTGCACCACCTGGTAGTTGATGAGAGAGAGTAGAGGACGAAAGCGGAGGAGGAGAAAGGGTGGGGGAGATGTAGTGCCCCTGCTCCTTCAATATCCCGTGCCCCTCTTGCTGACTTTTGAGTCGACTCAAAAATCACCTCAGAGAATCCACTATCCCGTGCCCCTCTTGATGACTTTTGAGTCGACTCAAAAATCACCTCAGAGAATCCACTATCCCGTGCCCCTCTTGCTGACTTTTGAGTCGACTCAAAAATCACCTCAGAGAATCCACTATCCCGTGCCCCTCTTGCTGACTTTTGAGTCGACTCAAAAATCACCTCAGAGAATCCACTATCCCGTGCCCCTCTTGCTGACTTTTGAGTCGACTCAAAAATCACCTCAGAGAATCCACTATCCCGTGCCCCTCTTGCTGACTTTTGAGTCGACTCAAAAATCACCTCAGAGAATCCACTATCCCGTGCCCCTCTTGCTGACTTTTGAGTCGACTCAAAAATCACCTCAGAGAATCCACTATCCCGTGCCCCTCTTGATGACTTTTGAGTCGACTCAAAAATCACCTCAGAGAATCCACTATCCCGTGCCCCTCTTGATGACTTTTGAGTCGACTCAAAAATCACCTCAGAGAATCCACTATCCCGTGCCCCTCTTGATGACTTTTGAGTCGACTCAAAAATCACCTCAGAGAATCCACTATCCCGTGCCCCTCTTGATGACTTTTGAGTCGACTCAAAAATCACCTCAGAGAATCCACTATCCCGTGCCCCTCTTGATGACTTTTGAGTCGACTCAAAAATCACCTCAGAGAATCCACTGTCCCGTGCCCCTCTTGATGACTTTTGAGTCGACTCAAAAATCACCTCAGAGAATCCACTATCCCGTGCCCCTCTTGATGACTTTTGAGTCGACTCAGAAATCACCTCAGAGAATCCTCTGTCCCGTGCCAGGTCATGTGCCGTGCCCCTCTTGCTTATCCATGCCTGCACCATGGCTCACTTTTGAGTAGACTCACAAGCAGACTCTTGCTCATCCAAACCTGCTCTATGGCTCTCTTGCCTGCACCCTGCCTCACCTGTCCAATGACGGTGATCCACAACTCGTCCTAGCAAGGCCTACAATCACAATAATTCACCAGTCAGCCTCTCACGACCCACCCCCCTCACCTGCACCCCACCCTCACCCTCACCTGCACCCAACCCTCACCCTCACCTGCACCCCACCCTCACCCTCACCTGCACCCCACCCTCACCCTCACCTGCACCCCACCCTCACCCTCACCTGCACCCCACCCTCACCCTCACCTGCACCCCACCCTCACCCTCACCTGCACCCCACCCTCACCCTCACCTGCATCCCCTTACATGCAATTCACCCTTCCACTTGGCCTCACCTGCAGCCGGCTTCTCAGCTTCTCCAGCTCTGCTGCCTCCCGCTCCGCCTCCTCCTCCTCTTCCTCCTCCACGCCCTTAGCGCTCATCCTCTTATACACCAGCCAGTCCTCGTCCCTCATTCCAAAATCATCCTCCTCCCCCGCTCCCCCTCCCCCTTTCCTCCCTTCCCCACCCCCCCCCTCCTCCCCCTCCCCCGCCTCCTCCCCCCTTCCCTCCGCCCGCGCCTCTCCGCCCTTTCTTACTCTCAAACGCAGCAGCAGTCAGCAGCTTCATCCTCTCCCTGTGCGCAGCTGTGATTCGCTCCGTGCGCCCACCAGCCACGCTCCCAGCAAGGGCGCCTCCCAGCCCCACGCCAGTCGCCCCTGCAAGGGCACCAGCAGGGCCCCCCAGGGGAGTGATGTCTAGAGTCGCGCCTTTCACTGCCTGGCCTGAGGCTGCCGCTGCTGCTGCCGCCGCAAGAGAGAGCACAGGCGAGGCAGCAGCCACTGAAACTGCTCCTGCTCCTACTCCTGCTGCGGTTGCTGCGGTTGCTGCTGTTGCTGCTGCTGCTGCTCCCACTGCTCCTCCTACTCCTACCGCTTCTCCCCCACTGGCACCTCCTTCCGATCCCATGCCCTTCCCACCAGACTCTTCCCCTCCCACTGATGGCGACGCCGCAGCACCAAGAACCACCCCCCCTGCTCCCATCTTCCTCCGCTTCCTCTGCTCCAGTGCCACCTGCAGCTGCTGAAACCGCGCCCTCAGCTCGGCTGCATACGCCTCTGGGTTCTCCCTGCAGGGGAAACAAGAAGCAGCCGACGACGGGCAGGGCAACAAAGGGGATGGCATGGCAGCAAGACACAACAAAGGTGAAGTTGGAAAATAGGCTCCCACCCAGACCAGCTTCATGCAGCAAGCCGAATGCATGCAATGCAAAGCCGCTCGCTCACCAGCGCTCCCCCTTCCCTGCTCGACTCGTCCCCCACATCCTCACCTCGTCACCTCCGCTCCTCACCTCGTCATCTTATCTTCCTCTCCACATCATCTCATCTTCCTCTCCACGTCATCTCATCTTCCTCTCCACGTCATCTCATCTTCCTCTCCACGTCACCTCCTCTTCCTCCCCGCCTCACCTTCTCTTCCTCTCTTCTTCATCCCTCTCAGCGGCAGCTTTAGCCCGCTTCTCCTGGGCTGCCTGCCGCATCCTTGCCTGCCCCAACGCGACCTTAGAGGCACCTCAGAAGTAGCCCGATCCCACTCGCCTCACCTTCTCTTCCGCTCTTCTTCATCCCTCTCAGCAGCCGCCTTAGCTCGCTTCTCCTCTGCTGCCTGACGCATCCTCGCCTGCCCCAGCGCGATCCCTCGCATCGTCCGCTGCCGCCGCTTCTCCCGCAGCTGCCAGGCCAGAACAAGGGGAGGGAAGGTTGGAGAGAAGATTTGAGAACTGTTTGTATTGAACAGAAGGCCTAGAAGGTGAAAGGATGACAAGGCGAGGAGATGAAAAGAGGATGTGGGAAAAAAAAAGAGGGGAGATTTTGCAGGGTTGGGGAAAGAGAGGAGAAACTGTATCAGCTAGCAGCTGTCTAGATTAGAGAGATGGCTAATAAAGTGAAAATAACACTTTTGAGTCAACCGAACAACTCACCTCCTCGGCTGTCAGTTCTGCATCCGGGATATCAAGCAGCGGGTACAGCACCGACTCATCCTGCTCCTCCGCCCCCCCTGCCACTGATCCCGTCTCCCCCTCCTCCCCTTCCCCCTCCCCCTCCTCCCCCTCCCCCTCCCCCTCGCCCTCCTCCCCCCTCAGCTTCCTGAGAGTCGCCATGCACTTGGCAAGCTTGCCTCGTGCTTCTGAGAGCGTGGCACAGCGCACACGCGAGAGCAGCTGGACAGGGAGGAGGTGGGGAAGGGGGGGAGGAGGGCGAAAGGGGAGGAATATTGAGTCTCCTGAGAGTTGCAATGCTCTTGGCGAGCTTGCCTCGTGCTTCTGAGAGGGTGGCACAGCGCACACGCGAGGGAAGCTGGGAGGGGAGTGGGAGAGGGAAAGGGAGGAGGGAGTGGGGGAAGAGAGGGGAGAGGGAAGAGGAGGACTTTTGAAATGCCTCAAGAGTGGCGTGACGAGTGGAGGATGAAGAGAGGACATACAATGTTTGATGAAAATGGCCGGATGAAAAGTGGCGGATGAAGAGTAAAACCGACAACCCACCATGATCGCCTCTCTCCCTTCCGCCCCGTCCTCCACATCTTCGATCACCGCTCTCAACCCCTCCACCTCCCCCTCCACCTCCTCCAGCTCCGCCGCCCGCTTCGCCGCCCGCTTTGCAGCAGCCATGTCCCTCAACCGCTGCCCCGCGCGCTCCTTGTTGGCCGTCCGTCTCGCCACCTCCTCCTCTGACGGGCCCTGGGGGGCCACGGGCGCCACCCACGGCAGCTGCCAGGAAACTACCGGGGCAGCTGGAGACTGGGTGGTGGTGGAGGGGAGGGAAGGGGGAAAGGGGGTGTCGGGGGGGGGAAAGGGAGGGTATGGTGTGTGGGTTTCGGTGGCTTTTGAGACACCTAAAAAAATGTGAAAGTGCATGGGTGACTCTCATTCCTTAGAATCCGCCATGTCCCTTAGCAGCCGCCATGTCTCGCGGGCGCTGCCCTGCGTGCTCTCTCCCATGCACGGACGTCAAATCCTTAGGTGCCTTAACGCTTACCTTGTGCTCTCTCTCTCTTTCTCACCTGGAATGTCTTGAGCTCTTGCGAGTAGTCAAGGGCAACATACACACCCCGGCACTTCATCTCCTCTGCTCTCTCCCATGCATGGATGTCAAACCGTTAGGCGCCTTGGATTGGAATCTACCTAGTGGTTTCACTCACCTGGAATGCCTTCAATTCCTGCGAGTAGTCAATGGCCACATACACACCCCGGCACTTCATCTCCTCGGCTCTCTCCCACGTTATAACAGATCTGTGGTGACACATGTGACGTGGCATGACAGAGTGACGTGGCATGACAGAGTGACGTGGCATGACAGAGTGACATGGCATGACAGAGTGACATGGCATGAGAGGTTGATGTGGCACGACAGTGTGTCCGCGTGCGCGTGAGTGAGTGAGTGCGTGCGTGGATGTGTGCGTGCGCGCGCGCGCATGTGTCTGTGTGTCTGTGTGTATGAGTGTGCGTGTGAAAGAAAAAAATCGCCATGAAATCCGGAATTGGGTCATACAAGGCCGTGTTTGAATGAAACCAGCACACAATGCACTGCTGTGACCAGTCAAGGATTGATGAAACACGGTGTGCGGTGCGAACACAAAGCTTTGCAAAACGGTACAGAGTGGTCGCACTGATTGGCATGCCATGCCATGAGGATAGCAGGCCTCATGTCAGGCTTCTTTCCATCACCCTAAGCTAAGCAGAGGAAGAATGTAAAAAAAGGGGAAAAACAACTGAAGGACAAACGAGAAGGGGGGATGAACGATGTGTAGAGGATGGGTGGAGGAAGGGTGCGGTGAGGGAGGGGAAGGAGGCGGACATGGGGACGGGGGGGGTGAGAAGGCGGCGAAGAGGGGGCCTGAGCTGTGATGGGGGGAGAAGAGGGGGCGCTGAGCTGTGGGGCACGTACGCGTGTTGTGGATAGAGCAGAGTGAGAAGGCGCTTCAGGTAGTCAGTGACGTGCCATCCACCAACGGGAATGCGACACGTGGCGTCCAGCAGAGGCTGCCCTGCGATCATCTGCCTGCACATGGCGCCACGTGGCAGCGTACGATTGGCTCTTGATGGCAGCAGACGAAGGCGAGGTTACGAAAGCAAGAACGAGAGAGAGGGGGGAGGATAGATAGAGAAAGGCGGGTGAGAGAGCGAGAAAGAGGGCGTGAAGGGGCGAAAGAGAAAGTTCAGGAGGGCGAGAAAGACGGGGTTAGAGAGTGAAGCAAGAGGGCAGCAGCAGGAGCGCACGCACGGGCATGACATGGGTGGTGGAGTGGCCGCAGTTGACCAGCAGACCGTCCGGTACAGAGTGGTGCTGTGCGGTGTTGTGGCGATAGCTGAACACCCCATCAACTCCGAACGCTGCAAGGGTGCAGGGCAGCCGATGCGGTGGAGAGGGGTGGGATGGGATGGCATGAGATGTGAGAGGAGCATTGGAGACGAGGGTATGAGGTGCAGGGAGAGGCTTTCAGTGGAAAGTGAGTGAGGAAGGATTGAGGACGGGAGGGGAAGGGAGGGGTGGAGAGGAGTGCAGAGGAGTAAAAGATGAGCAACGCAAGGCAAGGTAGGATGGTAAGCATGGCAGGTGGGACATGGCGTGACAAGACATGACAAGACATGACAAGACATGACAAGACATGACAAGACATGACAAGACATGACAAGACATGACAAGACATGACAAGACATGACAAGACATGACAAGACATGACAAGACATGACAAGACATGACAAGACATGACAAGACATGACAAGACATGACAAGACATGACAAGACATGACAAGACATGACAAGACATGACAAGACATGACAAGACATGACAAGACATGACAAGACATGACCTAAGTTGCCAAATACGCTAGGGACAATTAGCGTTTAGCGGATATACGCTGGCGTTTACACACTAACCGCTAAACACAAGCAAATACGCTAAACGCTCGCAAATATTTTTCTGGGGCAGCCCGACCGGAAAAAATGTGAATATGCTGAAAGTTGCGGAACTGGACGAAGAGCATTTTGCCGAAGTCGAAATGCACGTCCGCGATAGTCATGTGTGTAGGAGTGGTAATCTTATAATGGGGTAAAACAATACCTCTGAAACATAACACCCCAGTTTTCCCCCCTATGATAGCCCTGGCGGTTTTTTATCCCTGCCCGGGAAAGTTTTTTCCCTGCCCAAAAAAGCGTATGTCCATATCGCCCCCTAAGCGGATAGCGTATATACACTAGCGTATATACGATAAGCGTATATACGCTATAAGCGTATTTGGCAACTTAGGACATGACATGGCATGACATGACATGACATGACATGATATCCGAATGCAGCTTGTGACGCCCTGGCAAACTGCACAAGCTGACACACCTCTCTAGCAACGGACGGACACCACAACACTCCCGAAACGCCCACGCACGAAACACTCCAGCTCACTCCCCACCGCATGAAAAAAGAAGAGTTTTGAGACGTCTCAAAACTCTTCTTCTTTCACGAAACACCCCAGCTCACTCCCCACCGCACCACACCACTCGACACCACACCACTCCATGGCAGGGATGCTACACCTGTACTGTCTTACCCAGGGCCGGGACTCCGTACGACTCAAACATGAGCTCAGCTGTCTTGCCACGCGCGTACAGGGGCCGTCTGTTGCATTGCATATCCCAAGCTTACCAAGCGCAGCGATGCTACACTACACCTGTATGCCTCACCCAGGGCAGGGATGCTACACCTGTATATCCCAGACTTACCCAGGGCAGGCACGCCGTAGGTCTCAAACATGAGCTCTGCTGTCTTGCCACGCGTGTACAGGGGCGCGCAGGGAGCCTCAGTCAATAACACAGGGTGGTTTACCCTGCCGCCGCCTTCCACCCCCAATCGATCAAACGCGTAATCAAAGATCTGCGAAGTACGGCGCGAAAAAGCATGGTGGAAAGGGAGGAGAAGGGGGGTGGGGGGGGAGGAGAGGGATGAGGGGAATGGGCAGGGAAGTAACAGGGGAGGGAGGAAGATGATGGGTTTTGAGGAGCCTCAAAACAAACACGTGAAGGAGATTGTAAACGAAAGTGTAGTGTAATGGAGGGGAAAAGCCAGGAAATGAGGAATAAACGGGAAGCCAGGCTGGACTGGAGTATAGTCCTCCTTAGGCAGAACAAACAAGCGAGGGAGCGAGGGCAGCAGCGAGAGGCATACATACGCATTCCATGAGCTCGAAGTTATAGATGACGTTGGACTCAAAGGGCAGGCGAGCGGGGGGTAGGGAGGATAGGGGGGGAGGAGGAGCAGCAAGGGAGCGAGGGCAGCAGCAGCAGGGGCATACATACGTACACATTCCTCCATGAGCTCGAAGTTAAAGATGACGTTGGACTCAAAGGGCGAGCGAGGGATAGTAGAGAGGGAGAAGAGCAGCGAGGCAGCGAGGGCAGCGAGGCAGCGAGGCAGCGAGGCAGCGAGGGCAGCGAGGCAGCGAGGCAGCGAGGCAGCGAGGCAGCGAGGGCAGCAAGTGAGGGAGGGTAGCAAGCAAGGGCCGTACGAATTCCATGAGCTCAAAGTTAAGAATTACGTTGGACTCAAAGGCTGAGCAAGAGGGATACGTAGGGAGGAAGAGAAGGGCAGCCCAGGAAGCAACAAGCGAGAGGCACACATACGCATTCCATGAGCTCGAAGTTATAGATGACGTTGGACTCAAAGGGCGATCGGATGCTCTGCCGCCCAAACTCCAGCGCCCTCAGCGCCGGCCACGCAGGGTCCCAGTCGCCCACCACCGTCACCTGCGAGCCTGAAGTGATGCGAGGTGGGGTAGGGTGGGGTGACAGATGGATGGATGGGCAGGCAGTGCCCGGTGAATGGAGAGAGGATGAGATGAAGGGCAGGGGCGAACTAGAGAGGCGTCAACTCCAGTGCTCTCCCAGCGCTCTCCCAGCGCTCTCCAAGCGCTCTCAGCGCCGTGCTGGCCATGAGGGGTCCCAATCGCCTACCACCGTCACCTGCGAGCCTGGCATGGTGGGGTGGGTGTGGTGGGGTGGGGTGGGGTTGGGTGGGGTGACCGATGGATGGGCCACGCGGGGTCCAGTCGCCCACCACCGTCACCTGCGAGCCTGAAGTGACGCGAGGTGGGGTAGGGTGGGGAGGCGGAGAAAGAGTAGCAGGAGGAGAAGGGGAAGGAAGGTGCAGGTGGGTGGCGGTGGGGTGACGGGTGCAGGAGCATGGGTCAAGGAGGGTCCCAGTCGCCACCACGGTAACCTGCGAGCCTGGCATGGTGGGGTGTGGTGTGGTGGGGTGAAATGGGTTGCAATATGGTGGAAGTGAGTTCTGGTGCGGTGCGGGGAGGAGGGTTAGACGAGCATGGTGAGAGGAGAGGAGAGGAGGGGTTCAGTCGCCCACCACCGTCATCTGTGAGCCTGGTGGTGGGGTGCGGTGGGGTGAGGGATAACTTTAAAAAAAAAAAAAAATTGTTAAGTGAGGTGAAATGAGGGGGGAGGGGGAGGCGATAGACAAGCATGGGCAGTGAAGCACAGGCTCTCACTTCTCGCCCTCTCACACTCTCCCAACCTTCCCTCCTCGCCCCCTTTCTCCCCCTGTCCCCCCTGTTCCACCCTACCCGCTCCTCTTCCCACCCCCACCGCTCACCCCAGTCCTCCCCGCTCACCCCTCTCTCCCCCCTGCTCACGCCCGCTCACCCCCGCTCCTAGGCCGCGGCCGCCCCACGACGCTCCTGAAGTCCACCCGCGGATCCGCCTCCCTCCGAGCTCACCCCCTCTTCCGAGCCCCCGTTCTCCCCCCACTCACCCCCGCTCACCCCCAGTCCCTCCATTCTCCTCTCCCCAACGCTCACCCCCACTGCGAGGCCGCGGCCGCCCCACCACGCTCCTGAAGTCCACCCGCGGATCCGCCTCCCCGCCCCACCTGCGCGCATGGCACAGGGGGGAGGCGGAGGGGGAGGGAGGAGAGGGGAGGGAGAGGGGAAACGGGCGGGGGGAGGGGGACGCGAGAGATGAGGCGAGGAGGCAACGGAGAGAGGGGTCGGCGGAAGGGGAAGGATGAGCTGGTACCAAGCGATGCGGAGTGGTGCTTTGAGTCGACTCAAAACACGACAAGAGGAAGGATGAGCTTGTACCAAGCGATGAGGAGTGGAATCAACGGGATTATCGTGGAGCGGAAGAAAGGAGGGGAAGGTGAATGGAGGAGGGAAGGGGTGGACGGGGGTAGAGGGTGCGGTTGGGGGGGTGCATTGGAGGCAGATAGCAGCAGACCTAAACCTCGAATTCCCAATGCAGGGAACGCCTACCCCGCACCTACCCCGCGCCTACCCCGCGCCTACCCCGTGCCAATCCCGCGCCCACCCCGCGCCTACCCCGCACGGCGCCCACCCTATTCGGCAGCGGTGCGAGCCGTTGTCGATGACCACGAACGCGTCGCTTCGATCCGCGTATTTCGCGCGATAATCGCTGCATCGAGCGGGCCGCTCAAGCACCCCGCCTCCTCCCCCTTCCGTGCCTCTTCCCCCCGCGCCTCTCCCGTGTGGACCACCCCTATCGCCGTGATCGCGGTCGCCGCCTCCGCCCTCGCCGCCGCCACCCACGCCGCCATCCCCGCCGCCGATGCCTCTACGCCCGCGATTGGCGCCGCTCCGCTTCCCCAAGTACCGGTCGGCTCCCCATTGGCCGAACTGCAGCACTGGGGGCGAGCCGCTGAGGGGTTGCGATCGGACAGCGGCGTCGGAAGGCGTCGAAGCGCGGGTAGGTATTGGAGTCATACGGACCGTTTTCTGAGACGTCTCAAAGCACGAGACGCATAAGGACCGCTGAAATCGTCTATTCAACTTTGAAGGTCATCCAGAGTGGGACGTTTCATGTGGACGTTGATAAGGCGCAGCCCACACGTTCGTCCGAATACGGCTCAGTGAGATGCTATACGTTGCACAACGGTCAAATCAGTATGTAGATTGGTCGGGTAGGGTTCTGAGAAAAAACAACAATGTAGGACGCGTCCCCCCAGCAGCCGTTGTAATTCGGAACTGTGCTCGCGATTTCAGTGCTCCGATAAGGAGCAACGCATGTTGTAGCGACCAAATTAGTTGGGGGAATCCTTGACGCACATGTAAAAGCTTGCATCAAGACACTCTGTTTATGGCTGTAGTTTTGGAATACTTTTTTTTTCTGAATTAGTGAAGTTGTTCGTAATGGATGTATTACACGAATAGTGAAGCTGTTCGTAAGGACTGGCACTCTTGCACACACGAAAGGCCAAGCGCCTTGGGACCAATCGAAGGGCTGTCTCTTTTGAAAAGCCAAAGAACAAGATTCGATCATTGGACTAAGAAAGTACACGCAATGCTCCTTTGAAGAAAATCAGCACATAGGTATCCATCATGTGTGCTCGCTCATTTTACGGAGAAAAAATGGGTACGGCCCGCGCGGTTCAGTGCGCTCAATCACATCGCTTAGAATTCTGGAGACGAGACAGCTGTAGACTGAAAATAAGGACAGGTACATTTGCAGATATGACTCAAACACAACAAAGGATGTCTTCCAGAGAAACACATTACTTGTACGAGACTCACGCTTGCTCGTTTTCAGTCATGGTAGAGAGAAGCTTGCCAGCACAAGCAGAACGTTTGGGCACGATACAGTCATGTGTCAATTAAACGTTCCATGTGAATATATATGTTCAACGTGTACACTAGCGTAAGTTTCTCAAGCATTCAAGCCATGACTTGTTCCCCTTGAATTCCTTGTGTTGGCAGTTGAATTTCCTTGACACAAGCTGAAAAATGTGGATGAATGGCTCAAGGAGGCAAGGGGACTGCAATCAGCTACTGTACAGTAGTCCTCTCATCAACTGGGGCGGTCAAAGTGCAAAAGACACAATGGATTGAGCTAGTGCTTAAATATGTGAGCTGCTTCCTTATGTGGGGTTTCGCGGTACCGTGTACTTCCATCTATCTCTATTGCACAGAGTCACTTGACCCCCCGAAAATTCTGATGTTCGTCCTGGTATCGAGTGGGTTATTTGGCCTGAAATTTTTGAAGAAATCCGTTTCTACTGTGGTGTGGGACAAGTTCACGTGCAGCCAAATTAAATGCAATGCCCGCGTGTCCACTCGTTGCTAGCCGCCATCAAAACCCACCAACCACGCCCTTACACGCTCCATCTCTTGTCTTTCCTGGCGGTGTGTCGTGGGCCGCGATGCACACTTCTCTTGAAACGAAGAATGTGTCTGCCCGAACAGTTCCGAGACACCAGCCCAACTGCCTAGAGTCTCTTGTCTTCACCCGTGTCCATAAAAAAATCATAGCTGGCATGGTTCTGATTGGGCCCGGCGACGCCAGCCACTTGTTCCCATATCAACACCAAAGCAATCCGCTTCGATTCTAGGAGCAGCAAAGGGCTCCGCTCCGCACAGCATGACCGCGAGTTGGCGCAAATCCCTTGCCTGGTGCGGACGCAACCCATGATCCATCCCACCCACCACCACCCATCAACTGCACTGCACATTGTGAAAGGTTTTCCCCCAAAGGTCCTTCCCCCATCGCGCAAGTCTATCCGCCTCACCCGCCGGGCTTCCCCCCCTCGTCTCCCCCATCCATCTCACTCACTCACTTGCCTTGCCCCCCTCCTCTCCCTCTTCCTCCCTCTCCCACGCCAACGCATCCAGTTCTGCCAGCTCCTCACCGCTTCGTTCCCTTGAAGATCTCCCTTGGTTGAATCAGTCAGTTTGTTACCATTCCAAGTTTTCTCAGCAAGCTTGGTTGTCCAGTTTCGTTTTACGCCTTTTCACCCAAGGGTTTGTCAGATTGGAGCAGCTCAAGTTGAACTGCGCACACTTAATTTCTTAGCCTTGCGCACGCCGCTGGGTATTCCTCATAATCATGGTCGACCTCGTTGGGCGTTTTCACAGTGACCTTGGGGCCGCGGGTCCGTGCTTAACTCTCGGGCCACCCGGGCGCTGGCTCGAGCCGCAGTCCCACGTTACGGAATTAGAACTCGGCAAACGCAAGGCTCGAGAAGTGCCGTCGCCGTCGAAATCTCGACCTCAGGAAACAACATCGTCAGACGAGTGAGTCCCGTGAAGCGGCAAAATTGTGGTCATCGCTGAGACTCTATTGATCCATTCTGAGTTTCCGCCCGTTAGCCCTAGTAACGTCGGATTAACAAAGTTGAAGTTTGTTTGTGCGCAGTGTGAGACTATTGAGTCCGATGATCAAGAGCCCAGACTCTTCGAGACCTGCTCGGAAAAGGTGACTTTTCGAGACTTCTGTAGTTCTATTCCTTTTAGGGTTGGAAATTCAAAGGGACGCGGCTGTGAAATTATTGCTTACGACGACTCGGAGTGCGTGTCATGTCAGGTCGCGTGATGATCTGGAGGAAGCGGGGCTCAGCAAAGCACAACGAGAAAAACTGCGTCGCGACCGACTTAATGACAGGTACAAGGCGTGACGCGCGTAACGCTCGGATTTTTTCAGCTACTTAGCGCTTGCGTCACGCCTTGACGTCCACTGATTACCCTGCGGTTCTGTAACATCAACATCCGTTGTATGATATTCATTGATTTATTTCCTTATTTTCCCTCCTCTCAGGTTTCTTGAGCTGGGCCGCGAGCTGGATCCAACCACGACTCCGCGGACGGACAAGGGCATAATTCTCAACAACGCCGTTCGTGTGCTGACCGGCCTCAAGGCGGAGGCTGCTGCTCTCAAGCAGGGCACGTGGCAGCTCCAGGAGCAGATCAAGGAGCTCAAGGTGAAAAGAAAATGACACAACTTGGTTGTCTGTTTGTTGTTGTTGTTGTTGTGTTTTTTTTCTCTCTCTTTTCTTTTTTTTTACGACAATTGTCGTTCTTCCTTTTCTTCAGGCTGAGAAGTCGGAACTTCGGGACGAGAAGGCCCGCCTCAAGGCACAGCGGGAGTGCCTCCAGTTGCAACTTCAAGCGTTGCCGCTTCCTACACCAGATCGATTTTCGTCCCCGGCTGCTGCTGCCGCTGCAGCTGCCGCAGCCCTCGCTGCACTTCAGGCTGCCGCAGCTGGGCCCATGTCCAACCATTTCGCTGTGAAGCCTCCAGCGTCCATACCTGCTGATGCAGCACAGGGTGCGCCTGGTTCTGCATGGCAATGGCTTCAGTCGGCGTCAGGAGATGTTAAGAGAGACCAGATCCTTAGGGCTCCAGTGGCATGACTGCACTGGCTCACCTTTTTCCATCCCCTAAGTTGTGGGATGGTTGCTAGCCTTGGAAGGCATGGCAAGGCTTCTATATTTCTGTATAGTGGTTCTTTGGGGGGTTTGGGGTGGGAGGGGGGAGGGGGGAAGGGCTGAAGGGTAGTATGCATATGTAGATTTTACGTTTCCTTTTGCAGGTGGGAGGGAGTTTTCGAGTAGCAACCGGCTACTGGTTGAGCTTGGACCACCCCTTGCCTAGTTAAGGTGGGAGGACGATTGTTTGTATTGCTGTTTTTCGTCCTCTTAATAATTATCCCAATTATTTGCAGCTCTTAATGAAAATTCATGTCACAAATGTTCACTCCCTAACGCTTTGTCACAACTCTTGAAGAGAATTTATTTTGGTGGTATGACAAGGGGTGGCAGAGTTTTGAGGGTTTTGAGCAAAAGATCAGCTCACCTTGATCTGATCAGATGCAAGAATTTGGGGGAAGGCGAAGGGAGATGGTTGGAGTACCGCGGCGGGAGGGAGCGGGGGGTAAGGGGGAATGTCGGAGAGGGGGGGAAACTGGGGGCAATCGGTCCCAAACCAACCCAATCTGAGGGCGTGTCTGAAGTGCAAACGTCGAGTTTCGTCAAATTTCGTCGACGAAACTCATCCGTGGGACCCACGCGTGTTGGTGTCTGAAGTGCAGCCTGACATCCCTCGACGAAACTCGACGTTCGTGCACATGTCGAGGGATGTCGAACAGTGATACCGGGCAGCTGTTTGAGTCACTGTAGTCAGTGAGTGTTTCAAAAACAATTCTTCGACACGCCATGTCTGCATAGCTGTGGCAAACACACGTGAATAAGAACTAAGACGAGAGCGACACGTGCTAGAGAAATTTCGCTGGCAATGTGACAGTAGAATATCCGGTGTTACCAGCAACAATCTATGCTAAGCGAAATTCGCGAGATTGCAAACAATTGAGTTACATGAATGATTCTGTTAATTCCACGTCGAATTTTCATGGGCAACTTATAACAGTTTTCCTATGGCACGTGTGGGTTATTTTGTCGTGTGGGTGTCTGAAGTGAACACAGCTGAAAACGGATGTCGAGTTTCGTCAAGGAACGTCGACAAAAGTTTCGTCGGCAAACGTCGAAATTCACTTCAGACACGCCCTGAGACAGCTGCCCTGCGTGCATGGGGTTTGTCTGCGCTTGTCTGGCCGCTGTGCTACAGTAAGTGCACGAGAGGAGCCCCCTGGTCAGCCCGATTTTTGCACGTGGAGCTGCTTCGAACCGTGCAAGGTGGCGATAAGGTTGGTTGAAATCGTCCAATCAGCGCGGTTCAGGGTTTCGCTTTCATGAGCTCCCTGGACCATTTCCATGAGAAGGGGGCGTGGCATGGGACGCCGACGGCGTGTCCGCCTGACACGCGTGTCCCTCACATCTCTAAAGCCACTCCGCCAACCGCCGTCGCGTGCCAGGGATGGTCGGACGACGTTCACGACGTTCGCGAACAGAAGGGTCGCTCCAAACAGTTCCCTTGAAAATCGCTCGCAACCAATCAATAAGGTACGATGAGTCGAAGGGCCGCGCCGCTGCATGGCTCTGTATTTGCTCCTCATTTCAAGCAGGGTCCATCCACACGTCAACATCTGGATCTGCGTAAGCAACCAGTCGCCACACACGCTCCCGCACCAACGAATCCATTTTTGCGTGACTACGATCCGGGGGTGTGGTTGGGGATGGATGGAAGCCTCGGATGAGACCTCAGGCCAGTTGTACACGTGCACCAAGGACGTCCTTGGTCTGGGAACCAGCGCAAGTCGAAAAGCTCATCAAACCACACCACGTTTGGCTTGGTGTTGGCCCTCGGCCAGCGCAGATTCTTGGCTTGGACGCAAAAATGGTGCTGCTGTGGTATGGTTTTGGAGCGACCGAGTGCGGCTCCACCACTGGTTTGTGGCCCCGAACCACATCAAGACATCATGGCGAAAACCTTCCCGCTGGTGCTCCGTCTCCCCACCCCAATCCAATCCCCAACTCCCAACTCCCTCCCTCTGAACACCATCAGGAATATATCAGAAATCTATTACTTCAGGGACTTGCGATCAGTATTTAGGACGCTCGACCATTCACAGTTGCTCCCTCTACTCCCTCCTCCAGATACGCCTGTGATCCTGTTGACTAAATCCCCAACCGCAATATCATTTTGCCTCTTTCTGATTCACTGAAAGCCGGTTTTCCATTCCTGCCTTCAACCCGCAATGGATTGGTCTCGTTCATTGAAACTAGAAGCAGACTGTGCGCTCTCGCTTGGTCCCATGTGGCAATCACAAGACAGTCTTGAGAGAAGGTCAGCATTTACGCAGACATGATCTCCAGATAATATGGTCCCATGTTCGGCCTTGTTTAAATGCCTGTGACTCCAAATGACGCACTGTCATCTTCTCCTGCTGGGTTATTCGTCCCCGTTTGCCTCTGCAGTCCAGACTCCGCTGCTAGACAACACTCGAACGACTGCTTGCCGCCTTCTAGAAAACGGTGAGATGTTTTCCGTTGCTGCTTTGTTTAGTGAGCACTCGATCATAGTATCTAGGCAGAATGGGGTTACATTGAACTTGTCTGCTTACTATTTGTCCTTTGGTGTCGCCTTTTCTCGTGCAGGGTTCGGGAAGACGGTGCTTGCGAGAGAGAAATTACCTTTAGCAAAGCCACCAGGGAGAAGTTGCGACGCGATAGATTAAACGACAGGTACCATTTATCGATCATTCCTCCAATCACTTCGCACTCCATCTCTGTTCCTCCAATCGCTTAGCACACGGACGTCCTTCATTCCACATCTTCATTTCCGCATTCGTCGGCGGCAGTCCATCGGCGGCGTGTTGAAAGGCGTTGCATGTTTGTCTTCGCCACCCTTCAGATTTCAAGAGCTTGCAAGGGAGCTTGGTCCGTCGGCAACCGTAAAGGTGGATAAGGCGGTCCTCCTGACGGAAGCTGTCCGATTGCTTGTTCGTTTGAGAGCTGAAGCCGCAAGCCTGCTGACGAGTAACCAGCAGCTTCAGGATCAAATCAAGGAGCTTAAGGTACCGATTGTCAGTTCCATACCTTTGTTTTGCATCGAATACGTCGTATCGTCTTTCGAATTCGAGCCATGGTCTTCGATCAGGAGAGCTTCGGCTTGCATCTTTCTTCTCCGTGGTTTTCAATGAGGTGTAACGGCTCTTTCTCTTCCCACGTACAGGCTGAAAAATCCGAACTGAGAGAGGAGAAATCACGCCTAAAAGCTGAGCGGGATCGTCTGCGGATGCACCTCGATACCCTCACAGCTCCCACCAGGACCAACAGTTTCTTAGGCCAGTCGTCAACTACAGTTTTGCAGCCGCAAACAGCGTCGCACTCACCATACCCCGCACACCAAACGCCTGTCAAGGTTGAAGTTGTGCGGTTGCCTCATCAACAGCATCTATGGCAGTTCCTGCCATCCGGCGTGGCTGATGCATCTGCAGATCGGTTTTTGACGCCACCTGTGGCGTAGCAGCGCCCTCTAGTGTAATTTTTGTGTCTCGGTTTGCAAGAGTTGAGATGTTTGAATTGTGCATACGGTATTGTGTTTGGTGAGTTGCTGCTGTTGTAAGACTAGAACTGGGAAGTCGTCGCTTTCCTTTATTTGCCTTTATTAAGTTTTGAGCAAAACTGGCAAGCTGGAAGCTATTGAAGTCAAGATCCATGTCGAATCTACATAATTTCTTTTCTACAAAAAAAATCTTTACCTAGTTGCATATTCTTTCCCTCATGAAACAGCAGTCACAACATTGTTCTTTTCGCTCCCCTGCCCTAACCTCCCTGCTGCTGCTCCAACAGCAGCACCTGCAGCACCTAACCCCTCCCCTCCATGCCCACCACCATTGCCAACTGCTAACACCCCTCCCCCTGCCCCTCCCTGCTGTAACTGCTGCTGACCTACAGGCACTAGCGCACCATTCACATCAGCACCAGGCCCACCAACCAATGGCATCGCAGCTCCGGAAGGATCAACGGCTGCTGTTGCATCTGGTGGCATGTGCGGCTGCAGCGCGTGGAGGCCTGAGGGGGCTGCGGAGTGTGTGGACGGACCGCCTGGTGCTGCCTTTCCGTTCAGCCGCTCCTGAGAGTGTTTTGGAATGGGATGGAGTGGGACGAGTGGGATGGAGTGGGATGGAGTGGGATGGAATGAGACGGAGTGAGTTGGAGCGGGATGGAGTGGATGAGTGGATGAGTAAATGAGTGGATGAGTGAAGGGCATGGATGGAGCAGATGGAAAAGTTGTGTCAATGAATGGATGGGATGAATGGAGTGGTTGGGCATAAGGAGTAGCAGAGAAGGAAGAAATAACAGCATCATCTATAACAACATTTTGAGCAGCAACACCACCCAGCCATCCACGTGCTTTTAAGTCAACTCAAAAGCCCCCCCACCTGCAGGAGGGCGTTCTGCTGCGCCATCTTGTGGCACTCCTCCTGCATGCGCTCCAGCTCCACCTGTTGACAGCCACCCGGCCCTCCCACACATCTAACCACCCATCCACCCACCCCCCGCACCCACCTGCAGCAGCGCGTTCTGCTGGGCCATCTTGTGGCACTCCTCCTGCATGCGCTGCAGCTCCACTCGAATCGTCTGATTCTCGTCCGTTAGAGCGCGCACCCGCCCCATCAGATCCTCACACTCCGCCTGGGGGTGAGGGGATAGGAAATTGTAAGGAGAGAAGATCTCTGTAAGAGGAGAAGATAACTGTAAGAGGAACAGACATTTGTAAGAAGAGAAAAAAAATGTAAGAGAAGACACTTGTAAGAGGCGAAGATATTTGTAAGAGAAGATAATTGTAAGAGAAGATATTTATAAGATAATTTATTTTCAAGAGCATTCACACACCCGCCCCATCAGACCCTCACTCTCCGGCAACTTCCCATCCCCCCTTCGCCACACACCTGCTTGCGCAGCCGGGACCGCCTAGCCGACTCTCTGTTGGACTGCTTGCCTCTCAACCCCCTCCCCTCCCCTCCCCTCCCCTCCCTCCCTCTTTCCCAGCCACCGCCTCCCACCCCCCTTCACCACACACCTGCTTGCGCAGCCGGGACCGCCGTGCCGACTCTCTGTTGGACTGCTTGCGGCGCTGCTTCTTCACCTCCCGGTCGTCCTGCTCTCGCACGCACAGGGAGAAGGGTGGAGGAGTGGGGGAGGGAGGTGAGGGGGGTTGTTATTACATAACCCGCTGTTGGGCTACGGTGCCGACTCTCTGTTGGACTGCTTGCGCCGCTGCTTCTTCACCTCCCGGTCGTCCTGTGAGCACACAGAGAGGAGAGGGGGAGGGGGGGGGGGGGGGAGAGGGGGGGGGGGGAGAGAGAGGGGGGGGGGGTATAACCCGCACTTGGACTGCCGACTCTCTGTTGGACTGCTTGCGCCGCTGCTTCTTCACCTCGCGGTCGTCCTACCAGCACAAAGGGAGAATTGGGGGCGGGGGTGCAGGGGGGAAGGGAAAGGAGGTACGGGAAAGAACAGCACGCGAGGACGCGGAAAACGAGGGGGGGAAGAGGTTTACTGGATAGAGGTTCAAAGGGTGAGGGAGCGGAAAAGAGACTCACAGAGTGAGGGAGGGGAAAAGCGATTCGGAGTGAGAAAACTAAAAGAGATTCAACATGAGGGGGAAAGAAACTCGGGAGGATGAGAGAGCAAAGAGAGATCCAGAGAGATCCAGAGAGATCCAGATCCAGACTCACAGACTGCACCCATAGGTCTGACGACATTCCCATCCCTCCTCCCCCTCCCCCTACCACCGCTCCCCGCTTCTTCCCCGCCCCTGCTCCCCCAGCACCACCACCACCACCACCACTACTGCCACCAGCAGCACCACCCATTCCCCCGCCAACCATCCCCCCGCCCCCCCCTGCCGCCCCAGCTCCCCCCCCGCCCGCCCCCACTCCGGGAATCCCCCCCATTCCGCCTGCCATGCCCACTCCCTGCCCCCCCGGCCCCATCTGCCCTGCTGCTGCCGCAGCAGCTGCTGCTTGGTGCATTTGTGCCTGAGCTTGCGCCTGGGCCTGGGCTTGCGCGGACCAGTAGTCTATGGGCACCATTCCCCCCATCTCCCCCGCTTCCCCTGCCTTTCCGCCAGCGCCCCCCCCTTCCTGCAGAAGGGAGAGGTGCAAAGGGGAAGAAGGGAAGGAGGGCAGGGCGAGAGGGGAAGGGAAAGAAAGGGTGGAGAACAAGGGACGAGTAAGAAGTTAGCATTGCCCCTCTTCCTATTCCCCTCGTTAGTATCATATCATCACGGCATCATCATAACATAACAGCATCATCATCAGCGCACAGCATCATCATCAGCGCACTCACCTCGTTATGGTCCGTGCCCTCGTCCTTCTCTGAGTCATCCTCCCCTCCTCATAATCAAACCAACTTCGGTGCATTCTAACGCAAAGCCACGGCATCACATCATAATAATATCACCGTCGCACACAGCAGCAGCATCAGCAGCAGCGCGCGCACTCACCTCATTATGGTCCGTGCCCTCGTTCTCCTCTGAATCATCCTCCCCCCATCACCGCACCGCACCGCACCAGCTTCATTACATGCATGATAACGCCAAGTCGTGACATCAACACAAGCACCAGCAGCAGCAGCAGCAGCAGCAGCAGCAGCAGCAGCAGCAGCAGCAGCAGCAGCAGCAGCAGCAGCAGCAGCAGCAGCAGCAGCAGCAGCAGCAGCAGCAGCAGCAGCAGCAGCAGCAGCGCTCACCTCATTATGGTCCGTGCCCTCGTCCTCCTCTGAATCATCCTCCCCTCCGCTGCAACACCACCACCACAGAGCATGGATTAGAAACACAGGTGTTACAGAAAGGCGAATAGAAGACTTCCACGCCCATGCATGGACTAGTTGACTTTTGAGTCGACTCAAAAGTCAGGTGTTATATTTGAGTCGACTCAAAAGTCAGGTGTTACAGAAAGGCAAAGGCGAATAGAAGACTTCCACGCCCATGCATGGACTAGTTGACTTTTGAGTCGACTCAAAAGTCAGGTGTTACAGAAAGGCAAAGGCGAATAGAAGACTTCCACGCCCATGCATGGCCTAGCGACACAGGTGTCAATGAAGGGCAAAGAGAAACCCGTACACCACCCACCCCTCCCCCCTTCCAGTCTCACACACCCACCCATCCATGCACACCTATCCACACACACACCCATTCACCCACCCCCCACCCATACAAACCCCACCCACACACCCACCCATCCACACCCCTCCCCACCCTCCCACCCACCCATTCACACCCCTCCCCACCCCCCCACCCACCCATTCACACCCCGCCCCACCCCCCCACCCCCCCACCCACCCATCCACACCCCTCTCCACCCCGGCACACACCTGGTGGAGAACACACCATTCCCTGACTGCAGCTTTGACCCCTCTGACGTCATCCCTCCCCCCGGTCCCATCCCCCCTCCCCCTCCGCCTCCCCCTCCCCCTCCCGCTGGGACCATAGCCCCCCCTTCCCCAGCCTTCGCCCCCCCTCCATCTTCCCCCATCCCGCCTCCCCCGCCTCCCGCTCCCCCTGCGCCTGCTGCTGCCGCCGCCCCTCCCCCATCCCTCTGCTCCGCGTGCATTGCCACTGGCGCCATGCCTGGTGCCATGGCCTGGGGAGGGGGACCGGGGAGCATTGCGGGGTGAGAGGAACGGGGAGCAATGGGGGGAGTGCGAAGGAAAGGCGGGGACAGGAATGAGTGTCCACCCGGCCCCCTTCCCTCTGCTCCGCGTGCATTGCCACTGGCGCCATGCCTGGTGCCATGGCCTGAAGAAAGGGGATAATGGAGCAAGGGAGGAGGAGGGGAGGAGAGATAAACGCGAGAGAGGGAGCACGGGATTCGTGTCACAAATGAAAGCAATGGTTACATGCAGATCGGGTGGTTACCACACACGTACGGTTACACTACACCTGGTGGTGATAGTGTTATGAGTTACAAGAGCAGGTCTGACTCTCTAGTGTTACACTCCATGTATCTTACACTTACGTTCCATACACCTTACAATCCATGCGTGTTTTTTTTCATTAATGCTACACTCTAATCCCCGTTCTCTAATGTGACATACCGAAGAAGCATCCATTGATGCTGCAGTCGCTGACGGCATGCCGTACCCCATATAAGGCTGCGCGCCCTGCTTTTAACGGGACAGACGGGGCGGAAGAGTGGAACGCATAAAGTGGGAGGATAAGACAAGGAGAACGGGAACCGAGGTAAGTGAGGAGGGAAGTGAGGAGGAAGTGAAGAGGGGAAAACAAGGAAGGAAAATGGAGCAACTCTTACCCGGTACATGGCAGCTGCTCTTACCGGGTACATGGCAGCTGCTCTTACCGGGTACATGGCAGCTACTCTTACCGGGTACATGGCAGCTGCTCTTACCGGGTACATGGCAGCTGCTCTTACCGGGTACATGGCAGCTGCTCTTACCGGGTACATGGCAGCAGGGGGGTACATGGGGGCGCCATAGGGGGGAGGCTGGCCGTAGGGCGTCATCATGTGCTGCTAGGGGAAGGGGGAGGGTTGGGAGGGGAAGGGGAGGGGCGAGAGGCGGAGGGGAGAGGCGGAGGGGAGGGAGGGGAAGCGGAGGAAAAATGGGGCGGAGTTGGTGATGGGAGGCTGGCTGTAGGGACTCATCATGTGCTGCTCGGGGGGAGTGGCGGGTGAGAGGGCAAAGCAAAGCAAGCTTTTTCATCCATACACAAACAGAGAAGGGGGTAGGTTTAGGGAAGAGGACGCGAAGTGAGCTTGGTTCGAAAGGGGGTGGAAAGGGAAGTTGGGTGTTGAGTGGGAGGGAGAGAGGACGTGTAGGTGGGGGCAGGGTGAGGGAACAGCAAGGGGCTCGGGGAAGTCAAGGCAAGCGACGCACCTGTCCCCACATGTAGGGGTGGTGCTGGGGAGCGGCGGCTGCTGCGGGGTAGTACCCCGGCGGTGGCTGCCCCGCCTGGCCGTAGTATGCCTGGCGGGGATCACGGGGGACACACGGGGGGACACACGCGGGGCACACGCGGGGCACACGCACGCAGGGGCACACGGTGGCACACGCACACACGCGGGGGCACACCCACACGCGGGGACGGGATTAGGACGGGAACGTGCACCGCCATGCGTGGACGGATGGGAAAGACTGTTGTGCGAATCCAAGGGTGGGTTGAATAGATGACGGCATGCGCAGGCCCGCAAGCCCGACAGGCGCCACCTCGACAGGCGCCACCTCGACAGGCGCCACCTCGACAGGCGCCACCTCGACAGGCGCCACCTCGACAGGCGCCACCTCGACAGGCGCCACCTCGACAGGCGCCACCTCGACAGGCGCCACCTCGACAAGCGCTATCTCGACAGGCGCTATCTCGACAGGCGCGAACAGCGGGATGGCACGGCCCGCTATGGTTGAACCAATCACAGCCCTTTGTTCAAAACGAGTCGACTGCAGGCTCGGACTGCTCTACAAGGGTCGCCTGTTAGGTGCGGCGAGAGGCGCCTGACGCGTGTTACCACGGCTGGCGATCGCTAGTGGTGGCTGGGTACGACTGGTAACACTAGTAACCTCTGGCTGGTAACGGCGGGTGGCTGCTGGTAACAGCTGGTAACTCGGTGAAGGGACTGCCTACATGCTAACGTACATGGACTCTCGCGGCGCGTTATACTAGCGGATAGATACTGGTTACGGAAATGATGTTACCCTCATCGGGGTGACCCAGATGGTTCACCTGAAAAGCCGCTGCCCAGTCGGGGTAGCCTGCCGGCATCTGTTGATCCTTGCCATATCCTTGCGCTTCCTGCGGCGACGGGATGGTTAAACAGTCGTATCACAACGCACCGCCACGGAGAATATATGAGTGTTGAAAGAACGCGACGCGGTCGAAGGGAGTGAGTTGAAGACGTGAAAAGGCCAAGGAGGAAGCGGAGATATTAACGAGAATGACTTGCTCGACTCAAAAGGACGTGGAAAATGGACGCGGCGAAGAAACGGCACAAAAAGTTAACGTCATACAATAAATAGGGGACAAAAGAAAAGAAAAGAAAAGAAAAAAACAACAACAACGACGAAAAAACGGGCCGTAAAAGTAGCGAACCCAAAACGAGAGTTTGGGCTACCTTACTCATCGCGTTTGTCGCTACACCTACGTCAGTCGATCCCATAACAGGCGCTGGAGATGACGACTCGACTTTCGACGATGCTTTTCGATGACGCCTTTCGAACGAACTGATTCTTTCTTGGCAATAATCTTCGAGCTTCAAAATCCGGGACACACCAAGACTGCAACAGATCGCAGCGCGGCTCCGTTCAGCTGCTCTTGGCGATCAGAGATCAGTCGACTTGCTGAAATCAGGAAATGGAAGAAATTAGGGCTTACGTGTGAGAATGGTCCCAGTTGTGAGCAGGGGGACGCCTTACGTGTAAGCACAAGAGAGCTTCGCTGCTGTGTAGATGGTTCAGGTGGAGGAGGCAGTTGGCGGAATATGCGGAGGAGACAGGAGCAGATGACCCGCGGGGCTGACTCGGCAAGAAGAAGGGCAGGGGGGGAAGGATTATGAGCGCAACTGGGAATGCGGGGTTCGCTGACTGGGTGTTGTAAGGTTGCGGGGAGGCTGACTGGGAGCAAGACGAGAGGAGGCGGGTAATGCGGCACACGGGTGAGCTGACTCAGCGAGGTGAAGAGGAGACGGGGAGTTTGACTGGGCTGCGGTTGGGAGAGGGGGAAGGCTGACTCAGCGAGGTTGGCGAGCGCTGTTCAACTCCGCCGGGCAGGGCTTTCCGCAACTGCTCGCGAATATGGGGTCTGCGCGCGCCAGTAAGCCATTTGGGGAAGGTGAGGGGTAAGAAACATGCATGGCACAAAGGGGCGGTGGGCACAGGCATGTGGACGAGGTGATGAGCTGGAAGGCGCTACGCCACCTCGCCAGGCTGGAAAGAGGCCACTTGACGTCTGGGCCAAGCATGGCAATGAAGAAGTATGAAATACACTCGCACCTAACGACTACCATTCTTTAACATATACGATGTCAATATATTTCATTAGGTCATCAGTTGGTCTCAAATGAAGATTTCAGGGCTGTTTGTTGTGCTAAAAATATTTTCGTGAATGGAGCGGAACCTTCTACGCGCCTCGAGCATCCAACCACGATCTAGCGCAACGTGGCAAAGATCGGTCGAGCATGCATGGGACCGGAAATCCGCTACCTAGTTGTCCCCTCTCGGTCGAGGGCTCAATTTCTAAACGATTACAGTACAACGGACGCGAGGGTCTCTAATCGATTCCGCCTCCCGTCGGCCTCTCAAGAGTTGACGGAGTTGTGCCGCAGAGTTACACATTTTGAAAGTCAGGACGTTTTTCCTAGTGTGCAAAGTGTTGTTTCGATTCAATTCCGAACACTCCCTACTGCATCTGTACGATCTCGTATACGCGATTTGAGATACGAACACGTAGATATAAGTGGTCTTGCTACATGCAACACTAAATTGCCGGACACCACAGCGTCCAACAGCATCCAGGTGCTTTGGTTTAGCAGAAACGTGTGCAATTTACATGCAACTATGCAAGTCTAGAAATGATGTTTCACAACAAACTGTGGGAGGAAAATTAACCTAGTAACTGCGCGCTAAACTCCGGTAATATCTAGTTTCAGATACAATACACATAAAAGAGCTTATCCAAGTTGCAACCCATAGCAGTGTTAAGCCTTAAAACAGCTCCTCTGAGTTGAACTTGTTGAACGCCTCCTGTACAACAAACAGAAAACAAGTCATGGTGTAGCTCAGAACAGAGCTCCATGTAATAAGATGCATCCCAAATCAATAAGCGAAACCTAGGTAACGTGCAGTATCAAAATCTGATGTGAAGTACAACGAGGATAAACAGCACATGGCATGGCATAGCTTGGCATATGGCATGGCATGGCATATGGCATGGCATGGCAGGCTGCACGCACCTTGAGCAGGTCGAACACCTTCTCAGCAATGTACTTCTGCTGCACTGTCGCGCCCTTCTAAGCGCCTTAAAAGGAAACCCGCACCCTTCTAAGCGCCTCAAAAGAAAACCACACATGGCATGGCACGCTGCACTGCACGCACCTTGAGCAGGTCAAACACCTTCTCAGCAATGTACTTCTGCTGCACTGTCGCGCCCTTCTAGGCGCCTTAAAAGGAAATCCGCATCCTTCTAAGCGCCTCAAAAGAAAACCACACATGGCATGGCACGGTGCACGGCACGCACCTTGAGCAGGTCGAACACCTTCTCAGCAATGTACTTCTGCTGCACTGTCGCGCCCTTCTGCTGCACCTTGTCCGGATGCACACACAGCGCTGCCTTGCGGTACGACTTCTTCACTGCTGCCGCACTGCAGCGGGGGGAGGAAAGGAGGGAGGGAGGGAACGAGGGAGGGAGGGAGAGTGGATGGGAGGGAGTGCACATGTGATGCACACACAGCGCTGCCTTGCGGTACGACTTCTTCACTGCTGCCGCACTGCAGGGGGGAGGGGAGGGAGAGTGGGAGGGCAGGAGGGAGGGCATGGGCACACGGGGGCAGGTGGGAGGGCAGGTGCACCACACAGCGCCGCCTGGCGGTACCATTTCTTCACTGCAATACCCCCCTATGGGTAGGGGGGTATTGCAGACAGGCATAAGTAGGGAAGCAACATCAACAAAAAACCTACGGTATTGTGCAAACATGTGATGTGAGGTGAGGCCACAGGCCACAGGCTCCCACTTGCACTTTGCGCTGCCATGCCTCCAACCAGCACCACCATTCCCCATAGCACTTGCCCTGCGCAGCCTCACACACGCACCTGTGAAACCACCCACCTGATGATGTCTGTGAGCGTCACAGGCTCCCACTCGCACCCCTTGCTGCCATGCCGCATACCAGCGCCACCATACCCCCATGGCCCATGGCAGTCAACACCCTCACCACAGACATGTGATGTGAGGCCACCCACCTGATGATGTCTGTGAGCGTCACAGGCTCCCACTCGCACCCCTTGCTGCCATGCCTCCACCCAGCACGACACACATGCCATGCCGGCCCCCCAGCCTCACACACACACGTCAAGCCACCCACCTGATGATGTCTGTGAGCGCCACAGGCTCCCACTCGCACCCCTTGCTGCCATGCCTCCACCCAGCACGACACACATGCCATGCCGGCCCCCCAGCCTCACACACACACGTCAAGCCACCCACCTGATGATGTCTGTGAGCGCCACAGGCTCCCACTTGCACTCGGGCCATAGCACCTGCAGGCGGCGAGGAGAGGTAGGGGAGAGGGAGGGTGGAGGGTGGAGGGTGGAGGGATGGAGAGGGGAGGGCGGGAGGGAGTTAGTGAGGGAGGAAGGGTTAGGGTGAATGACGAGGTTTACAGACAGGAACCCAAGGCTCAAGGCAAGGTATTCACAAGGTGCAGTGTTGAGATCAGCGAGGCACTCACAAGGTGCAGGGTGCAGATTAGCGAGGCACTCACAAGGTGCAGTGTTGAGATCAGCGAGGCACTCACAAGGCACTCACAGACTGCGACGTGGAGAGCCGCGAGGCACTCATAAAATATTACACCCGATTCTAGGGTAACTCACAGACGCTGGCACCCAAGGCACTCACAAACTGCTGCGTGGAGAGCAGTGAGAAACACTCGTATCACGATACACCAAAATTTAGGGTAACTTACAGGCATTAGCAGCACCCAAGGCACACCCAAGGCACACCCGAGGATCACCCAAGGCACTCACGAACTGCAGAGTGGAGAGCAGCGCGCGCAGATTGCCTTCCTTGCCCGCTGCCCACCGCTTGATCTCAATATCCAACATCTCGCCAGCTTTCTGGAAGAGGTGGGCGGGGGGAGGGGAGGGGAAAGAATAGGGCTTTATAAGTGCACGCAGTGAGAAGAGCAGCGCGCGCAGATTGCCTTCCTTGCCCGCTGCCCACCGCTTGATCTCAATATCCAACATCTCGCCCGCTTTCTGAAGGAGAGGTAAGGGGAAAGGTGTCGAGGGAAGGGAGGGGGGGGGGAGGGGAGGGGGAGAGAAAGGCTTTAGCAGCGCACGCAGATTGCCCTCCTTGCCCGCTGCCCACCGCTTGATCTCAATATCCAACATCTCGCCAGCTTTCTGGAGGGAGGGAGGCGAGGGGGAGAAGGGGGGGTGAGAGGCGGAGAGGCAGCAGAGATTATTGAGAATCCTAAAAAACCTCCTCCTTAGATGTGGAGCTTCTGCTGGATATTGGTGGGGATTACAACCTTTGAGTTTTGAGTCGACTCAAAAGCTTCTGCTGGATATCGGTGGGGATTAGTGAACCTCCTTTTGAGACGCCTTTTGGGGATTACAACCTTTGAGGCGTCTCAAAACGCCACGGAAAAAGTGGACATTCGCTGGGGATTTCTACCACCAATACAGGGGAGACAGACAGAGCGGTAAGGAGGAAAGTCCAACAAGAACAGGAAAGGATAACAGAAAAGCAGAGACACGGATAGAACAGGTTGACCCTTGCGTCACACTCAATAACCCTCCATTACCCACCACCCCGCAGCCACCCCGCAGCCACCCCGCAGCCACCCCGCAGCCACCCTGCAGCCACCCCACAGCCACCCCGCAGCCACCCCGCAGCCACCCCGCAGCCACCCAGCAGCCACCCCGCAGCCACCCCGCAGCCACCCCGCAGCCACCCCGCAGCCACCCCGCAGCCACCCCGCAGCCACCCCGCAGCCACCCCGCAGCCACCCCGCAGCCACCCCGCAGCCACCCCGCAGCCACCCAGCAGCCACCCCGCAGCCACCCCGCAGCCACCCCGCAGCCACCCCGCAGCCACCCCGCAGCCACCCCGCAGCCACCCCGCAGCCACCCAGCAGCCACCCAGCAGCCACCCAGCAGCCACCCCGCAGCCACCCAGCAGCCACCCCGCAGCCACCCCGCAGCCACCCCGCAGCCACCCAGCAGCCACCCAGCAGCCACCCCGCAGCCACCCAGCAGCCACCCCGCAGCCACCCCGCAGCCACCCCGCAGCCACCCAGCAGCCACCCAGCAGCCACCCAGCAGCCACCCAGCAGCCACCCAGCAGCCACCCAGCAGCCACCCAGCAGCCACCCCGCAGCCACCCCGCAGCCACCCCGCAGCCACCCCGCAGCCACCCCGCAGCCACCCCGCAGCCACCCCGCAGCCACCCCGCAGCCACCCAGCAGCCACCCAGCAGCCACCCCGCAGCCACCCCGCAGCCACCCCGCAGCCACCCCGCAGCCACCCCGCAGCCACCCCGCAGCCACCCAGCAGCCACCCCGCAGCCACCCCGCAGCCACCCCGCAGCCACCCCGCAGCCACCCCGCAGCCACCCCACCCCGCAGCCACCCCGCAGCCACCCGCAGCCACCCCGCAGCCACCCCGCAGCCACCCCGCAGCCACCCCGCAGCCACCCCGCAGCCACCCCGCAGCCACCCCGCAGCCACCCCGCAGCCACCCAGCAGCCACCCCGCAGCCACCCAGCAGCCACCCCGCAGCCACCCAGCAGCCACCCCGCAGCCACCCCGCAGCCACCCTGCAGCCACCCAGCAGCCACCCCGCAGCCACCCCGCAGCCACCCAGCAGCCACCCCGCAGCCACCCCGCAGCCACCCCGCAGCCACCCCGCAGCCACCCCGCAGCCACCCCGCAGCCACCCCGCAGCCACCCCGCAGCCACCCCAATTAACGTGCCGGTACTCCTGATCCCCACGTCAATCGGGGTAGACAAGCACGATCATGTTTGTCCCCACTCCCACTGCCTTCTCTCTTTCCTCCAACCACTCCCCAGACCCCCCCCCCTCCCCACAAACCCCTTTCCTCCACCTCTCATGCACCGGGCCTCCTGCTCCTTGAGAACGACCATGTCTCACTCCCACTACCACCACATCTTGTTTGAACCACTCACCACCCCTCCCCACCCTCAGCACTCACGTGTCTGTCCTCCTGTTCCTTGAGCACGTCCATGTCTCATTTTCACGCCTCCCACACATCATCCGACCACTCACCACCCCTCCCCAACCCCCTCAACCCCTTATTACCCCCCACTACTCACGTGTCTGTCCTCCTGCTCCTTGAGAACGTCCATGTCTCGCTTCTCCTCGCACTGCCTTCAACCAAGCACCCCTCATCAACCCTCTCCACCCACTCACGTGTCTGTCCTCCTGCTCCTTGAGAACGTCCATGTCTCGCTTCTCCTCGCACTGCCTTCAACCAAGCACCCCTCATCAACCCTCTCCACCCACTCACGTGTCTGTCCTCCTGCTCCTTGAGAACGTCCATGTCTCGCTTCTCCTCGCACTGCCTTCAACCAAGCACCCCTCATCAACCCTCTCCACCCACTCACGTGTCTGTCCTCCTGCTCCTTGAGAACGTCCATGTCTCGCTTCTCCTCGCACTGCCTTCAACCAAGCACCCCTCATCAACCCTCTCCACCCACTCACGTGTCTGTCCTCCTGCTCCTTGAGAACGTCCATGTCTCGCTTCTCCTCGCACTGCCTTCAACCAAGCACCCCTCATCAACCCTCTCCACCCACTCACGTGTCTGTCCTCCTGCTCCTTGAGAACGTCCATGTCTCGCTTCTCCTCGCACTGCCTTCAACCAAGCATCCCTCATCAACCCTCTCCACCCACTCACGTGTCTGTCCTCCTGCTCCTTGAGAACGTCCATGTCTCGCTTCTCCTCGCACTGCCTTCAACCAAGCACCCCTCATCAACCCTCTCCACCCACTCACGTGTCTGTCCTCCTGCTCCTTGAGAACGTCCATGTCTCGCTTCTCCTCGCACTGCCTTCAACCAAGCACCCCTCATCAACCCTCTCCACCCACTCACGTGTCTGTCCTCCTGCTCCTTGAGAACGTCCATGTCTCGCTTCTCCTCGCACTGCCTTCAACCAAGCACCCCTCATCAACCCTCTCCACCCACTCACGTGTCTGTCCTCCTGCTCCTTGAGAACGTCCATGTCTCGCTTCTCCTCGCACTGCCTTCAACCAAGCACCCCTCATCAACCCTCTCCACCCACTCACGTGTCTGTCCTCCTGCTCCTTGAGAACGTCCATGTCTCGCTTCTCCTCGCACTGCCTTCAACCAAGCACCCCTCATCAACCCTCTCCACCCACTCACGTGTCTGTCCTCCTGCTCCTTGAGAACGTCCATGTCTCGCTTCTCCTCGCACTGCCTTCAACCAAGCACCCCTCATCAACCCTCTCCACCCACTCACGTGTCTGTCCTCCTGCTCCTTGAGAACGTCCATGTCTCGCTTCTTCTTCTCGTCCAGCGCTGCCGCCTGCCATGGGGGCGCTCGGAGGGGAAGGGGGGGAGGGGAGGGGCGCACAGGGGAGGGGCGCACAGGGGAGAGAAGGGGCGGATGGGCGGAAGTGGGGAAAGGGCGGACAGGGGAAGGCGGGGGGGAAGGGGCGAACGGGGGGTGAGGGGTGGGGGGAGAAGAAGGGTTTTTAGGGGCTGATGCGGAGAAAGGAGGAAGTTGGAAAATTCAAGGGAGAGTGCATGAGAGGTGATGGGGGAGAGAGGAGCGGTGGAAATAGGACGGGCGGGGAGCCGGGGGGGCAGGGGGGCAGGGGAGTGGGGAGAGGGGAGAGGGGAGAGGGCGAGATAGCAGAGGAGGGAAATTGAAGGAGGGGAGATAAGCCCTCCCAGGAGCTTCTCTCCCTGCGCCCCTGCCCTCCCTGCGCCCCTGCCCTCCCTGCGCCCCTCCCCTCCCTGCGCCCCTCCCCTCCCTGCGCCCCTGCCCTCCCTGCACCCGTGCCCTCCCTGCGCTCCTCCCTGCGCCCCTCCCTGCGCTCCTCCCTGCGCCCCTCCCTGCGCTCCTCCCTGCGCCCCTCCCTGCGCCCCTCCCTGCGCTCCTCCCTGCGCCCCTCCCTGCGCCCCTCCCTGCGCCCCTCCCTGCGCCCCTCCCTGCGCCCCTCCCTGCGCCCCTCCCTGCGCCCCTCCCTGCGCCCCTCCCTGCGCCCCTCCCTGCGCCCCTCCCTGCGCCCCTCCCTGCGCCCCTCCCTGCGCCCCTCCCTGCGCCCCTCCCTGCGCCCCTCCCTGCGCCCCTCCCTGCGCCCCTCCCTGCGCCCCTCCCTGCGCCCCTCCCTGCGCCCCTCCCTGCGCCCCTCCCTGCGCCCCTCCCTGCACCCCTCCCTGCGCCCCTCCCTGCGCCCCTCCCTGCGCCCCTCCCTGCATCCCTGCCATCATGCGCCCATGCTTGTGCCCCTCCCCTCACCACTCTCTCACGACCACCCATCTTAGCGCCCCTCCCTGCGCTCCTCCCACCCCTCCCTGCACCACTCCCCCCCACTCACCGCTCTCTCCTGCAGGCGTTGAAACCGCTCGTATCGCAGCTGCCGCCGCTCCTCACTCTCCCCCTCCACCTCCTGAAACTCGTCCAGCCGACTGCCTCCCCCTGTCCGCACGCCTGCTGCTGCCCCTCCGCCGCCTGCCCCCCCTCCCCCGCCTCCCCCTGTGGTGCTCATGGGAAGGGGAAGCGTGAGAGGGGAAACGGATGAGTTGGAGTTGGGGCAGAGGTAGGGAGAAGAAAGAGGAGGGGAGAGAATGGGTTTTGAGAATGGGAATAAAAGGGAACAAGAGAAGAGTTGGTCTTGATGGTATGGTGGGGTGGGAATAGATGCTGTGAGAACTTTGAGCCTCAAAAGTTCAGAATGGGAATAAAAGGGAACAAGAGAAGAGTTGGTCCTGATGGTGAGGTGGGTGGGAATAGATGCTGTGAGAAGCAGAGGGAGAGGAGGAGCGGAACAGAGGGGGGCGGACAGAGGGAGCGGGGAAAAGGCGAAAGGAAGAGAGGGAAAGGATGAGAGAGAAACGGAAAAGACGACATGGGACGAGAGGGAAAGGAAGAGAGGAAAAGCAAGAGAGGGTAATGAGAAGGAAGAGTGGGGGAGGGGGAAATGGGGGAGGGGGATATGGGAGGGGAAGAGGGGGCGCGGAAGAGGGAAGAACGGGACGATGGGAACGCACCGAGAATGTCAGCCCAATCGTCGGCTGACGAAGGCTGCTGCTTTGGTGGGGCTGGTTGCTGCACGTGGGTGGGGCGAGGAGGAGAGGAGTGAGGGCGAGAGAGATTTGAAGAGCCGAGACAGCATGATAATATTTAGCGAGAAAAAAAAAAATGAGAGCAATGCTAAAATCCTAAGGCAATGCTGTCTTGTACCCATCGGAGAAAAAACAGGTGGACCATCAGACTATCCACACCACACCACACCACACACCACACCATCCAACGCCAGCAACACCAGCCGCAGCTTCAGCACCAGCGCCCACTCACCGAGGCTCTGCTCTTTGCTTCTTGCGCTCGCTGCTGCTGCTGCCTCGCCGCCTCCCTCTCCTTCTCCCGCTGCTTCTCGCTCTCCCTCTGCCTCTGCCTCTCCCTCTCCCTCTCCTCCCGCTCCCTCTCCCTCTCCCTCTCCCTCTCCCTCTCCCTCTCCCTCTCCCTCTCCTTCTCCCTCTCTCTCTCCTTCTCTCTAGCAGCCCGGGCAGCATCCGCCTTCCGCTGAGCGCTCTCCATAGCATCTTTCATAGCAGCAGATGAAGCCGCCGCTGCTGACGCCGAATCCGACGGTGGAGCATACCCGCCACCTGGCACCTCCCCATTGGCCGCTGCTCCCGGCCTCCGCCTTCTGGGCGGGGCTCCCCTCTCCTCCTCCTCCTCCCCTCCTCCCCTCCCACCGCCACCAGCAGCAAAATCATCAAACCCATCCAAACCACCTGCTCCACCTCTCTGCTCCGACTGCTGCCGTCTCCCTCCTGCTTCCTCCCCTCCCCCACTCCCCCCTGACCCGCGCCCGCCTGCCCCTGCTGCCCCTCCCTCTCCTGCATTCTCAAAGCTCATTTTTCTGGGCATGGGACCATCACCAGCAGCACCACCAGTACTACCACCGCCAGCAGCACCATAGGAGGGCGCACTCGAGCGGGGGCGGCGGGGCGTGGCGGGAGGTGGGCGGGAGGGCGGAGGCGGGGTGCTGCTGGGGTTGGTTCGCAGGATAACCTCATCAACCGTAATCCACCGATCTCCACCCACTCCTGCCGCTCCCGCTCCTCCTCCTGCTGATCCGTCACTTCCTTTCCTCGCTCGCTCCCTCTCCTCTCTCTCCCTCTGCCGTTTCCTCTCCATTTCCTTCTCCCTTTCCCTTTCCCTCTCCTTAGCCCGTTCCCTCTCCCTCTCCCTTTCCCTCGCCTCCCCACTATCCTCCCTCCTCGCCTTCCGAGCCTCCTCTCGAGGCTCTTCCCGAACCTCAGGCACGGGAACCTGCTGCACGAACGTCTCAAAGTCACCCAGACCAATATCCGGACCTGCGGCCTGGTCTCCCAAACCGCTGCCCTGTGTCGGAACTCCCCCATCCATACCTAATCCCGAGCCTCCCGAGCCGCTTCCAGCAGTAGGCATGGCAAACGCATCAAAAGGATCGGGAACAGCAGCAGCAGCAGAAGCAGAGGCAGGGGCGGCTGTACCGAATAACGGATCGACTCCAAACGGGTCAGCAGCAGCAGGCGCAGCAGAGGAGTGCGAGGGCATGGGTGAGGGGCCTCCCTCCTCGGGGAATAAACCCCCCGCGGTGCTCGTAGGCTTGGCGGAACTGAGGTGGGGATGATGGAGGGGAGGGGGGAATGGGATGGGGAGAGGAAGGTGGGGAGTGGGAGGTGATGAAGGGGGGCACGTGAAACGAGGGCATGGGCGAGGGGCCTCCCTCCTCGGGGAACAGACCCCCAGTGGTGCTCGTGGGCTTGGCGGAACTGGGAGGAGAGGCGAGAGAGGGGGGGAGGGGGGGGGGAGGGGGGGGCGGCCCTTGCTCAACTATGCTGTTTGCTATTTGATCCGAGTCTAGTCGTACGACTAGACTCGCTCAACTATGACGCCCCATCCCGAATCGCCTTCGCACACTCTTAACCTCCTATGATTCACTCGCCCCTCGGCTCGCCCCTTGACTCTGGGAACGACGTACACGTCTGGGACGTACGCGTTTGGGATGTACGCGTTTCGAACGTACGCGTTTGGGGTGTACCCGTCTGGGACGTACGCGTCTGGGACGTACGCCCCCGGGAGGAAGCACGCTTGTAGGAGCACTGCTAATAACGACATGAGAGTCAACGGCACAATCACACCACTCGAATCAAATGACCTCCAGGGTTGACAAGGATGAACGGATCACTAACGAAAAGGATAAGGATCGGCTTTTAAAACGATGAAACGGACTGTTCTGCTGACTTGGGACAATCACGCCGTTCTGGGGATCACTACGGCCCAGCGCCTGTTGAAAACAGACGGCCAAGATCGCCCCTCTTATCCCGCACTTGAGTATTTACCCAGATAAGCATTTTACTTTAAACCAGAACTTGGACATGTATGTCGCAATTGAGAATTATTAGAGACTCTTAACTAACTCAAGCCTGTTACCCAGAGATTCGGGCCGCGGAAACCCGAATTGGCATAGCATCACCGTACATAATCACGGAACGACGTGCTCCGGCCTTTCGTGTTCGCACGCTCTCACATTGCGCACACACTCGAATACTGTTTCTCGCCCGCTGCTCCCCCTCCCCGCTACGTACCTGCCGAATCCCGCCAGCAGGTCGTCGTCCGCGTGAGCAGCAGGCACCGGCGTGTGGGTTGCCATAAAACTTATTATTTCCCCCTCGTAACGTACCTGCTGAACCCCTCCTCGCAACGAGCCTGCCGAATCCCGCCTGGAGGTCGTCGTCCGCGTGAGCAGCAGGCACCGGAGTGTGGACCGCCATAAAAAAAGTTTTTTACCCCTCGTAACGTACCTGCTGGACCCTTCCCCACAACGTACCTGCCGAATCCCGCCAGAAGGTCGTCGTCCGCGTGAGCAGCAGGCACCGAATTGTGAACTGTGAGACGGAATTGCCTCTCCCTCTGCCTGCAACGTACCTGCCGAATCCCGCCAGAAGGTCGTCGTCCGCGTGAGCAGCAGGCACCGGCGACGGATCGCGCCGGCCTTTCGCCGACGACGTCGCAGACGACGACGAAGGCGGCATCTCGAACCCCTGGCTCATCAGCTCGTCAAACGCCGACGCCGTCGCAGCCACCCCGCCACCGCCGCCGCCGCCGCCGCCGGTGGATCCTGACGAGAGATCCTCGGTCACGGACGGCGACGATCTGCCGGAATTTCCGGATCTCGTGGGGGTCTGGCCGCGACTCGACGTGTTGCCCGCGCCGCCCTTGCTCCCCGCTCCGCTTCCGCCTCCCAGCCCGAAATCCGCCACTCCCAGCCCCGCAAATGCGTTGCTGGAAAGACCAGTACCCGCGCCCCGACTCCCGCCGCTACTGCCGCCACTGGCCATGCCTTTCCCAAAGGAGCCCAAGCCCCCGCCCATGCCGCCACCAATGCCGCCCATGCCGCCACCCATGCCGCCACTTCCGCCCCCACCCATGCCACCACCCATACCTGCAGCAGGTTTGTTCATCCCACCTCCTAGATTTCCCATGCTTCCTCCTGCTCCTCCCATTCCCCCTCCCATGCCTCCCAAATTCCCCATACCCCCCAAGTTTCCAATACCTCCTAGATTCCCCATACCTCCTGAACTCCCCCCCATACCCCCGCCCACCCCTCGACCCATCCCTCCCCCCGTGCCTCCCCCCAATCCGGAACTCACACCGCTTCCGCCCAACTGGCCTCCCCCGATTCCTGCGCCGCCGACACCCCAGCTGGGTGCTCCGCCTCCCCCCATGCCTCCCCCCATGCTTCCGCCCATCCCTCCCCCCATGCCTCCGCCCATGCCTCCCCCTGGGGGTCGCTTCGGCACCATCGGCGTGTGCTTGCCTTGCGACTTGAGGCCCGCAGCGGCAAGCACGCTCGCTAGATCATCCATGGCTGCGAATCTTCCTCTCAAGAACCCGGCTTGCCGATTGCTTAATTTCCGGCACGACAAAAATGCAAATTTGGCTAATGCGCACAAGTCCTGTAACTCGCGGGGAAAAATGCCACTTGAGAGTTCCTTAGTGAAGGAAACCGCAGATCTAAGCCATCGACGGAGAGGCGTCGCGAGATTGATTTGTATCCGTGCAAATCCCTTTTCCAAATAACAGCCAGCTAAGCTTGCTCTGCGCGTGATCGCCGCTGCCTGCTGGCCTTTCTGGCAGGTGCGAATCCTTGAGAAGCCAGCAGCGCAGCCGCTAGCAACAGCACACCTACCACTCAAGGTTGGCTGCCGCCGTTACAACCAGGGACCTCATCTCTAGGTGAAAAGGCATGGTTCGAATCTGAAGCAGGCAGGTAGGGAGTGTGATTTGATGATCCCTAGAGCTTTCCTTGCCTACCTCAAGTTTGGTTGGATTCTTCAGCCTGTGAAGAAACCTAGGGGTGTTTCCCGTGCCCTGCCACGGTTTTAGTTGTTTTAGTGAGGTTCAAAACGGTGACAGAAAAGAACCGCTGCTTACCGTGTGAAAACTTTCTGGGCCGCACTGAACGATCAGCAACGAATGCGTGGGTGGGACTCCCGCTCAGGTTTGGCGGATGAGGGAGGGGGAATGGCGAGAGGCGGGGCTGGCGCATGGGAGGAAATAAGGGGGGGGTGGTTGGGTTCAAGGGATGGAGTGGATGCGCGATGAAGGAGATGCGCTGCGCACACGGTATGCATCCATGTTGGGTTGGGGGGGATGCTAGCGCATCATTGGTGTGTGAACGCTTCGCGCTATTGAAGCGCTGCTCTCGTTCGTTCTTTCGCAAGGCTCAGTAACTTTTAACAAAGCAGTGTCATTCGTGCACGACTTTGTCCAAGATTCAGCCGCCCACGAATCAAGGTGGGTGGAGTTGCGAGGAAGCTCAAAACTCTTGACCGCGCACGAATCAGGGTGGGTGCGGGTAGACAACTCTGGTTCGAACGAATTCGTGTGCGAACGAAACGAGCCTCTGGTTCGTGTCGCCCCTTCGCCAGCCGACTGTCATCCAGCTTCGCGCCAATCTCGTGGACCTTGAAATACTAAAACATACTGGTTTAGACGCTTCCCTTGGAGAGTAAACTCAACGTTAGGTAATAATGGATCATTTAGGTACAGTAATGGATCATTTAGGTAAAAGCCTCACTAATTGAGGCACAGCAAGCACCTCATTCAAGCTACATATTGAGGTCCTAGCTGATGGAGACAAGTATATAAGCCGTCCTCACATGCAAGCTAGACAGTACATCTTGCAGAATATGCAGGAAATAAGTGATTCCCAAAAGCAAAAAATGCACCCATTATAAATAGAAGCGCGTACACCATCATTTTGATACAACATCATCCGGATGCGCCGTTCCAAAGTACAGGATCCATACTCAAACTAAGTCCAAATAGGATTCTTCAGTTTGAGCATGCAACCACTCTGAACGCTCCCTAATGCACTGCAAGGGTCTTCCAATCTCAGCAACATTCACAGAGCTCCCCGCCTGCTGATTTCCTTCTGTAGCCTGGGGCTGCTTAGCACTTGCTCTGGAACAGAGAGCACCCGCAGGCAAAGTTGATGCTTGCTTTACCACTGAGCACCACAGAGAGAACACAAGGCAACATCGGCTTCCTTGAGTATTAACAAAATGTTTCAAACACCTCAAATCCCGCATCCCATGTATGAAAAACAAAAGAAACCTAAAGGTAGACACGACACACCATGATGCGTACTGGCATACACTCCCACCACACCATGCGTTGAGAGATATTGGAAGATGTACTTACGCTCCACTGTGCAGAGACAGTGTCGACGTCGCCAAACGCCCACACAATGTTGTTGTCTAATTTTTAAGGCGCCAATTTTGGAAGATGCACTTACGCTCCATTGTGCACAGAGACATTGTCGCCGTCGCCAAACGCCCACACAACGTTGTGGTCGTTGCTGGCCTTCACCTAATTTTGAAGCGCCTAAATAATACACTCCCACCCCACCACGCCATGCTTAAAGCGTTTTAAAATGTTGTTGTCCCACATCCCCTACTTACGCTCCATTGTGGACAGAGACAGTGTCACCATCGCCAAACGCCCACACAATGTTGTTGTCGTTGCCGGCCTTCACCTTGACAGACGCGCCGTCACCCTTCATTTTTGTGAACCTGGTATGGGGGGCGGGGCGGGAACGAGGAGCACAGGTGAGAAGATGGTGAGCGAGAGAAGAGAGATCCAGGGAGAAGGAAGGGAGAGAGAGGGGGAGGTATACGGATTGGAGAGTGCTAAGAGCGCCAGCATGGTAATTGCGCGACAACAAGAAAACTCACAAGGAAACTTCAAACGAGGGAATTGAAGACAAGGGCTTACAACGAAAGAACTTATGACGAGAGAACTTACTTCATAGTGACCTTGCCGCCAGACGTGGAGATCGAGCCTGATCCGACGGTCCACGCCGCATCGTCCGCCGACGACTGCCCGACGAGATCTTTCGTCACCGGGCTGCCCGAGGAATCAGTGGCGATGGCGTTGCTGCCCGACATGCCGCCATTGGGAGAGAAGCCCACGGCGAACCACCCCGCGGCCTTGGCCCCCGAAGCCACCACGGCCATCTTGATTGTCCGGCCCTTGGTGGCCTTCCAGTGCAGCACCAGCCTGAGGTGGGGCGCGCGGAGGGGGAAATGTGCGGGAAGAGGGGGCCGGAAACGGGTGGAGCGAGGGGGATGAGGAAGGAGCGCGGAGGATAGCGCAGGGAGAGCCCACGGCGAACCACCCCCCGTGGTCTTAGCACCCGATGCAACCACGGCCATGCTCGTCCGCCCATTGGTCGCCCTCCAGTGCAGCACGAGCCTGGCGCGGGGAAACGCCATGCGCGGGGAGCGGGGAATGCGCGGGGAATAAAGAATGCGCGGGGATGGGGGAATCAGCAAGGTGCGGCGGAAGCGGGTGGAATGCGGAAGGAAGCGCGGGGGATAGCGCAGCCCTTCGCCTCCCTGCCTCCCTATGTGACGGCCGCCATTCCGCTGTTCTTACTGGCAGAGGCTATAGACCACGAGTGGAACGGATGGGGGAATGCGGGGAAACGCGTGGGGAATGCGTGGAATGTGAGGCGGGGTAGAAGGCAAAACCAGGGATACCAGGGAAACCAGGAAGGACGTAAAACAACGGAGCCGGTGCGAATGTACCCAGAGGGTATAACGGCATCGCGAAGAAGTGAAGAGCCAATTCCCCCTCTCCCCCTCCCTCCGCCCCTCCCCTTTTTTGTTTTCGCGATGGGCTGCGCTGCCCGTTACTGTGGCCGCTATCCGCCCTTACCCGGATGTCAGACCAGCCTTGGACGTGTATCCCTTGAGGTTCGACCTGCCGCAGTTGATGCGGCCGAACAGCAGCTGGCGGCGAATGTTCGTCGCGAATGACGGCGCGCGAGGGCTCTGCGACGACGGTGCGACGCGCGTGGCGACGCCCTGCGACGCGAGGAGCAGCACGCAGCTGAGAGCGAGCAGGGAAAGCGCGAGAAGGCGGGCCATGGATGCGGCGACTGGAAGCGATCAGAGGCGACCAGAGGCGACTGGAGGCGACGAGAGGCGACGAGAAGCGAGGCGAAAGGGCGACACAATTCGACAAAATACAATCTTTTGAAAATACGACAAAGTGCTCAAAGCTAGGGGCAGTTGATAAGTTGGATACGGCTCAACGCGGTTTCTCGGACCGAAAGGCTCAGTGATTGTGTCGGCGAGAGGGAAGCGTGGAGGGCGGTGCGGCTTGGCGTTCGCGCTATTTATCTGGTCGGATGCGAGGCAGTTGGGAGGGCGTTGGTGACGAGTATGTTTGAGAGGCGCTGATCGTTCTACATTTGTACGGGATTAAATACACAGGTCTACGAGAAGGAGCAAGTGCTTTGCGAGTGGCGAGAGTCGTAAGCGAGAGACAGAGGGGAGGGGGAGGAAACACAGGAGGGGAACGAGCGTGGGAGGTGGAGGATGAGGAAGGCGTGCGTGGGGGAGGGAGATGGAGGAGGTTGAGGGTTGCGGTGCGGTGCGGGTGGGGTGGGGAGGGGTTGTCGCGAAGCAGCTGCCAGCTCATCGCAGCTTGGTTGAGCAGCTTTGACGAGCTTCGTAGAGGTGGTCGACATGTTGTGGCGAAGAAGCCAGCGTGCTTCGTTGGGTAATGGCGAGTCGCGACGACATGCAAAACGATGCCGCCATCGGGGTGGATCAACCAATTGACTCGTTTTCTTCGCCACGTCAGGCTTCGGGCAACCCTTTCCTGCGTGTGCTGCATTGAACGCGGCACGGTTCCCTAGGCAACAAGCACGCGTCACTGGTGCCCAACCGAATTTGACAGAGCTCGCATTCTTCATTTCAGATACTCTGAAAAAAGTCAGTTTTCGGAGTAGTCTACTCACACAAATTCACGAAAAGGTTTCCTGGGTGGAGCGACTGCGTTCTTCTAGTATGTTTAAGTGTCTGCGTGTTTGTAGAAAATTGCGGTTTTAAGAAAGAAAAGTCAGGGTAACATCTAAACAGCTCGTGATCACCGACCTACCCTACCCTGCGTAGAAGAAACAGACGTATCGCAGGCGACCTGAATCAAAAGAAAAAGTCTGCGTGTCCATCAACGAATGGACTGTTGGTTCTGTGAAAGCATGAGACGCGGCTTGGTCCCGTCAATGTCAACACTGCTTTCCTGGTCGGTCGGTGGCGAAGGTGAAAAAAGGGAACTCACTAAAAGAACCATGGTCATGTGAATCGCACACGTAGAAGCAGCAGTTCTTGCAGTTTCAAACACATGAACCACTATGATCCGAGTATTCAGATGTGAACTAGACATACAAAACAGTTTTTAGGGAAATTATACGCGCAGTCACAATAAAGCCCGTTTTATCGAGTTAGGTCACAGGGTTATCATGAACGGTCACAGTACAGTACATTGCTATCGCGCGTGATCACAGCGCTATCACGCTTGGTCACACCTCGCCCCGCAGGGTTATCACGTTTGGTCACTCGTTGAAACGAACCCTAAAAAGTTGAAACTCCGAATCTTACTGTAGGGATTCAAGGAAAGTTATCTCACGCCCGCCGTTTTGTCTGTAGTATTACGAAATAGTTTCGCGACAACTCTCGGTAACTCGCGAAAAACACCTGCAAAATTTTGTTACTATTCGATTATCCACTGTTCGAATGATGCATAATGTTCCTAAGAATATCACTTTTTGACGGGTAAAACTCGAAGGGAATTTCTGTTCCGAATACAAAAAAACTAAAACCCGTTCGGATGGGATTTAATTCGGGATGCATCAACCCTAAACACCTTGCCGCATGGTGTTTAGGGTTGATGCCTCCCGAATGACGTGCCATCCTACAGGGTTTTATTTTTTTCTTCATTCCACTAAATGTCAGGCGAAAATCATGCGCGAGGTAACAAGAAATCAATATTGGGATTTCCCAAAATCTCTACAGTTTCTTTTGTGGTTTCAAATTTATCATTATCGTTTCATCGAGTGACCAAACGTGATAGCTTTTAGAGGCGAGGTGTGACCATCCGTGATAGCACTGTGATCAGCCGCGATAGGAATCTACTGTACTGTGACTGTTCGTGATAGCCCTGTGACCTAACGCGATAAAACGGGCCTAATTGTGACTGCCCGTATAATCTCCCTAGTTTTTAGGATAATTGCATCATATACAATTACAGTACTATGTACATCTCCTAATCCCCCCTGTGTGCCTTGCGCAACCGGGGATTTTGAGGTATACACATATTTACAGAGCTAGGTACCGTACTAGTAGGCACCTCCTCCTCGCTTCCCAGCCATTCTCTCCTTCCACTGCCACAAGGCGTCCCTCCAGTGCCTCTGCTTTTGCCTTTTCGCCACTCTCCCCACCTGATGCGTGCTTGTGGCAACATCAGAGCTCTCGCAGCTCATACACCTATTGTCTCTGCATTGACTGCCGCACTCGCAGCAATCCTTGCTCGCGCACGGTGGATCTACATCCATTCCTGAATCATCCATTGTGGTAACACCCGTGTCAGCAGCAACTTCAAGGGGAGCCTCAGCCGCCTGTGGTTGAGTACTTGTGAGGATGTCGACCCTGTCTAGCAGCTTCGTCAGCTTCCTGGCCATGTCTCGCCGCAAGTTCCGAACGTCCTGGTTCGGGGACTGCACCTCGTCCAACCGAAGAAGCCAGCTCATGATCGTCTCGCTCACCCGAAGCTTCTCCAGAGGCTCGGAAGCCATCTTAGCCACGAAATCTTTATCCCGAAGCTGCGCGTCCATCTCTCGAACCAGTTTCCGAACGTCAGCTATGGACCGAGCCAGTTCGAGAGGCTTGTCTTGGCGCACAGAATAACCCCGCCATGCTGCTTGCACCTTCCGAGCAGCATCGTCAGCCGTTAATAACGATACGTGAGCGACATTAGCATCAGGAATGCTGGCGACGCCCGCCATTGGCGACGCTGCAGGCGTGTCGGGTCGCTTGCTACTATTGCTTGCTGGGTGCTGGACATGTTTTTGACGGATAACTGTTTGCTCTTGCATCTGCGGCTGTCGAATCTTCGTCTCATTCACATCTTGCTGCGCCCTTCGCGCGCGCGCTGCCTGCCTTCGCGCGTCAAGCTCGTGCGCTTGCTGTTTCCGCGCAATCTCATTTTTCCGTGTGTCATCGCGTCGTCTCTGCGCCAAATTCCCCGCTGGTAAGTCAAAGCCGTCATCGAACCGGAACGGATCGCCAAAAAGCGGAGACGAAGAGGAGGCGAAGTTCCAAGGTGACGGCTGGGAATGATAATGGCTTGCGAAAGGAGATGCGAAAACGTGGGGTTGTTGTCGGTCGAAAAGCAAATCTGACATACCGAATGCCATTATCTGATGAGCGTCTCTTTCCAATGAGGTGCTGGCGAAGCTAGTATGATTTTGAAATTAAGAGTTTGTCTAAGCTTTGAGACCGTCGTAAGCTGATTTGATCGTAGCTGAAGATAGTAGTAGGTTGAGTTATGGCTCCGTCGCTTCCGAGTTGTATTTATATGAGTTGCCTGAACGATGACGGTGGTTCTAGAACCACCTCGCACCGTCGAGATGCAGCGAGAAAGCTGCTCAGGCCCAGCAGGTTCGCGAATCCGCGTGGTGCTTCGGGAATTCGCGTAGGTGTTCGCGAACGCGCGGTGCTTCGCGATTCCGCGTAGTGTTTCGCGAATACGCGTGGTACCCCGTGAATCGGGGTGGTGCTTCGCTAGCCGCTTGCAACTTTGCGAAAACGAGCGGAGAATTGGGAAGAGTTGACCAGCGGGTGGTATCCCGTGAAATGCCGTGCCCGCTTCGTTGCGGAGCTCTGCGACGGGCAGGGCTGGGACGGAGCGAGCTGGGAGGGAGTGAGGGGGTGCATCGCGAAGCAGAGGTATTAGGGCAGGTCACCTCGCGATGCGGTCGCGAACAAATCCGATGTCGTTCAGATGGACCTTCTGTTACAGTCGTTTAGAGAGTGTAAGATTTTGTAGGTAGCATATGCTCACAAACACACCATTGTGGGTCCATTCTAGTGACTTCACCCAATCACGGCCCTTTAAGCCGAGGGTTCTCAATCAGTGAGCATTCAATATTGCACATTAAACAAAAGCATTAACATTTCGTGCAAATGTACACGACTGCACAAAGCAGATGGACTGACCTATGTCACTTAGAACCTAGAAATGTGCTGTCGAATCCAGAGTATTGTGCCGCGTTACCACATGGTGCTCAGCCAATGAGCTCAGAGATAGGCGGCCGCTCCATGACATAAGCGGACTGCTTTGCCGCCTTGGCCAATGAGGGATCGATGCCCGGAAGGTATGGGATCTGCACTTGGAGGGAACGACGGGAGAGGAGGAGAGAGGTGGAAAAGGTGGAGGCAGGGACAACGGGAGATGCAATGAGAGGAGCGAGCGAGGGTGGGAGAAAGGGAGAGTGGGGACATGGAGGAGAGGGAGAGAGGTAGGGCATGTGAAAAGGCGTTCTGGAAACAGAGAGATGATGCTTTACATGGAGTTCCGGAACAGGGCGATGATGCTTGTGATAGAGAGAGGTGATGTGATGATACCTGAGTTGGTTGGAGCAATGACGTGGCACAACAAACCTGAGAGAGTATATCAATGGTGCGCCTTAGCAGCCGCGCAATATCCCCCTCGTCCAGCCCCGCACAGTCAGCGATGAGCTGGCGCCACGTCACACCCTGCGCCCACGCCTCCACCACTCCAGCGAACTGCGCGTCCAGGTCAGCAGGGATTGCCACGTTGGCAGCCAGCTGGAGCTGCATCAGCCAATCGCGGCGCTCCTCGGCCTCGTACACCCATTCTTGTACCTCCCAAGAAGGCTCGTAGGGGAAGGAGGGCGAACTGGCGGGGCGGGGAGGAGGGGCGAGGTGGTGAGACCAGAGGCAGGGCAAAAGGACAGGGCATAAGGGATAGGATAAGACAAATGGAGAGGGCAAGTTTCGAGACGTGTCTAGACTCTGCCTCGTACACCCTCTCCTGCACCTCCCAGGAAGGCTCATAAGGGAAGGAGGGCGAACTGGAAGGGCGGGGGGTGGGAAGGGGTGAGTGAGACCAAAGGGCATAGCATAAGGGATAGGGCAGATGCGGAAAGCAAGTTGGGACAACTCGAAACAAACCCATACATACACACACTCCCTGTCCCTGGGAGTACACAGCACAGCACCTCCCCTGCCGTTTCTGCCCCCAACGCCATTGCCACTCACCTGCCGGCGCCTGTGCGCATGCGCATGCCGTCAGGCACGAGTCGACTCCTGATTCCTCAAGTCACTCCTACCCACCTCCTCTTGCTCCCCCCTCTGCCACTACCATTCCTCACCTGCCGTCGCCTGTGCGCATGCGCATGCCTTCCGACACCAGAGGACACCAGGTGAGACACCAGGTGGCACCTGCCTTATTTCCCACCAATGCCACTGCCACCCCTCACCTGCCATCGCCTCTGCGCATGCCTTCAGACACCAGAGCAGACTGTGCCACTGCCATACCTCCCCTGCCCTGCTCTCCCCAAAGCCACTGCCACTACCACTCCTCACCTGCCATCGCCTGTGCGCATGCGCATGCCTTCAGACACCAGAGCAGCGCAGCACCCCGCAATGGCTGGCGGTGAGAGGCGTGGGAGGGAGGGGTGGGAGAGCGCCACTGCTATCCACAGCTCGTTCACCCCTCGCACCTGCATGTATGGGAGCGGAGGGAAGGGTGAGAGAGCAGGGAGAATGGAGAAGGAAAGAGAGAGTTGGGGTGGGTGGAGAGGGAAAGCATTGGAGGGAGGGGGTCAAGAGTGCCACTGCGATTCACAGCTCGTTCACCCCTCGCACCTGTGCGAGTGAGGGAGGGAGGGTGGATGGAGCAGAGAGTAGGCAATGAGAGGGAAGTTCTGAGGCAGTTCACAACACGGAGGCAAGGCAGGCGAAAGGGTGGAGAGGAAAGGCGCGTGAGGGAGTGATGTGATGTGTGAAAGAGCGGCGTGATGTGTGAAAGAGCGCCACTACGCCACCGCTCCTCTGCCCCTCCCTCGCACCTGTGAGAATCCACCTGAACCAGCACCTGCAAAAACACCTGACCCAGCAACTGAATCAACACCCGACCAAGCACCTGAGAAAACGATGGTCACCCAGGTGAAAATTCAGCTGATTGCATGTTACCCAACTCCCAGTAGGAGGAAAAAAGGCTGCTACAACCTCACCTGTATCTTCATAAAATAAAACTTGAACCAACTAGCACCTGAACAAACACCTGGCTCACCTGCCCATGTCGCCTCTCACCTTAGCAGCAATCTCCCCGAGTGGCATGAGCGTGCTGCTCTGAGGGTCCAGTGCATCCGCCTGAGCCAACACCTGAACCACCTGAACAAACTCCTGAACCACAATAACGCCTCTCACCTTAGCGGCAATCTCCCCTAGCGGCATGAGTGTGCTGCTCTGAGGGTCCAGCGCATCCGCCTGAGCCAGCACCTGAACCACCTGAACAAACTCCTGCCACCCCGCCGGCTGCATCCCCGCAATCCGCCTCCGCAACCCCTCCACCCGCCTCCCCACCTTCCCCTCCTCGTACTCACACCTCCCCATTTCCGTCACCTGCTGCTGCCGCCGCTTATACACCGCCGAAGCCTTCACCCTCTTTCGTATCTGCGATAGCTTCTGCCTGTGTGACTTGAGGGAGGCTTCGAGGGAGGAGAGAGAGGGGGGGAGGGAGAGGTGGTTTGAGTCTTCGGAAGGGGAGAGGGGGGAGATGGGGGACCAGCCTTGGGGGAAGCGGATGGCGGAAGTGAGGTGGAGGAGGGGTTGCTTGGATTTGATTCGCCAGACGCTGAACGTGGGGTGAGGGGTGGATAGCCACGTGGCGGATTGTGATTCGCTGTCGGTGTTGCTACTGGGTACTGAGTCTCCTGCCAACACTTCCTCGTTCTGTTCTCCCCTCCATCCCTCCTCATTACCCTCCTCTCCCCACTTGCCCCTTTCACTTTCCTCCCCTCCCCCCTCCTTCTCCCCCCCCCCCCTCCTGAGCCATCCCTGTAGCATCTCCGGCACGGGCGGCAGGAAGAGTTTCAGCTTTGCCGCCCGCTGCCACCCAGCCGTCTCATCTGCCTCTTCCTGCCAGCCATCCGGCCAGAGGTACCTGCCGACGAGCTGCCGTCCCTCCGCTGCTGACATGGCGAGCTCTGATTGGTCGGTGGGGTCGTACTGCGCTCTGATTAGCTGGCGGATGCAGGGCGAGGGGAGGACGTACCAATGGGAATCCTCCCCTATAACCGCCACGTAGGAGGGCGAGGAGGAGGGGGAGAGTGGGGAAGAGGAAGAGGAAGAGGAAGAGGAGGAGTAAGAGGAGGAGGGTGAAGAGGAGTCGCTGTCTTTTAGACCACCCAATTTTGCCACCTTTTTTAGTCCTTGGGCCTCTCTTCCCTCTAATTCCTCCTGCTCCTCCCCCTGCTCCCCTCCCCTCTCCCCTCCCCTCTCCTCTCCCCTCTCCCCTCCCTCTCCTCCCCTTCCACTATACCGCGAGCTCCTCTTTCCACCTCCGTTGCCCTTCACCCCTCTCACCCTTGCAACTCTCCCCATATCACCCCCCTCCTCCTCCCCAATCCCCCCCTCTTCCGCCCAGTCCTCCCCCTCCTCCTGCAGGTACGGGGGCAGCGCCTCCAGCTGCCCAACCAGCAGCCCCCGAACCGACCGCACAGCTCCGGACGCCAGGTCCGGGAACTGCGCGGTTACCACGAGCCGGCGCCCCACAGGTGCGGGAGCAGGAGCGGGGCGAGCAGCACCGTTTCCACCAGCCACAGCCGAACCACCAGCACCAGCACCTTCAATTCCACCAGCGGCTGCTGAAGCCTCCTGTGCAGCCAAACCCAAACCACCAGGGCAGAAGCAGGGCCATCTGTAGCAGCATGAGCATCGGCGGCGTTGGCAAGAGCAATGGTGGCGGGAGCAGCAGAAGTGGTGGCGGCAGCAGCGCGGGGTGGTTCGTCCGTCTCATCAGCCCCTTGTGCTGTGTGAGGCTCATCAGCCCACAGCAAGGCGTCCTGTATCTGGGGGTCGAGGGCTGCTGCCCGCTGCTGGAACACGTGCCTCTGCAGCGTTGCCACCGTGTGCCGCGTGGACTGCAGGAGAGACGGGTGTGGGGGAGGGAGATAGGGTTGGGGATGGGGGAGTTGTGGGTGTGTGGGGAGAGAAGAGAACAGGCAACGTTGCCACTGTGTGAGGGGGGCTGCCCGCTGCTGGAACACCTGGCACTGCATCGTTGCCACCGTGTGCCGCGTGGACTGCGGGAGTGGGGTTGTGGGGGTTTGGGGTGTGGGGAGAAAATCAAACACGGAGGCGGACAGGGAATGAGCACACAGTCGCAAGGAGAGGAAAAATGTATCAACTTTTGAGACATCTCAAAAGTTGCTCAGCAAGAGAGGCTGTATCGATGCTCATGTCTACTCAACACTGTTAGTGTTAGCCCTCAATCTCACATTTTGTACTTGCAATTTTTATATCCTAGTGTAGTGTGCACTTTGTGTTTGGTTGGGTGTACACGCACATCCCAACCAAACCCAAATGTGATCTCCAAGCAATCTCCAACCTACCAATTGGAGATTGCCTTGGGATTACCCCCAATCCCCTAGGATTGCCCCCGATTCCCTCCCCATCCTTACCCATTTCCGATGTACTTAAAAAGCTTTGAGCTCATTACTAATGCATCGATTCTCAGCTCTAGTTCTAACAAACACCTCTTCATCACCCCAGATTTCCCTGCCTTTCTCCATTAAATCCCTCCCCATCTTCCTCTCACCACGCGGTCAGCCACCACCCACACCCCAAAGGGCTCAGGGCTCAGTGCATGCATACATGCCACCCTCCTTTCCATGTCGTCACCTCACCTCAACATCCCACGTCGGGCTCTCATCTCGCTCCTCCCTTTCCCTATCCCATCCCCATTCCCACCCCCACCCCCATCCGCACCCCCATCCCCATCCCCATCCCCACCCCCATCCGCACCCCCATCCCCATCCCCATCCCCATCCCCATCCCCATCCCCATCCCCATCCCCATTCCCCAAGACTCACCAAGAACTCTCCCATGGCTCGGAACGCTCTCGTCACCCCCTCAATAGCCCATGTCCTCTCCTCATCCCGCTTCTCCCCACCCTCACCCTCACCCTAAACCCTCACCCCCACCCCCACCCCAACCCCATCCCATCCCTACCCCGACCTCATCCCCCAACCAAACCCCCATAACTCACCACGAACTCTCCCACCATTGCGTGAAACGCGCCCATCACCTCATCCTCATCCCACGCCTTTTGAGAACTCTCAAAAGTAGCTCCCTCCTCCTCCCGCTCCTCCCCATCCCCATCCCCACCCCCACTCCATTCCCGCCAGCACTCACCACAAACTCTCCCACCATGCTTCGGAACGCGCCTGTCACCTCGTCCCCGCCCTCCTCCTCGCTCCTCATCTGCCTCTCCACCTCCGCCCTGCGCTGCCTCAGCTGCACTAGTTTCTCCTCCAACGCTGCCAGCTGCTGCCGCGCCTGCTGCAGCACCTGTGAGAAGGGAAGGAGCGCAGGGCGAGGGGGAGAAGGCGGGGGATAGTAGTGTAAAGGTGCCTCATCTGCCTGTCCACCTCCCCCCTGCGCTGCCTCAGCTGCACTAGCTTCTCCTCCAGTGTCGCCAGCTGCTTCCGCGCCTGCTGCAGCACCTGTGGGGGTGGCGAGGACGCCAAGGGGAGAGGGTGGAAGAGGTGGCTTTTGAGTCGACTCAAAAGTCACCGCGAGGACGCCAAGGGGAGAGGGTGGAAGGTGGGGCAAGCATAGTTAAGGGGGGGGATTTTTCTTCCTCCTCCTCGCTCCTCATCTGCCTCTCCACCTCCCCCCTGCGCTGCCTCAGCTGCACTAGCTTCTCCTCCAGTGTCGCCAGCTGCTGCCGCGCCTGCTGCAGCACCTGTTGGGGTGGCGAGGACGCCAAGGGGAGAGGGTGGAAGGTGGGGCAAGCATAGTTAAGGGGGGGGGATTTTTCTTCCTCCTCCTCGCTCCTCATCTGTATCTCCCTGCGCTGCCTCAGCTGCACTAGCTTCTCCTTTAGTGCCGCTAGCTGCTGCCGCGCCTGCTGCAGCACCTGTGGAGGGAGAGGAAGCGGAAAAGGTGGGGTTTGAATTGAGCGTGGGATGCTTTTATCTGAACTTCTCATCTCCCTATCCTCTGTGCCGCCAGCTGCTGCCGCGCCTGCTGCAGCATCTGTGGAGGGAGTCGCGGGGAGAGGCTGACTTGACAGGGTGTGTTGCTTGCAGCACTATGCCTGCTGTAGCATCGGCTTAGCTGATGCAGATGCAGATGCAGATGCAGATGCAGGTGCAGGTGCAGGTGCAGGTGCAGATGCAGATGCAGATGCAGATGCAGATGCAGATGCAGATGCAGATGCAGATGCAGGTGCAGATGCAGGTGCAGATGCAGATCTGATGAGAAGTAACATTTACATAACAGTTAAAATGCACTAATGGTGGTTATTATGGTCTTACTGCATGTTTCACTACACTCCCAAAGACACACCTCGCTCGCCAGGTAGTTCCCAAAGCTCCTCTCTATCAGCGCCTTCGCCTCCTGCATGCTGCGAAGAGGACTGACCCCAACCCCTTTCTGAGAATTCTCAAAAACCAGAAGAGGACTGACCCCAACCCCTTTCTGAGAATTCTCAAAAACCAGAAGAGGACTGACCCCAACCCCTTTCTGAGAATTCTCAAAAACCAGAAGAGGACTGACCCCAACCCCTTTCCCCCCACCCACCCATGCAGCTGCCCCCCCACCCACCAACACACTCCCACGCACCTCGCTCGCCAGGTAGTTCCCAAAGCTCCTCTCTATCAGCGCCTTCGCCTCCTCCATGCTGCGCCCCCGCCGCACCGGCACTACCGCTGCTGCTGCTGACGCCGTTGCTGCTTCGCCCTCTCCCCCTGCAGCAGCTACTGCAGGCTCGCCTGCAGCGCTGTTGCTGGTAGAGTCACCCTCGCTTGAGTCACCCTCGTTTGGGTCACTCCCCTCTGCGCCCGTGCCACTGCCCGCCTCTGTCTTCTCCTGCCAGACAGGAGCGCCCTGCGGAAAAGACATGCGATAAATAATGAACATGAATAGAAAGGACGGGGAAAATGAGGGGCGGGAGAGAGGAGGGAGGAGGCAGGGCGGAGGGGAGAAGGATGCGTAAAACAAGAGAGGCAATGACGAGAGTTTGGAGAAATGAAGGGCTGTTTTGAGATGTCTCAAAACACTCCTTTTTTCACGAGGCACGAGGTAGAGAAAGAGGAAGTGCGAGGGTTTAAAAGTAGACACAGAAATAGTTAAAAGGCATATTGCATGCATGGGACGGGCAGGACTAAAGGCTCATGCGAGTCATGCGATTCATGACATGTGAGTCATGCGATTCATGACATGTGAGTCATGCGATTTATGACATGTGAGTCATGCGATTATGCGATTCATGACATGTGAGTCATGCGATTCATGACATGTGAGTCATGCGATTCATGACATGTGAGTCATGCGATTCATGACATGTGAGTCATGCGATTCATGACATGTGAGTCATGCGATTCATGACATGTGAGTCATGCGATTCATGACATGTGAGTCATGCGATTCATGACATGTGAGTCATGCGATTCATGACATGTGAGTCATGCGATTCATCTCTCATCAGACTCACCCCCAGCAGACCTACCCCCAGCAGGTTGAGTGCCATGCCATGGGTGACCATAAGCTGCGAGGCAAGCAAGCAGACGACTTTTGAGACGTCTCAAAAGTACCCCCAGCAGGTTGAGTGCCATGCCATGGGTGACCATAAGCTGCGAGGCAAGCGAGCAGGTCAGCCACCCCTCTCCCCTCCAGCAGCATGCAGCCGCAACTCCTGACTCCACTCACCTCAAGTAACACCCTTCACACACACATGCAGCCACATGCAGGAATGACCCATCTCGATCACACCCACCCCCAGTAGGTTGAGTGCCATGCCATAGGTGGCCGTGAACTGCGAGACGAGGGGGTCAGCTCCTCCCAGCAGCAGGCGGCAGCAGTCCTGAGCGCCCTCAAAGGGCGTCTGCACCACCACCACGTGCCCCTGCCTGTCCTTGCCCCTCCTCCCCGCCCTCCCCGCCATCTGTAGGAGAGCGTTAGCTGAGAGAAGGCTGCGACCCGCATTGCCACTGCACACGAGGTGAGGGGGGAAGTGAGAGGGAAGAGGGAAGAGGAAGGTGAGATGAGAAGAGGGAGGGGGAACGAAAGGGCGTCTGCACCACCACCACGTGCCCCTGCCTGTCCTTGCCCCTCCTCCCCGCCCTCCCCGCCATCTGTAGGAGAGCGTTAGCTGAGAGAAGGCTGCGACCCGCATTGCCACTGCACACGAGGTGAGGGGGGAAGTGAGAGGGAAGAGGGAAGAGGAAGGTGAGATGAGAAGAGGGAGGGGGAATGAAAGGGCGTCTGCACCACCACCACGTGCCCCTGCCTGTCCTTGCCCCTCCTCCCCGCCCTCCCCGCCATCTGTAGGAGAGCGTTAGCTGAGAGAAGGCTGCGACCCGCATTACCACTGCACACGAGGTGAGGGGGGAAGTGAGAGGGAAGAGGGAAGAGGAAGGTGAGATGAGAAGAGGGAGGGGGAATGAAAGGGCGTCTGCACCACCACCACGTGCCCCTGCTTGTCCTTGCCCCTCCTCCCCGCCCGCCCCCCCATCTGAAGAAGAGCGTTGGCTGACAGGAGGCTGCGACCCGCGTTGCCCCTGGGGTGTGTGTGAGAGAGGGGAAGAGAGGGAAGAGAGGGGAAGAGAGGGGAAGAGAGGGGGGACGAACATGAAAAGAACATGACAAGTTAGCACCAGCTGATAACGGATAGCAACAACAACAGATGCCAATGCACATACCTACCATCACACACAACACAACAACAGACATCCTTACCCGCCCAGGTGCTTGGAGAGAGCCGAGAGCACAGTGGTGCGAGCTCACACACACCATCACACACACCATCACACACACCATCACACACACCATCACACACACCAGCACACTTGCCAACATACATCTTACCTACTACCACCATGCGAATATCATCATACCCGCCCAGGTGCTTGGAGAGAGCAGAGAGCACAGTGGTGCGAGCTCACACACACCAGCACACACACCATCACACACACCATCACACACACCATCACACACACCAGCACACTTGCCAACATACATCTTACCTACTACCACCATGCGAATATCATCATACCCGCCCAGGTGCTTGGAGAGAGCAGAGAGCACAGTGGTGCGAGCTCACACACACCAGCACACACACCATCACACACACCATCACACACAGCATCACACACACCATCACACACACCATCACACACACCATCACACACACCATCACACACACCATCACACACACCATCACACACACCATCACACACACCATCACACACACCATCACACACACCATCACACACACCAGCACACACACCAGCACACACACCATCACACACACCATCACACACACCATCACACACACCATCACACACACCATCACACACACCAGCACACACACCATCACACACACCATCACACACACCATCACACACACCAGCACACACACCAGCACACTTGCCAACATACATCTTACCTACTACCACCATGCGAATATCATCATACCCGCCCAGGTGCTTGGAGAGAGCAGAGAGCACAGTGGTGCGAGCCCACACACACCAGCACGCACACCAACATACATCTTACCTACTACCACCATGCGAATATCATCATACCCGCCCAGGTGCTTGGAGAGAGCCGAGAGCACAGTGGTGCGAGCAGGCATGTTGATGCCCGCTGATAGTGTCTCTGTGGCGAACACCACCTGGTGGGAAGAAGGGCAGAGGGGGGGAGGGAGGGAGAGAACAAAGGGATTGGAAGTAGAGTGAGGGACAGAGAGAGGAGGGGTGGAGAGGGGAGGGGCAGAAAGGACAGTGGTGCGAGCTGGCATGTTGATGCCCGCTGATAGTGTCTCTGTGGCGAACACCACCTGGTGGGAAGAAGGGCAGAGGGGGGGAAGACGGAACAGTGAGTTGAGACGCGGTTGGGGAGGAGAGAGCGGAAGAGCAGAGAGGACGCTGGTGCGCACCCACGTGCACCACACATCACCACACATCACCACACATCACCACACATCACCACACATCACCACACATCACCAGAACCTCGCACCTTGACGAGCCCGCGTTGAAAGAGGTCTTCAACGAACCCCTTCCAGGGCGGCAGGCACCCCGCGTGGTGCGCCGCCACTCCCTTCTTTAGCGCCTCCACCGCCCCCTCCCTCACCGCCTCCGGCTGCTGCTGCCTCAACGCTGCTATGGCTTCTGTCACCTCTGCCTGTGCACATGAATGGAGGGGAGAGGGGGAAGCGGGGAAGGAGGGGGGAATGGGCAAGGGGCTATGGCTATGGCTTCTGTGACTTCTGCCTGTCAACACAACAAGGGAAGGTGGGGGGAGGGGGGAGGGGGCAATGGGCAATGGGCCAATGGGCAATGGGCAATGGGCCAATGGGCATGGTGTGCTACCACTCCCTTCTTTAGTGCCTCCACCGCCCCCTCCCTCACCGCCTCCGGCTGCTGCTGCCTCAACGCCCAGCCCACTCACTCCCACTCCCCCCTGCTCTCCCCCTCACCTGTTCACTGGGCGACAGCAGGTTGGTATCTCGAACAAAGCTCACGGCGGTGTCACAGCCTCTGCGACTGAAGATGAACCAGATGGCGGGCAGCATGTCCTTCCGCCTCAGCTGCTCCAGCTTGATAACATGCATCTACCCCCTCCCCTCCCTCTCCTCCTCCCCCTCACCTGTTCGCTCGGCGACAGGAGATTAGTATCCCGCACAAACGACACGGCGGTGTCACAGCCTCTCCGGCTGAAGATGAACCAGATGGCGGGCAGCATGTCCTTCCGCCTCAGCTGCTCCAGCGTGTCTCTCACACGCGGCACCTGCCGCCGCCACTGCTGCTGCACCTGCTGCGCCGACAGCTCCTCTACTCGGCTCTTCGCCTCTCCCCGCCGCCCCCTCCCCACCAGCTCAGCTAAACCTCCCCCGCTACGAGACAAAGCCGCTGCGATCCCCTTCCCGTTCTTGCCGCCCTTTTTTCCTCCTCTCCCTGCGTCTCTGTCTGCTGCTGCTCTCCCTGCGAAACCCTTGGATTCCTTGCCTCGCTTGCCACCGCCGCCGCTGCTGCTTTGATCGTCGGCATCCCACCGTTGGAAGGACCTGCCACTGCCACGTGGCAGCATCCTACCGGATTGCAGCTCCTCCAGTAAGGGGTCGCCAGACGGGCGCAGCAGCAGCTGACTGGGGGAGGGCTCGAGGGAGGTTTGATGGAGGGTCGGGGGGAATTTGGGCAAGAGTTGGAGAGGGTTGAGATGAGAGGGAGGAAGAAAGCGGTGGCAAGAACATGCACAGGGGTGGGAGGAAACAAAGCGGAAAGAGGGGAGGAGGAGGATAGAGAGGGAGAGCGAAGGGAGTGAGGGGAGCAAGGGGGGGAAGAGGAGCGTAGAAAGGGAGAAAAGTAAGGAGGGGGGGCGGGGGCGGGGGGGGGGGGGGAGGGGGGAGAGGGAGGAGGAGCGAGTGCTACTGCTAGTGCATACGGGTTGATGTCGCTGCCACAGTTGTCGAGGAGAGGCAGCACTTGGGGGAAGGGGAAGGAGAGAAGTGAGTGTGAGTGTGTGCGTGAGTGTGAGTGTGTGCGAGTGCATGCATACGTACGGGTTGATGTCACGGCCGCGGTTGTCGAGGAGAGGCAGCACTTGGGGGAAGGGGAAGGAGAGAAGTGAGTGTGAGTGTGTGCGTGAGTGTGAGTGTGTGCGAGTGCATGCATACGTACGGGTTGATGTCACGGCCGCGGTTGTCGAGGAGAGGCAGCACTTGGGGGAAGGGGAAGGAGAGAAGTGAGTGTGAGTGTGTGCGTGAGTGTGAGTGTGTGCGAGTGCATGCATACGTACGGGTTGATGTCACGGCCGCGGTTGTCGAGGAGAGGCAGCACTTGGGGGAAGGGGAAGGAGAGAAGTGAGTGTGAGTGTGTGCGTGAGTGTGAGTGTGTGCGAGTGCATGCATACGTACGGGTTGATGTCACGGCCGCGGTTGTCGAGGAGAGGCAGCACTTGGGGGAAGGGGAAGGAGAGAAGTGAGTGTGAGTGTGTGCGTGAGTGTGAGTGTGTGCGAGTGCATGCATACGTACGGGTTGATGTCACGGCCGCGGTTGTCGAGGAGAGGCAGCACTTGGGGGAAGGGGAAGGAGAGAAGTGAGTGTGAGTGTGTGCGTGAGTGTGAGTGTGTGCGAGTGCATGCATACGTACGGGTTGATGTCACGGCCGCGGTTGTCGAGGAGAGGCAGCACTTGGGGGAAGGGGAAGGAGAGAAGTGAGTGTGAGTGTGTGCGTGAGTGTGAGTGTGTGCGAGTGCATGCATACGTACGGGTTGATGTCACGGCCGCGGTTGTCGAGGAGAGGCAGCACTTGGGGGAAGGGGAAGGAGAGAAGTGAGTGTGAGTGTGTGCGTGAGTGTGAGTGTGTGCGAGTGCATGCATACGTACGGGTTGATGTCACGGCCGCGGTTGTCGAGGAGAGGCAGCACTTGGGGGAAGGGGAAGGAGAGAAGTGAGTGTGAGTGTGTGCGTGAGTGTGAGTGTGTGCGAGTGCATGCATACGTACGGGTTGATGTCACGGCCGCGGTTGTCGAGGAGAGGCAGCACTTGGGGGAAGGGGAAGGAGAGAAGTGAGTGTGAGTGTGTGCGTGAGTGTGAGTGTGTGCGAGTGCATGCATACGTACGGGTTGATGTCACGGCCGCGGTTGTCGAGGAGAGGCAGCACTTGGGGGAAGGGGAAGGAGAGAAGTGAGTGTGAGTGTGTGCGTGAGTGTGAGTGTGTGCGAGTGCATGCATACGTACGGGTTGATGTCACGGCCGCGGTTGTCGAGGAGAGGCAGCACTTGGGGGAAGGGGAAGGAGAGAAGTGAGTGTGAGTGTGTGCGTGAGTGTGAGTGTGTGCGAGTGCATGCATACGTACGGGTTGATGTCACGGCCGCGGTTGTCGAGGAGAGGCAGCACTTGGGGGAAGGGGAAGGAGAGAAGTGAGTGTGAGTGTGTGCGTGAGTGTGAGTGTGTGCGAGTGCATGCATACGTACGGGTTGATGTCACGGCCGCGGTTGTCGAGGAGAGGCAGCACTTGGGGGAAGGGGAAGGAGAGAAGTGAGTGTGAGTGTGTGCGTGAGTGTGAGTGTGTGCGAGTGCATGCATACGTACGGGTTGATGTCACGGCCGCGGTTGTCGAGGAGAGGCAGCACTTGGGGGAAGGGGAAGGAGAGAAGTGAGTGTGAGTGTGTGCGTGAGTGTGAGTGTGTGCGAGTGCATGCATACGTACGGGTTGATGTCACGGCCGCGGTTGTCGAGGAGAGGCAGCACTTGGGGGAAGGGGAAGGAGAGAAGTGAGTGTGAGTGTGTGCGTGAGTGTGAGTGTGTGCGAGTGCATGCATACGTACGGGTTGATGTCACGGCCGCGGTTGTCGAGGAGAGGCAGCACTTGGGGGAAGGGGAAGGAGAGAAGTGAGTGTGAGTGTGTGCGTGAGTGTGAGTGTGTGCGAGTGCATGCATACGTACGGGTTGATGTCACGGCCGCGGTTGTCGAGGAGAGGCAGCACTTGGGGGAAGGGGAAGGAGAGAAGTGAGTGTGAGTGTGTGCGTGAGTGTGAGTGTGTGCGAGTGCATGCATACGTACGGGTTGATGTCACGGCCGCGGTTGTCGAGGAGAGGCAGCACTTGGGGGAAGGGGAAGGAGAGAAGTGAGTGTGAGTGTGTGCGTGAGTGTGAGTGTGTGCGAGTGCATGCATACGTACGGGTTGATGTCACGGCCGCGGTTGTCGAGGAGAGGCAGCACTTGGGGGAAGGGGAAGGAGAGAAGTGAGTGTGAGTGTGTGCGTGAGTGTGAGTGTGTGCGAGTGCATGCATACGTACGGGTTGATGTCACGGCCGCGGTTGTCGAGGAGAGGCAGCACTTGGGGGAAGGGGAAGGAGAGAAGTGAGTGTGAGTGTGTGCGTGAGTGTGAGTGTGTGCGAGTGCATGCATACGTACGGGTTGATGTCACGGCCGCGGTTGTCGAGGAGAGGCAGCACTTGGGGGAAGGGGAAGGAGAGAAGTGAGTGTGAGTGTGTGCGTGAGTGTGAGTGTGTGCGAGTGCATGCATACGTACGGGTTGATGTCACGGCCGCGGTTGTCGAGGAGAGGCAGCACTTGGGGGAAGGGGAAGGAGAGAAGTGAGTGTGAGTGTGTGCGTGAGTGTGAGTGTGTGCGAGTGCATGCATACGTACGGGTTGATGTCACGGCCGCGGTTGTCGAGGAGAGGCAGCACTTGGGGGAAGGGGAAGGAGAGAAGTGAGTGTGAGTGTGTGCGTGAGTGTGAGTGTGTGCGAGTGCATGCATACGTACGGGTTGATGTCACGGCCGCGGTTGTCGAGGAGAGGCAGCACTTGGGGGAAGGGGAAGGAGAGAAGTGAGTGTGAGTGTGTGCGTGAGTGTGAGTGTGTGCGAGTGCATGCATACGTACGGGTTGATGTCACGGCCGCGGTTGTCGAGGAGAGGCAGCACTTGGGGGAAGGGGAAGGAGAGAAGTGAGTGTGAGTGTGTGCGTGAGTGTGAGTGTGTGCGAGTGCATGCATACGTACGGGTTGATGTCACGGCCGCGGTTGTCGAGGAGAGGCAGCACTTGGGGGAAGGGGAAGGAGAGAAGTGAGTGTGAGTGTGTGCGTGAGTGTGAGTGTGTGCGAGTGCATGCATACGTACGGGTTGATGTCACGGCCGCGGTTGTCGAGGAGAGGCAGCACTTGGGGGAAGGGGAAGGAGAGAAGTGAGTGTGAGTGTGTGCGTGAGTGTGAGTGTGTGCGAGTGCATGCATACGTACGGGTTGATGTCACGGCCGCGGTTGTCGAGGAGAGGCAGCACTTGGGGGAAGGGGAAGGAGAGAAGTGAGTGTGAGTGTGTGCGTGAGTGTGAGTGTGTGCGAGTGCATGCATACGTACGGGTTGATGTCACGGCCGCGGTTGTCGAGGAGAGGCAGCACTTGGGGGAAGGGGAAGGAGAGAAGTGAGTGTGAGTGTGTGCGTGAGTGTGAGTGTGTGCGAGTGCATGCATACGTACGGGTTGATGTCACGGCCGCGGTTGTCGAGGAGAGGCAGCACTTGGGGGAAGGGGAAGGAGAGAAGTGAGTGTGAGTGTGTGCGTGAGTGTGAGTGTGTGCGAGTGCATGCATACGTACGGGTTGATGTCACGGCCGCGGTTGTCGAGGAGAGGCAGCACTTGGGGGAAGGGGAAGGAGAGAAGTGAGTGTGAGTGTGTGCGTGAGTGTGAGTGTGTGCGAGTGCATGCATACGTACGGGTTGATGTCACGGCCGCGGTTGTCGAGGAGAGGCAGCACTTGGGGGAAGGGGAAGGAGAGAAGTGAGTGTGAGTGTGTGCGTGAGTGTGAGTGTGTGCGAGTGCATGCATACGTACGGGTTGATGTCACGGCCGCGGTTGTCGAGGAGAGGCAGCACTTGGGGGAAGGGGAAGGAGAGAAGTGAGTGTGAGTGTGTGCGTGAGTGTGAGTGTGTGCGAGTGCATGCATACGTACGGGTTGATGTCACGGCCGCGGTTGTCGAGGAGAGGCAGCACTTGGGGGAAGGGGAAGGAGAGAAGTGAGTGTGAGTGTGTGCGTGAGTGTGAGTGTGTGCGAGTGCATGCATACGTACGGGTTGATGTCACGGCCGCGGTTGTCGAGGAGAGGCAGCACTTGGGGGAAGGGGAAGGAGAGAAGTGAGTGTGAGTGTGTGCGTGAGTGTGAGTGTGTGCGAGTGCATGCATACGTACGGGTTGATGTCACGGCCGCGGTTGTCGAGGAGAGGCAGCACTTGGGGGAAGGGGAAGGAGAGAAGTGAGTGTGAGTGTGTGCGTGAGTGTGAGTGTGTGCGAGTGCATGCATACGTACGGGTTGATGTCACGGCCGCGGTTGTCGAGGAGAGGCAGCACTTGGGGGAAGGGGAAGGAGAGAAGTGAGTGTGAGTGTGTGCGTGAGTGTGAGTGTGTGCGAGTGCATGCATACGTACGGGTTGATGTCACGGCCGCGGTTGTCGAGGAGAGGCAGCACTTGGGGGAAGGGGAAGGAGAGAAGTGAGTGTGAGTGTGTGCGTGAGTGTGAGTGTGTGCGAGTGCATGCATACGTACGGGTTGATGTCACGGCCGCGGTTGTCGAGGAGAGGCAGCACTTGGGGGAAGGGGAAGGAGAGAAGTGAGTGTGAGTGTGTGCGTGAGTGTGAGTGTGTGCGAGTGCATGCATACGTACGGGTTGATGTCACGGCCGCGGTTGTCGAGGAGAGGCAGCACTTGGGGGAAGGGGAAGGAGAGAAGTGAGTGTGAGTGTGTGCGTGAGTGTGAGTGTGTGCGAGTGCATGCATACGTACGGGTTGATGTCACGGCCGCGGTTGTCGAGGAGAGGCAGCACTTGGGGGAAGGGGAAGGAGAGAAGTGAGTGTGAGTGTGTGCGTGAGTGTGAGTGTGTGCGAGTGCATGCATACGTACGGGTTGATGTCACGGCCGCGGTTGTCGAGGAGAGGCAGCACTTGGGGGAAGGGGAAGGAGAGAAGTGAGTGTGAGTGTGTGCGTGAGTGTGAGTGTGTGCGAGTGCATGCATACGTACGGGTTGATGTCACGGCCGCGGTTGTCGAGGAGAGGCAGCACTTGGGGGAAGGGGAAGGAGAGAAGTGAGTGTGAGTGTGTGCGTGAGTGTGAGTGTGTGCGAGTGCATGCATACGTACGGGTTGATGTCACGGCCGCGGTTGTCGAGGAGAGGCAGCACTTGGGGGAAGGGGAAGGAGAGAAGTGAGTGTGAGTGTGTGCGTGAGTGTGAGTGTGTGCGAGTGCATGCATACGTACGGGTTGATGTCACGGCCGCGGTTGTCGAGGAGAGGCAGCACTTGGGGGAAGGGGAAGGAGAGAAGTGAGTGTGAGTGTGTGCGTGAGTGTGAGTGTGTGCGAGTGCATGCATACGTACGGGTTGATGTCACGGCCGCGGTTGTCGAGGAGAGGCAGCACTTGGGGGAAGGGGAAGGAGAGAAGTGAGTGTGAGTGTGTGCGTGAGTGTGAGTGTGTGCGAGTGCATGCATACGTACGGGTTGATGTCACGGCCGCGGTTGTCGAGGAGAGGCAGCACTTGGGGGAAGGGGAAGGAGAGAAGTGAGTGTGAGTGTGTGCGTGAGTGTGAGTGTGTGCGAGTGCATGCATACGTACGGGTTGATGTCACGGCCGCGGTTGTCGAGGAGAGGCAGCACTTGGGGGAAGGGGAAGGAGAGAAGTGAGTGTGAGTGTGTGCGTGAGTGTGAGTGTGTGCGAGTGCATGCATACGTACGGGTTGATGTCACGGCCGCGGTTGTCGAGGAGAGGCAGCACTTGGGGGAAGGGGAAGGAGAGAAGTGAGTGTGAGTGTGTGCGTGAGTGTGAGTGTGTGCGAGTGCATGCATACGTACGGGTTGATGTCACGGCCGCGGTTGTCGAGGAGAGGCAGCACTTGGGGGAAGGGGAAGGAGAGAAGTGAGTGTGAGTGTGTGCGTGAGTGTGAGTGTGTGCGAGTGCATGCATACGTACGGGTTGATGTCACGGCCGCGGTTGTCGAGGAGAGGCAGCACTTGGGGGAAGCGCGTGGAGAAGTGCCACTTGAGTGGTACCGGGCGGTGCTGTGAGGTGACCAGCTCTGTGCGCCCGTGCACCTGATGGCACCGGGGCAGGCAGGCGAGCAGGGGGGTGGGCAGGCAGGCAGGCGGGTGGGTGGGAAATGAAATTGGCAACGGGGGATGGATCATGGAATGCGAAGGCTGCTGAAGGGGCAGCTGGGCAGGATGGATGAATGGATGGATTTGATGCATGCACATGTGGATATGGTGGCAGAGAGGATGGTGGCAGAGAGGATGGTGGCAGAGAGGATGGTGGCAGAGAGGATGGTGGCAGAGAGGATGGTGGCAGAGAGGATGGTGGCAGAGAGGCAGAGGGCAGGAGGACACAAGGAGAAACATCAAAGTCAGCAAGGCGTGGGGATAAGGAAGAAGTGGAGTGCAGGGATGTAGGAGGTGCTGCTCGGTTGAGAGTGGTGATGTTGAAGGGGCGGTGCCACCTCCAGACGAATCCCAGGCGAGAAGGAGCCAGGGAAGGGAGGAGGGAGAAGAAGAGCAAGCAGTGGGACAGAACAACGTGATGGCTTGCTGACTAAAAAATCACTCACTCGCTCGCTCAATCACTCACTCACTCACTCACTCATTCACTCATTCACTCATTCGCTCACTCACTCGCTCGCTTACTCACTCACCCACTCACTCACTCACTCATTCACTCACTCACCCACTCACTCACTTACTCACCCACTCACTCATTCACTCACTCACTCACTCACTCACTCACCCACTCAATCACTCACTCACTCACTCACTCACCCACCCACTCACCCACTCACCCACTCACTCACGCACTCACCCACTCACTCACTCACTCACCGACCCACTCACTCACTCACTCACTCACTCACCCACCCACCCACCCACCCACTCACTCACTCATTCGCTCGCACTCTCACTCACCCTGCCAATCCAGTCTGCGAGTTCATCAGGGTTGGCGACCGTGGCGGAGAGGCACACGAGCTGGATGGACTTGGGGCAGTAGATCACCTGCTCGCAGCATGAGAAACGGGGAGGCGGGGGAGGATGGGTTTGTGGGTGGGTGGGTGGGTGGGAGCAGGGGAATTCTGTTACGTCTCTCACGAGGCAGGCACACGAGCTGGATGGACTTGGGGCAGTAGATCACCTGCATGCAGCATGGAAAACGGGGGTGAGGGTGGTTGGGTTGGGTGCGTAAGGGAGGGAGAACACGTGCTTGCAGCAGTGAAGGAGACGGTGGCAATCTGTGCATTGCATTGCAGAGTGGGAAACGACGCTTTAGGTAAATGGGTACCTGACAGTGTCAGGCTGACACATCGTGCACATAACATACATGGGCATAACCAGCACAGCCATCATCAATTCTCGCCCTTCATTGTCTCCACCCACCCACACAGTGCCTTGGGAGATGTCCGACAGGTAATGCACCTCGTCCAGCACCACTGGTGCATGCTGTGGCGGCTCATACAACCCCACATAACCTTGCTGTGCCAGCTCATAAAACCTATCGGGAGAAGTGAGCTATCTCACTCACCGTCTCCTCCCACACGGTGCCCCTCGAGATTTCCGAGAGGTAGTGCACCTCGTCTAGCACCACCGCCTGCTGTGCGTGCTGTGGCAGTCAGATCGTACAACCTCATCAGCTCGCCCTTTCACTTACAACCTACAGCAAGGCTTGGCTGCCCCTCCCACTCACCGTCTCCTCCCACACGGTGCCCCTCGAGATTTCCGAGAGGTAGTGCACCTCGTCCAGCACCAGCCTTCCAGTACATGTAGTGGCAACCAGTACCTTAGTGCAAGGCCAAGTGATGACACTCACCGTCTCCTCCCACACAGTGCCTCGGGAGATATCAGAGAGGTAATGCACCTCGTGCAGCACCACCGCCTCCAGTGAGTGCGGTGATACCCATTCCTACCATCCCCAGCACAGCACAGTTGCCCCTCCCACTCACCGTCTCCTCCCACACAGTGCCTCGGGAGATATCAGAGAGGTAATGCACCTCGTCCAGCACCACCGCCTCCACTCCCCTCAGCCTCTCCTCCTCCGCCTCCCCTGCGCCCATGCTGACGAGGTGGGGGGAGGGATGGGGGGAGGGGTGGGGGAAGGGAGATGAAGGGGGTGAGAAGAATAGCGGTGTCTCGGTTTTCAAGGAGGAAGAGGGGCAGAGAGCGGCGGGAATGGATGGAGAGGGGGGAGGAAGGAGATCTCAGAGAGCATGTCGGTATAGTCACACCTGGTGTAGAGCATGTTGCGCAGGATCTCGGTGGTCATGACGAGGATGGGCGCATCTCTGTTCACTGCCACGTCACCAGTCAGCAGCCCCACGTTGCCCTCCCCAAATTTCACCCTGCCATGCCACGTGGCAGCACAGCATTGGTTGGGGGAGGACGGGTGGGGGGGCGGGTGAAACAGGCACAAGGTAAGGACGGAGGCTTGCGACGGCGCAGAAGAGTAGGCGTAGGGCGGCAGAAGAAGAGGCGTAGGGCGGCAGAAGAGTAGGCGTAGGGCGGCAGAAGAGTAGGCGTAGGGCGGCAGAAGAGTAGGCGTAGGGCGGCAGAAGAGTAGGCGTAGGGCGGCAGAAGAGTAGGCGTAGGGCGGCAGAAGAGTAGGCGTAGGGCGGCAGAAGAAGAGGCGTAGGGCGGCAGAAGAAGAGGCGTAGGGCGGCAGAAGAAGAGGCGTAGGGCGGCAGAAGAAGAGGCGTAGGGCGGCAGAAGAAGAGGCGAAGGGTGGCAGAAGAAGAGGCGTAGGGCGGCAGAAGAAGAGGCGTAGGGCGGCAGAAGAAGAGGCGCAGGGCGGCAGAAGAAGAGGCGTAGGGCGGCAGAAGAAGAGGCGTAGGGCGGCAGAAGAAGAGGCGTAGGGCGGCAGAAGAAGAGGCGTAGGGCGGCAGAAGAAGAGGCGTAGGGCGGCAGAAGAAGAGGCGTAGGGCGGCAGAAGAAGAGGCGTAGGGCGGCAGAAGAAGAGGCGTAGGGCGGCAGAAGAAGAGGCGTAGGGCGGCAGAAGACGAGGCGTAGGGCGGCAGAAGAAGAGGCGTAGGGCGGCAGAAGAAGAGGCGTAGGGCGGCAGAAGAAGAGGCGTAGGGCGGCAGAAGAAGAGGCGCAGGGCGGCAGAAGAAGAGGCGTAGGGCGGCAGAAGAAGAGGGGCAGGGCGGCAGAAGAAGAGGCGTAGGGCGGCAGAAGAAGAGGCGTAGGGCGGCAGAAGAAGAGGCGTAGGGCGGCAGAAGAAGAGGCGTAGGGCGGCAGAAGAAGAGGCGTAGGGCGGCAGAAGAAGAGGCGTAGGGCGGCAGAAGAAGAGGCGCAGGGCGGCAGAAGAAGAGGCGCAGGGCGGCAGAAGACGAGGCGCAGGGCGGCAGAAGAAGAGGCGTAGGGCGGCAGAAGAAGAGGCGTAGGGCGGCAGAAGAAGAGGCGTAGGGCGGCAGAAGAAGAGGCGCAGGGCGGCAGAAGAAGAGGCGCAGGGCGGCAGAAGAAGAGGCGTAGGGCGGCAGAAGAAGAGGCGCAGGGCGGCAGAAGAAGAGGCGTAGGGCGGCAGAAGAAGAGGCGTAGGGCGGCAGAAGAAGAGGCGCAGGGCGACAGTAGAATAGAAAGCCTCCTGCGCCCTACGCCTCCTGAAGAGGCGTAGGCGTAGGGGGAAAATTCTTGGATTTCGTGCACTCTTGCCACCTGACAATGAACCTGAACTTAGATTGTCCCTCCTCCTCTGCGTATTGCACACCTGAAGCCTCACAGCAAGCAGCGCAAATCAACTGAGGCCTCACAGGCAGCAAGCAGCGCACCTGAAGTCTCGCAGCTTCTGGTTGGAGAGGGCTTTGAGCGGCGTGGTGTAGATGAGGCGCCCTCCCCGCGCCATGGTGGCTGCTGCTGCTGCCTCCCCCACGAGTGTCTTGCCGCTGCTGGTGGGCGCACTCACCACCACTGAGGAGCCTCGCAGAAAGGCCTCTATCGCCACTCGCTGCAGGGAGGTTGAATGTGGGGTTGAGGTTTGGGGTTGGGGTTGGGGTTGGGATTGTGAAATCAAGACAGTGCTGCCTCCCCCACGAGAGTCTTGCCGCTGCTGGTGGGCGCACTCACACACCACCATTCAGGAGCCTCGCAGGAAGGCCTCTATCGCCACTCACTGTAGGAGGGAGAGGGAGGTGTGGGGGTAAGGAGAGGGGGAGAGGGGGTTAGGGTTCAGAGGTGGGTTTGGAAAATCGGAATTCAGGGTTGAGGGTTTAAGGTGAGATTGGGGGTCAAGAGAGGGTGAGTGAAAGATTTAGGTCAGAGTTGAAAGGTGAACACACACCTGCCAGCGCAGGCCGGAAAGTCTTTCATTGGGCTACCAGAGGAGTGGCGGAAGTGAAGGAGGCGAAGCCAAGTGCTGGCTGGAATGCATTCTTGAGACGTCTCAAAAATACCCTTTTTACACGTGGCTTCTTTCATTGGGCTACCAGAGGAGTGGCGGAAGTGAAGGAGGCGAAGCCAAGTGCTGGCTGGAATGCATTCGGCACAACAAGCGTTGCAGGCAGCCCATGAAGGTTGCAGCCCATGAAGGTTGCAGCCCATGAAGGTTGCAGCCCATGAAGGTTGCAGCCCATGAAGGTTGCAGCCCATGAAGGTTGCAGCCCATGAAGGTTGCAGCCCATGAAGGTTGCAGCCCATGAAGGTTGCAGCCCATGAAGGTTGCAGCCCATGAAGGTTGGAGCCCATGAAGGTTGCAGCCCATGAAGGTTGCAGCCCATGAAGGTTGGCAGCACGGCAGTTGTTTCTTGCAGAGTGGCATAGCAAGGAGGCAAGGAAGGCGGAGGGTACAAAGGGCCCAACGGCTGTGATTATCTAGAAAAGGATCCAACGGCTGGCGCCATTCACCTGGAACTTGTCAATGGGGTGGTCAAACAGCCTCGCCAGATCACGAGCCGTGATCACCGCACCAGCACCTGCACCAGCAGCAGTGGCATACTGAGCTTGCTGCACTCGCATCTGCAGCTGATGCACTCTCTCGCTCATGCTCATCCCCTCCATCCCCATCCCCTCCACGTCCTCCTCCTCCTCCTCCTCTTCCTCCTCCTCTTCCTCCTCCTCCTCTTCCTCCTCCTCTTCATAGTCACTCTCCCCTACAATCACATCCAGCACCCCCTCCTCTAGCTCCTCTAGATCCTCCCCTCCTCCCTCCTCCTCCACCTCATCATCATCCATCTCGAATCGCGTCATACCTCCGCCAATCGCGGCGCCACCTGCGCCCCGCTCTCGCTGCTGCTGTAGCGATTCGAATCGCTCCATCAGCTGGTCCACCGTTCTAGTCACATTCCGCTCGTCCTCGCTGTAACCGCCTCCGTTATAAGCACTCGACGCGTTGTAAGCGCTTCCAAATTCGCTTGTCTCGTCGTCCCAGCCTTGGGATCTCCAGCCCTCCGATCCGTTATCAACTGATTCGCTACCAACTCCGCCGTTTCTGCGTGCCCCACCTCCCCTCTCCTTCCCCTTATCGCTCCGCTCTGCACTCCCCCGTATGCCACTCGTATTGGAAATCTCCCCCAGATCTTCCGCCGACCGCGCAAAATGCTTGCCCGCGCCATCCCCCCCACTCGCCTTCCGCGCTGAAAACCCTAATCCTTGCGCCCTCCGCAATCCCCCCCTCAACCCCAGTCCCTTGCTCCGAAGCCCATTCCATTCGTGCCTTAAAAATGTACCCTTCCCCGCGCCGCTTATGCACAGCCTGATTTGCGCGGAGCGTGGAAGCGCGCTGGGAGCGGCGGAAGGGAGGCGGAGGGAGGGGAGAAGGGGGAGGGAGATGAGGGGGAGAGAGCGGAACGAGGCGCAGGAGGCGGGGAGCTGTGGGGATCCTGACGCGAGACATGGCCGGGTGATGACGGAAGAGTTATTGCCGACGCGGGGATTCGGAACCGCGACGCATTGCGAGTGAGCGGAAGCTGCCATAGGAACGACGCGTTGCAGCTCCGAGGCAGGCTGTCAGAGAGTCCCTCGCCTGCTTCCGCGAAAAGAACGACTATTGGGATCTATTCTTCGTAATCCCGGGCAGGGAGCTAGTCGTAGCGCAGTAGCGTCAAACGCACATTCTGGAAAGATCGAGTTTAGACGTCGAACGCGACCAGCGATGCCCACACTCACCCTCTGTGGTTCATATATCGACCGGAATGGCAGAGAGGATGATTTGCAAGCAGGATGGATGGTCATCCATTCATGATCAGGGAGTGATTGGACCCTGGGTGCTGCTGAGGCAATTTCTGCAAACAAATCTGGACACATTTTATCTTTTAGAATAACGGTTTTGGGATCGCTTCCCGTAGCAATTTCGTTGCAGTTACCACCACTGCGTGTGCAATATTGAAGGACACTTCAGAGGTTGTGTCTTCTAGACGCCCTGAAAACGTTACTCAAATTCTCTAGGATACGCCCCCTCACACAGAAATGCCCAAGCCACGAATACACAGCAGATATTATTGTTTCGTACCTTTCCCGCACTTTTCCGACCGTTGAAGCAAGTCACTGTGAAGGTTCGCACCGCAGTGCATCTGACTCCACCGTTCGGTGACAGGCCCAAATCACAGACATATACCGTGCTAAACCGTACAAATCGCGTAGTAACTGCAACCAGCCCAATCTCATCTCATGCTCATCTGTTTTGAGCAAGCTTCTCACCTCGCCGCCTGTGCGCGGTGCAATGCAATCAACTCCCAACGAGCTTGTACTATCCAAGGCTTGTTGCCGCCATTAGCATTAGTTCCTAAAGTATATCACGTTGGTGCTCCTAGCAGCGGGACCTTGATCCGTTTTTTACCCGTAGCTCTATCTGTGCGACTGCCGCCCGCTGTCGTTCGAGTCGCTCGCGACATTCGTGAAAGTCGCGCGTTTTCGTCAGCTCTGTTTTTCGTTAACGACACCGAGTGGCGAGCGTCAAGCGATTGCAGCAACAATGCTTCCCTGCCGCGCGCTCTCTTCCTGCGCGCGGCTTCAAATGATCCTCTTTTCGCACGTCCCCCTGCGACTTTCTGCGGCCCGCTGGCGATCACCTCCGTCGCCGATCCCAACCGATCCGCACCTTGCACTAACCTCTGGTTTCTCGCGGCAAATAAGCACGCGCCTCTCTCAGTCTACCACAGTAGCAGCTGCTGCAGGTCGACCGAGTGCCGGCAATTCCGCCGCATCTTCAGGGAACGCACGAAAAAGTGCTGCTAGCGAAGGTGACAGCCAGCCTCCCCGCGTTAAACCCTCCGCCCGCCTTCGGCCGCAAGCCGTTACTTCCGCTTCAGCCGACTCTCACGCTACCCCCAATGCCAAGCCCGCGACCCGCCGGCGAACGCGCACACCTGCTGCTGGTGCTGCTTCCGGCGTGCCTGTAGCGGATGTGCCAGTAACGGGCGTCGGTGCTGTTACCGCGGAGGGCGCGACTGTAGCGGGCCCAGCAGCGTCCGCGGAAGCACCCGCGGGGGCACAGGCGGAAGGGGAAGGGGAAGAGGCGCAAGGAGCGCGGGGCGGCGGGGCGATCCACGTGATCACGGGGCCGATGTTCGCGGGGAAGACGACGGCGCTGCTGGCGCGCATGCACGCGGAGATGGGGCGCGGCAGGTGAGCGATCACTGATGGGGGCGCATGCGGTACGCAAAGGACGAGGCAGGTGAGCGAATGTCGACTGAGAGGCATACTGTACGCAACGTCACGCCTTTCTTACCAATCCAAAGCTTTCAGAATTCACGACCCGAAACCCGAAACCTAAAACCCAGCGTTGGATCTGCCAAGCCCAGCATTGGAACTGCCAAACCCTGGGAACCCAACGTGTGAGCGCGTGGCATGGCAGGCACGTGGTGATGCTGACGTGGCATCGGACACACGGTATGCGCACGCCCGTGCCTGACACCCCAAACACCCGAACCTCATCACCCAAACCCCAAACCCCAAACACCCGAACCTCATCACCCAAACCCCGAACCCCAAACACCCGAACCTCATCACCCAAACCCCAAACCCCAAACACCCGAAACTCATCACCCAAACCCCAAACCCCGAACACCCGAACCTCATCACCCAAACCCCAAACCCTCAAACACCCAAACACCAAAATTCTAGACACCCAAAGTCGTGACACCCATGCACCCAACACCCAAACCCCACACTCAATTCTGACTGCACTGTTGGCGTGTGGTGGTGGTGAAGTCAAAGGCCGACATGTGGTACGTACGCCCGAGCAATACCCCTAAAGCCAGCCATCATCCATACCCCGAACCCTGCAACCCCTACTTTTGAGGCGCCTCAAACTGTGTTACGCCCGAGCAATACCCCTAAAGCCATCATCCATACCCCGAACCCTGCAACCCCACTGTGTGAGCGCATTGCACCGCAGGCGCATGTTGATTGTGAAGTCGTGGGCCGGGCCGACACGTGGTACACCCCGCGCAAATATTATACCCTCCACCCAACCACCCAACAACCACAAACCCAAACACTGCAGGTGCGTGTTGGTGGTGAAGTCAAAGGCCGACACGCGGTACGCGCGGGACGCAGATGACTGGAACCACAAGCCTTAACTCTTAAACCCCAAACCCTGCAGGTGCGTGCTGGTGGTGAAGTCAAAGGCCGACACGCGGTACGCGCAACAAAGCTTGCACCCCCAACCTCTCAGACTCCATACCTCAAACCCATGTGTGTGTGCACCCCACACCCTGCAGGTGCGTGCTGGTGGTGAAGTCAAAGGCCGACACGCGGTACGCGCGGGATGCGGTGGTGTCGCACGACGGTGCTGCCATGCCGTGCCTCGCAGTGCGCTCCCTGCAGGAGGTGCTGGTGCAGGAGGGGCCGCACCGAGAAGCCTACGAGCAGGTGAGACCCGGGATCAGCCAGAAGTCTGGTAGAGGGGTTGCTGGCAGTCAGATACCTGACTGAGTGAGGGGCAGCCTCTCACCTTTTCCCTCGCCTTTCTTCTCCACCCTGTGCATTCGTGCCCGCCTTTCCCCCCCACTGTCATCCCCCAGGCAGCAGTGATCGGGGTGGACGAGGCGCACTTGATTCATTCACGGGCTGGTGGAGGTTTGAAAATAGGCCGCTGTTGAATGGACACTGCTTGAAAAAAGCCTAGAATCTCTCCCCACTCCCCCCTGCCCCCTGCCCCCATCCCCCAGGCATCGGTGATCGGGGTGGACGAGGCATCGGTGCCTCCCCTCTCTTCCCTGTGTCCCCATGGCCCCCTCCCCCACCCCCCCCACCCCTCCTCCCGCCCCTCCCCCCTGCCCCCATCCCCCAGGCATCGGTGATTGGGGTGGACTTTGTGCATTCCTGCCTGCTCACATGCTGCATTGGGGATGGGTGTTGGCACACACACACCACCACCACCACCCCTCCCCCCGGCCCCCTCCCCCCTTCATCCCCCAGGCATCGGTGATCGGGGTGGACGAGGCGCAGTTCATTCACGGGCTCGTGGAGTTCTCCTTGCGGGCGGCAGACCATGACGGCAAGACACTGTTCATCGCAGGCCTGGACGGCGACTTTCGGAGGTGTGTGTGCCGCGTTGCATTGCGCCATGCCTCACTCACTGCATTGCCCCATGCCTCACTGCATTGCCCCATGCCTCACTGCATTGCCCCATGCCTCACTGCATTGCCCCATGCCTCACTGCATTGCCCCATGCCTCACTGCATTGCCCCATGGCTCACTGCATTGCCCCATGCCTCACTGCATTGCCCCATGCCTCACTGCATTGCCCCATGCCTCACTGCATTGCCCCATGCCTCACTGCATTGCCCCATGCCTCACTGCATTGCCCCATGACTCACTGCATTGCCCCATGACTCACTGCATTGCCCCATGCATCACTGCATTGCCCCATGCCTCACTGCATTGCCCCATGACTCACTGCATTGCCCCATGCCTCACTGCATTGCCCCATGCCTCACTGCATTGCCCCATGCCTCACTGCATTGCCCCATGGCTCACTGCATTGCCCCATGGCTTGCCCCATGACTCACTGCATTGCCCCATGCCTCACTGCATTGCCCCATGGCTCACTGCATTGCCCCATGACTCACTGCATGGCCCCATGCCTCACTGCATTGCCCCATGCCTCACTGCATTGCCCCATGCCTCACTGCATTGCCCCATGCCTCACTGCATTGCCCCATGCCTCACTGCATTGCCCCATGCCTCACTGCATTGCCCCATGCCTCACTGCATTGCCCCATGCCTCACTGCATTGCCCCATGACTCACTGCATTGCCCCATGCCTCACTGCATTGCCCATGCCTCACTGCATTGCCCCATGCCTCACTGCATTGCCCCATGCCTCACTGCATTGCCCCATGCCTCACTGCATTGCCCCATGCCTCACTGCATTGCCCCATGCCTCACTGCATTGCCCCATGCCTCACTGTATTGCCCCATGCCTCTCTGCATTGCCCCATGACTCTCCGCATTGCCCCATGACTCTCCGCATTGCCCCATGACTCTCCGCATTGCCCCATGACTCTCCGCATTGCCCCATGCACTTGTGCCTGCCTTTCACCTGCCGCCTCTCTACTGCCTTTCTCACCTCTGTCTCGCTTCACAACACTGTGCCATTTCCTGTGCCCTACTGGCGTTTCTTCCCAAGCCCCTTGCACGTCTGTCTCCTCCCATTCAACGGCTTGCCTCCGCGTATGCTCAAGTGGCTTTTGAGTCGACTAAATAATCTCATATTTCCACAGATTTATTGCCCCTGTCACACTTCCAGCTGGTCACAACATCTCCGGCTCTTGCATCTGATGCCTTCTTTCCTTTGCAGAAAACGCTTTGGTGAGCTGCTGGATATGATTCCGCACGCCGACTCCGTGACAAAACTCGCCGCTCGGTGCGAGATGTGTGGGCGGCCGGCCTCGTTCACTCTGCGCAAGACGCAGGAGACGAAACTGCGGCTGGTGGGCGGCGCAGAGACGTACATGCCAGTGTGCCGAACACACTACCTGAGCGGGAAAAGTGTCGTGGATCTTACAAGAGATTTAGGGGCAATGCATGATTCGTGAAAGGATGATTCGACTTAGCACAGTACAGCTTATCATGTGAAGATTTGCCTTCTGTGAAGCGCGCCACCAACAATGAAAGTGATGGTTGAGTTTCCTGATGTACACTGCATGATATGCTAAGCTAAATTGGAATCTTCATTAGAATACACGGGTGCTATAATTTTCATATCTCAATAGAGCGCCCATAGCCCAGGGCTCAGGTTTGCAGTGTAATTTACCCTTCTATACTGATAAGAAGGCTAAGATTTTGAGTTAACACTGATGGGCTGGGGTATTTTTTTTGTGAATTAGTGTTACACTGATCTGTAAGTGTATCGTTGTAGGCCACACTGATGCAGTAGGGTAAGTTTCTACATATCGTAGATTACACTGAAGAGCGTACAAGGACCCCCCCCCCCCCCCCCCCCCCCCCCTCTCCCCTCCCCCCAAGGACTTGTCAGAGCGCGATTTCCGTCAATCACGCAAGTACCGAGTTTACCCTCCCGTCAGTACGTGCGTTGTCCGCAATCACGTGTCCGATTGGTCAGTTTGGAATAATTCCCTTGCCAGCAAGACACGCAATCCCACTTTGGCAGCAACTACAGTGTTGCTGCCTGTACTAAGTCCTGGGACTGGGACCACATTCAGATGGTCGGTGCTTGGAGATGCAATCAGTGTCACCGACCGAGGCGCTTGGGGTGTTTCTGTCCCGAACCATTGCCGTGTTGGTTCGGCAAGCTCAGCTAGCAAGCAGTATCGTGTGACACCGTCATTCCACCACCACCCCAAAGTGCCTCTTGTTTTAACCACTCAATCTAGCAGCGGAGCGACCACCACCTTGTAGCCATGGCTGCGCCTGTAGACCTGGACGCTAGCAATGCCGATGATGGCGACCCTTCTTGTAGCTATAGGCCTAGGACTGGCCTCGATTTTTTGCGTGGCCATGTTACCGAACCTGCACCTCGCCCTTTGTCTGAGCCCTCCGATGACAGCGAGGGGTGGCAATTTCCTGTGCGCAAAGCTGTGTCACGGTCACCACCGCCTGAGCAGGAGCTAGCGTCAGACGACGCTGAATTGCAACGTCCCACACGCATTGAGGCGGACCCCGTCGTTCACGATGACGTTGAGACGACGGACATCGTCACCGAAGCCCCAGAGTCTTCTAACTCGGCAGCGCTGAAACGACGCCGCTACACGCAGACGACTATTGGGTTCGGCGCCGGCACGCCGCTCGTGAAACCTCCACCTCCGCCACCTCCCGCTGTCACTCCTGCGCCATCACCTCTCAAGCTGACTGCTGCTGAACGTGCTGAGGCGAAGTTCCTGGAAGCACAGAGAAACTATATTACGAAATGGCTCCCGATGTTTGATTGGTTGTTGCTCGACAAGGGCGATGATGGCTTGCCTTGCTTGAGGTGCAGTGTGTGCAGTGAACACGGGCCAGACAACGCACGATACGGGAGGAATGGAAGCGGCGGACGCGACTTGCAGCCAGCGTCGATGCGCGCGCACCAGGCAAGCACTCGCCATGAGGAGTGCATCGACCGTCAGAATGGGCTCCTCGACAAGCTGGCAGCGCAGAAGAAAATTGATGACTATGAGAGAGCGGACACGGAGGGCGCGCGGGTGATCAGGCTCATGCGGAGCATACAATTTGTGTGCGACGAGGACGCACCAATCGCTATGTTCCTGCGGCTTGTCGAATTTATGGCCAGGGAGGGTGTGCCTGACATTCCTCAACAAGGCTACGGTGTTTACATCACGGAGTGAGTTATGTGTTCATTCTTTTTTGGGTTTTTTTTTTTTTTTTTTTTTTTTTTTTTTCCACGATGCGGTGCCTAATGTTTCTATGCGCATCTTGCAGGTACGGGTTCAAGGAGATGGTGAAGGCGATGAGCACTTACCAGCAGCAGCAACAGATGATGTACATCCACGCGTCACCTTGGGTCGGCATCAGCTGCGATGAAAGCACAGACAGAGCGCGCGGGAAACACCTCGTGGTGTTTGTGACCTTCTTGAAGGACAGACAGGTTGCGACCGAGTTTCTTGCTCTCCTTACCATGCAGAAGTGTGACGCTGCTTCAATCTTCACCGTCTTGCTGAGCCACCTAGAGACTGTCGGTCTGGATCTGCAGAGGATCGTCGCCATCAGCACCGACGGCGCGGGCGTGATGGTTGGCACTGAGCGGGGGCTCGTGGTGCGTCTCCGTCAGCGCATTCCTCATCTCGTCGGCACGCATTGCATCGCTCACAGGTAAATGGTGTTCAAATTATGTGACATGCAGTTATACCCGCATTTGTCTACATTACTAACCGATCTGTGTTTACCTGTGCAGAGAAGTTCTAGCGGTGAAGGAGTCGGCGCTGAAGTTCAAAGATCTTGACATCGTCGACGCTGCACTCCGTGGGCTTGGAGATATCGTGACGAAGTCATCCGTCTGGTACGAACGGTTCAAGGAACTTCAGCAAGAGATTCACAAAACAAGCCTGGAGCACCAGGGCCTGTTCGACGTGAGATGGTTGTCCCGTGGAGATGCTGTTCAGCGCCTATGCAGGGTCCTTGGGGCAGCTATTGTGGTTTTCATGGCCGCCACGGTGAAGTCACTGAAATTTCACTTCTGCGTGTACTTCTTGGCGGATCTTCTAGCGGAGATCAACGCCCTAAACCGCTTTTTCCAAAGAAGGAAAGTGAGTGATGCGTTTAGTGTTGCTTTCCATTGTATTGTAAAATTTTCAAGAATGTCAAATATCTCAACGAAACCTTACTATTGTTTCCCGCCTCAATCTCAGGTTTACATCACGCTCGTGCACCAGGCGGTGGACCGCACGATTGGCTGCATCAGGCTGCGCTACGTGGGTACGACAAATCCTTCGGTGGGGGAGACAGCAAGCTGCTGACGCCATTTATCGCACGGATGGCGAACGGGAAACGAAAGATTAAAGTGGACGGCGTCGATGCGGATGGCGAGCCAACATCGCATGAGTTCGAGCTGAGCGAGGAGCCGCTGAAAGGACACAAGTACGGCGGATCTCTGGCCGACTGCATCAAGCTGTGCAAGGCGTTTGCGCTTGAGGTGGCGACAAATCTGCACAACCGCATGTACAGCCTGAAGGAGATGGAGGGCAGCAAGCTGTACAAGGTGGAGTCGTGGCCAGATGCGACAGAAAAACGGGAAAGACGGGTGGTGCAGTGGCTAGATGCCAACGCGCGTGTCTTCAAGAACAGGCTGCCAGGTGTGTATTTTCTGACGTTGCAGTCACACGTAGTTGGTTGCGATGTTGGTTGTTGCCTTGTTGGTCACTGCTAAACGAGCAACTGTATTGGTTGTATGTTTACGTGGCAGGCTTCAACCACCGTGCGGCAGAGCTTGAGCTGAAAAGCTTCTGCCACGTCATGTCGCGCCACTACGAGGATGACGACTTCTACAAAGGGCTTGCCAAGATGATGAAGACCAAAGAGTGGCCTCGCAGCTACCCCAACCTGATGTCCATGTGGCAGGCGCTTGCAGTGATCCAGCTAA